GGTGATTTACACAACGATAAGGATACGGCCATTGGTTAACGCCATTCTGGTACTGAGAATATGGAATTCGGACTAATGAGGTTGACCAATATCATATACACATGCCAGTGAACACAAATTAAAATAGAGCTGACTGTTAAGAAATTCGATAAACAGTGTAAAACAAAATCTGACTATATCTATGGGCACTTATTTAAATGAAGAGATATCAGAAAGCAATGATCCGTTACAGAAGAACGGTTGAAGTGATGCTTGTTACTTTGCCTGTTGGTTCCGCTGTTGTTTACCTTGTTCTCGTTTGAGAACGTGGCATTACTTCCTTGGACTGACCGAGATTTACATGGCGAGAATCGCCGATAAAGAAGACACTTAATCTTTGGAAACACATGGTCTTATTCTTCTTGTACTTTTTCAGGTGTCTCCGTGTAAATCTTGAGGCTAAATTATGATGGTTTTGTTTTAATGACCAGAACAACAATACTTGTAGTGTGTCAGACGTTATTTGCAAACACAAGTAAATGATTCTCAAATATTGTTAATTCAACAATCAAAAATTATAAGAAATAAGGAAAGAAATACGTGGAGAGATTATTTATCTACTAGTTCCATTGGCCATGAATTATTGTATAGAAATAATTGTAATAGTATAATACAATTATATCCTGTTACCGAGGACGTAAGACTATAATAGTATATTATGTAATACAAGAGAATCACATAAACACATTTAGAGAGGAAAAACAACATACTTAAGTTTATCAAAAGTTATGCTTTAAATCAGATGTGAGAACTGGCTTATAATAATTTGACACTGAAAATACACTTTTTAACCTTTGAACTTGACTTACCTTGTGTAACGAGCTATGTATCTCGTCGAGGTGTATTCCACACTGTTTTGTTTACTGCAGTTAAGAGTAAAGGACGAGGGAAAGGAATTTTAAAATGTTTAAATGTATATTTTACAATTCCAATGATTATTCACAAATACATGTACTCATAGATATGAACACAATAACATTTCAAACCAATTCAAATTGTGCATCAATCCGTATTCTCGGCACACTCGTAAAACACCTCACACCAACACAACGCCTGAAGAGTTGGCAGATCCCTTCAATAAAAAAAATAATATTCAAGTTGATCTATGTGTAGCTATATCGGGTTTAGGAATACATTTCATATATATATATATTGTATATAAACATATATATATGGTTTGCCAAACATGGTATACCACCAGTATACGTGTTTGGTATACATGTGATGTGTATGTATACACAGATTTAAATGAGTACACACCATTGTTAGGATACCCTCATAATACTAACCTCTTGTACTCGTTGATATCTGAAACAAAGAGAGTCTGTACATATCCAGTCATCTGATATGTACCTAATGTTTGATCGGCAATTTGACTCCCGTCGAGAATTTCAAACAATTTGTTCTATTGTGCGTCAGCATAATTTTTTTAATTAAATCTTTAGTAATAAAATCGACAAGCCATTTCTTACAATGATATCGATTGTGAAAGTAGCGGCACTCCGTTAAATTAAGCAAAATTTTGCCATGATTCATAAACAATAACGTGAGTTTATAAACTATTACAGCATTATCGAATATTATAGGACACGTTTATTGTGAAGATAAATGCTTGTTAACTATCGTTCAGTATGTTTACTCGGTTGGTGGAAATAGTTTTCAATCGAAATCTTCTTATACCGTTTTCCTGCCTTCTCTATCGTCTGTTTTCATCTGATGAAATTCGTCAACTTGATGAAGACAACAATGATCAAAGTGTGATAATAATATTTCATGTTACATACCTATACAGAGAAAAATATTAGAGGTTTTACCGATATCACTTAAACGTGAAGTCTGTGTAATGTATACTGTGAAATTTCTGTGTAATTGGTGTCTTTTCGAGATACATTAAGGTCAACGAATACACATACCAATCTAACACATTCCGGGGTCCAGACTGTGTCTAAGTAATGTCATAACCATTCCGTGGTCCAGGCTGTGTCTAAGTAATGTCATAAACATTCCGTGGTCCAGGCTGTGTCTAAGTAATGTCATAACCATTCCGGGGTCCAGGCTGTGCCTAAGTAATGTCATAAACATTCCCGGGTCCAGACTGTGTCTAAGTAATGTCATAAACATTCCGTGGTCCAGACTGTGTCTAAGTAATGTCATAAACATACCCGGGTCCAGACTGTGTCTAAGAAATGTCATAAACATCCCGGGGTCCAGACTGTGTCTAAGTAATGTCATAACCATTCCGGGGTCCAGGCTGTGCCTAAGTAATGTCATAAACATTCCCGGGTCCAGACTGTGTCTAAGTAATGTCATAAACATTCCGTGGTCCAGACTGTGTCTAAGTAATGTCATAAACATACCCGGGTCCAGACTGTGTCTAAGAAATGTCATAAACATCCCGGGGTCCAGACTGTGTCTAAGTAATGTCATAACCATTCCGGGGTCCAGGCTGTGTCTAAGTAATGTCATAAACATTCCGGGGTCCAGGCTGTGTCTAAGTAATGTCATAACCATTCCGGGGTCCAGGCTGTGTCTAAGTAATGTCATAAACATTCCGGGGTCCAGACTGTGTCTAAGTAATGTCATAAACATACCCGGGTCCAGACTGTGTCTAAGAAATGTCATAAACATCCCGGGGTCCATACTGTGTCTAAGTAATGTCATAACCATTCCGGGGTCCAGGCTGTGTCTAAGTAATGTCATAACCATTCCGGGGTCCAGACTGTGTCTAAGTAATGTCATAACCATTCCGGGGTCCAGACTGTGTCTACGTAATGTCATAACCATTCCGGGGTCCAGGCTGTGTCTAAGTAATGTCATAAACATTCCGTGGTCCAGACTGTGTCTAAGTAATGTCATAACCATACCCGGGTCCAGACTGTGTCTAAGAAATGTCAACATTCCCGGGTCCAGGCTGTGTCTAAGTAATGTCATAAACATACCCGGGTCCAGACTGTGTCTAAGAAATGTCAAACATTCCCGGGTCCAGGCTGTGTCTAAGTAATGTCATAAACATTCCCGGGTCCAGGCTGTTTTAAGTAATGTCATAACCATTCCGGGGTCCAGGCTGTGTCTAAGTAATGTCATAAACATTCCGGGGTCCAGGCTGTGTCTAAGTAATGTAATAAACATTCCGGGGTCCAGGCTGTGTCTAAGTAATGTCATAAACATTCTGGGGTCCAGGCTGTGTCTAAGTAATGTCATAAACATTCCGGGGTCCAGGCTGTGTCTAAGTAATGTCATAAACATTTAATTTGATGAAAGTAATACTTATTCAGACCTACGTGGCTAACGGTTCGTGTTATATTATTGTATTGATACAGGAATCTGAGGAAAATTCTAGAGAATACCTTTTTCATTTTTGGATCTTTGATTAGCTTCAGAGCGAGGGAGCGATAGTAATCCATTCAACCTTGTACCATCATAGACAATGTGAGACTAAGGGCAGTAACTCTTTGAGATCAGAATGTACAAATGTAGTAAGGTTGAACAATATATGAAAACATACACATGTATATTGTTTAGTTAATATGGTAACTAATTATGAATATTAATTGTATATATTTTAAACGATTTAAGTTGTATGGTGAATGTGCACACGAAGAATACAATGATTAAAATTAATGGATGCATTGTTTTATCTTGAATTCTGACACTGAATAAATTGTTTCATTTCAAAATCAAATCCATTTTACCACAGGAAATATATTGAATTTCATACCAGGCGAATTCCATGCTGTCTTCAGTCTTATAAGAAGATCGACAGAACCACCCACATGTGTCCCGAAATCAGAAAAAAAAAATATCTGAAGAAGGCCCGTTGTTTCCATTGTGTTTCAGAAAGTATTTGTATATTAAGTCCTCGTGGACATGCTTACTGATTTTGTTTATAAATTATCCTACATTGTATTAAAATACGGTTTCATTTAACGTACCAAACATTACACTAATTGTGATGTTCCATTGACATATTAGGGTTGTATGTATTGTAGAGTTTATTTCATATATGTAGCATTATTTGTCATGTTCGTATTTAAGTGTCAAGAACATCGTTACAGTTACCTTTCCACGTTCTTTTGCTGTTTTGGTTTGTTTTGGCGTTTGTTAAACAGTCTTTCCTGTTCCGTTTTTTCTACGTGCGTACCATGCTTGTCACATGCATCAATTTCATTAACACAATTATGTCAGTTCGCTCAGTATTTGACACACTATACATTATGATATAACATTAAAATGTAGTATCTAAAGTGACATTGTCAAGAAGACAGTGCGTGTTTATATCACAGGCGGGCTAACTGAGTTAAAATATCTACTCCAATAATTTCGTATTTAGAAGTTAAACAGGGCAACATACGATGAAATTTTTTATCGTAAAAATATTAATTTGAAAAGACGTTAAAAATTGATGAAATGGTGTTTCTTTTTATATATCAATTCCTTGATTTTTACTACTTTTTCAAATGACTAATTTCATGGAAAAAAATCTTCTCATGTCTGAGTATGGTTGCCAGTTCAACTTCTGAAAACAAAATTATTTAAAAATAGACTTTTTCATTGAGTTATCCCCCCTGTGTGTTATACATGAATCAGGCAAACATAATCGAAGGATATTGAGACTGTATTTGGTAATGTACTGGAAGTGAACTTATGCTGTAGATATTTTAGAAAATAACATATGAGATGAAAAGCATTGGTACATGTAAGACATGTAACATGAATCAAAATATATTACTCATATATATTTCCATCCATTTTTTAAGGAAGTTCCCCTTTTGGGACCCCTGTTAATTCAAACGTCCATAACACGCAGACTTTTTCTGTGTTCAAGCATCAGTGGGACTCTGTTTGTCATGACACTTATGTACACTTTTTTTCTGCACGAATTTAATTACTCTGTAGGAGGTAACGGACAGAAGACGTATCTTTAAACAACATTACCTCGTCAAAACAGTTTCAACTTACGGGTTATATATCCAGTATTCGATATGGCTGTCACGCCTCGTGATATCGCAGATGTCAAGAAAATGGTAAAAAACAAACTGTAAGTACAGTAAGTTCGGAAAAAATTGCATGTAAACAAACTTTTTAAAGTTTTCAAAAACTTCGAAAATGTAGGTTTTAGCGTACCATTGAGTTAAATATCACATAATCCTATTATTTTCCTCCTTAACTTTATATTTACCTATCTACCAAGCGTGACAACACCTCATTTGTTGGTATGCATTTAGGTTCACCGTGTTGTGTACAATATCCAATTGAAAAGATTATTTTCTCATAAAGACAGATGACAGATTAAAATCTCCTCAACCTTGGCACGTAGAAAAGAAACCCCATTAAAAAAACAACATTTAAAAAAAAACAAATGTACATTGATGAAAAAACTGATCCAACACAAATTTATTCCCTGTACGTATACATGAACATGTATATTGTAAAATACACAAGAGACTAATGTGATGTGATTTAAGTTAAGTTCATTTTGTATTATTTAGAATTAAACAGAATTTCCTCTGTTCCCAACATTTACATGTACATAAATACTGGTTGATTTGTATAGTTGGAAACTGTGTCATGCTTTTATACACTAATACACACATTGTATAGAGGTAATCAACAAAAGAGATATTGCATAAATGTAGTATTCTAACAGGATTCAATTATCTGAGAAACAATTCAAATTATATTTTCATACATAGTAAACTATTTCTTTTCTTTTATTATTAATATATATGTATTTCTATTTTTTGTTTTGTTTTGCACAGAGAACTTTACATCAACAGGGAAAAACGAGAAAATCTTTTTGATCCAGCTGGAGCTTGCAGAACAACGAGGAAAATGGTAAACAAAATTAGAAACAGCATTTTGTGCAAAAAATGTCATTTTTCAAACTGGTTAATATACAATCCATAGTAATCTATACATATAATTTTTGTTGCATACATTATTGTACATCTATTTGTGAAAACTGTGTTGATTAGTTGACCAAAAGCATGTACACATATTACAAACATATGGTGTTGTAAAAACTTTTTGTGCATAAAGTACTGGTAAACTCATTTTTATTTCTTCACCAAATTAAAATTTATATAGAGTCTTGTATGATTTTCACTCCATCTCTGAAAGAGATTTATGAAAAAAAAATTGTTTATGTTTTCATTACGGCAAGTTTCCTGTGATCATAAACTGAAATGATTAATAAAGATTTCAGTCAGACTTGAAACTCTTCAGTCTTCACAGAAAAAAATTGATGTTTTTTGTTCATCTGTCAAAGCGCATGCCTTCGACCAAACCAACTGAGATACAATTCCATTGACATACAAACCAATGCTATTTATTTGATCTTTAATAATCATATGTCCAGACTCTGAGTAAGATTTAGGAATGTGTTTGCCCAGTGGACTTATTTCAGGATAAACGCAATTAATCTTTTTCTTTACTGACAGTATGATACCATGGATAACCTGTGTAAGTTATGGCAACACATTTGAAAAAATAACAAGCTTAATCTGCAGTCATTTCATCTCTATCTGGCAAATCCTCGTCAAAATGCATTTGTCTATTTCTGAGTGTGGAATGTTTACTAACAGGTATGATGTATTTTTTTTCTCCAGTATAAGTATGACCTCATGTATAGAGTTGTCAACTATGATGTGTTTGATAAGCAAAGTCCAAGATATAAAAACAGGAAGAAGAAAGGAAAAGAGTAAGTTTTCTTATATCAAAGTGCAATAAGCAAATAACATATTGATTAAAGGGAAACATGAACTTACCTTTGCATAAAATTGTTATTTTTCACCCACTGTTTAGATGTAAAATTTTTCATAGCCACCATTTTTTATTTTTGTTCTCTTAACAAAAGGGCAATAATTTAACTAATGGGAAATTTACACATATTCAGTATCATTTTGAAATGTACATGAAAATTACAAGATCATAATTATCCATATCTCTTATGTAAAGGGAAGTTCCAGTTGAATATGATCATCAGACAGAGAAAGAAAAACATAAACGAGAATCTTCTCAGGGGGGCAGAAACGAATCAGGAAAAGCAGACATGGTGGAGGAGGTAGGAGACATTATATACCCAAAGCTTGAGGATACTACGCGCAGGGTAACTCTGTATAGAGAAGCGGACAGGATCACAAAATATGCTAATGAGGTCTATGTAAGTATATGTATACTTTGTTAATGACTTTTAATTTAATTTTGATTTGAAATTTGAATGACACAATCACACACATGTACCATGATTGCTTGACATGATTTAAATTGAATTTGAAGCTCACAGCATCCATACACCTGTATGTTATATTGTAGTTCAGGAACAAAAAATAGTCAAGGATGTTTCATTAAAAAAAGTTAAAACCTAAAAAAAAATATCAGTTAAACTGATTCATGTTCCCTGAAAACAGCTTTATTGGACACAAAATTTTAACAAGGGACAATAACTGTAGTTACGGGGTTGATATTAAAGGAATCAAAGTTATTAAAGGAAATGATGATTTTTAAAGTAATCATGACATGAAAGGATATCCTGATATGACATTAAACTTTGTGATATTGATAACAATTCAATCATTTGTGAATATATTTACCTGTTATTAAGCCCATGCTTGGTAATAAGCCCATCTGATATATTTCTGTTAAATAAAATAAAAAACAGCTTTGATTGTCATGAAATAAGCTCACTGCCTGACTTTGAGTAATGATGCCACTGGGGTTATTGTAGGATAAATGTAGTAGGTAAGAAAAACAAATACCAGTTTATAAGTATAATGCTATTTACATCAACATTGTAAACATGTGATTTGGTTTCTATAGAACCAATACAATATGGAGGATCTTCAGACAATACACCACTTTCGACCAAGTTCTCAACAAGACCATGTGAATAAATCTCTAGATTCTGGATATCTGCACAACTATACACGACATGTTGGGTCCATTCTTCATGCAAAGTCATATGTCAACTTCTACAAAAAAGAAGGTAAGATTCCTGTTGTATACACATATATCTGTTCCATGGTTTAGTTTACTTTTGTATTGAGGTACACCAGCCCTGACAAAGTCTTATCTGATACTTGTGGTCTTGGACTCTGGTTCTTTAAAACTTTCTGAGAAAACACGAGTAGAAGCTCACTTTTTCAAAACAGGACAAATTTTATCCCCTTACATAGTAAAAGAGATTTCATTAAGTAAACATGATGCCATGGCCTGCTCTAATTGTGTCTTAAATATTAGAATCCCAAGATATCTCTTTACAGTGTTTAAAAATTTCAATATTAACTTTTGGATCTAATTTAGTCATTAACATTGAAATACATACAGATGTGATAATGTGATAACTATACCATAGCATTGATTATGTTAAGGATTTTTTTCTGTGCTAACTCTATGAAGCACTGTCACCCTTGATTCTGAAGGGCTACGACCAGGTATTAGATGGCTAGTACTTGGTAACACTACCAGGACTACCAGTATGTTTATCTAACAACATATGTTTATTTTACTGATGACAGTTTGAGTAAGCACAAAGTAAAAAGGAATGCAATAGGGAAAGAAACATAAAAAAAGCAAAAAACAAAAAACGCCACATGACTGAAGTGTTTATATAAATTAAAATTATAAAATAACAGTAAGTGAAACTTAGAAAATATCTAACTTGGTATTTATCAATTTCCTATTTCCTCTCGAATAATCATAGCTTCATTTTGAATAATTGATCTGATCATCTCAAGAAATTACTAAGTTATGATTTAGTCTGTAAAATCAAATATTTCCATGGGGCTGAATTATCGTGGTTTTCAAAAAATTGCAATTTCAGAATATAGCTCTATAAGTATACTTATACTTCAATCAACAGTTCATTAACATATGATTTTATGGATTAAGAGAGCCCACGATACCAATGAAAATAAATTCCATAGGAAAGTTAATCATTTTGAAAGTATGTTTAATTTGTTTTACTGTTTGAACTTCAACTTTTGGAAATGTAACCTTTTGAATAAGTATAACTTTGAGGCTTCTTGATGTTAAAAAGCTTCAAGTGTTTGAGAATATTTATTCGGGCTTGTAATGATGTAGTCAAACATATATGCGATACTTTCCATCTTTGTATTGAGTGATTTTTTTTCAAGACATGAAGTAATGACATTGAGACACAAAATGAACATTATTTGACAGGTTTACACACTGGTGATAAAAGTAAATCCAAGAGACTCCAGGAATTGCCAACGAAGAAGCCAAAAGAACCGGAAAGTGACCAAAAACCTGCAAAAGATGAGCCAGGGAATTAGCATGGTTAGAGAAGGGACATAACCCTAAAAAAACTTTTTTTTCCCTTTTAGATTGATAAATGATACCATTTATTGCTGTAGAATTTAATCTAAATATTACATTTGGATAATATTAGACAAATTATGTATTCATAGCATATTTGTATTTAAGATTATGCCAATTTCTTTCCATATGTTTTAGATTTATATAATTAAGATACCTTTTCCCTTTTCAGAATTATGAAAACTTTCTTTTAGGTACTGTATAACTTGTATTCTGTATATAAAAGAAGATGTTTCCTTAAAGATTTATGTTGTTAGGTGTGATTGTTAGTAACATTTCACAGTTATTTTCAAAATCTACTTTTTATGCTTGTCGACAATTTTGATGGGAGGTATCATGGTATGACATTGTCTGTCCACATTATAAACTTTTGATGGTTTAGTGATCACCTCCCACAGTTTTCAACCAAATTTATTCAGATTTGGTAGGCTTAATCACCATTACATGAAGTTGTGTTTTCCTTAACAGCAATCTTGCTTGACTGTAATTAGAAGAATTGTTGCCCTTTGTTGGTTTTTTAATGTAATTCTTGTACCAAGAGCTCTTTGTTTTCAACCAAGTTCTTTCAATTTGGTAGGCTTAATGACCATGACATGCAGGTGTCTTTTCTTTAACTACAGTTTGATTCAGCTGTATTTGGATGAGTTACTGCCCTTTGTTGTTTTCATAATGATAATTTTGTTCAGAGATCTCTCTTATTTTTTGACTAATTTTTTTCTAACTTCCTAGGCTTAATCACTTTCATTTTAAGTTGTTTTTTTCCTGAATGGCAGATTGATCAACTAAATTTGGAAAATTTACTGTCCTTTTTTGCCTTTACAATGTTAATCTTGCCCAAAGATCTCCTCTTTCAGTTTTCACTTGATTTGTTTTAAACTTGTTGTGGTATTTTCTGAATTATTGTCCTTTCTGAAAATCTTGTAGTCATGTAATTTTTGCACAGTTGTTGTCTTTTTAAGAAACTTTTGCAGTGGTATAACTATTTACAAAATTCCATCACATGCTGAAAATCTTGTAGTCATGTAATTATTTACCAAATGTTTGCCATTTATCCTTGTGTGAAATTCATGCCTAGCATTCACTCTCTTTACTCATTTTAAAAGGAACCAGACCATATATACAAGGTTATGGTAAGTATCAACAATATAAAGTAGTACTTACTCTGCTCAGTAGCTTCAACATTATTGTTTTATTGTGAGGAATTGTTCGCACCTGATGATATAAAGTTTGAGTTGTGGATTTATATTATACCAAAATGAAATGTTGTGCTATTAAGGTTAATGTTGTGACATCTGTACAACTATCCTGGTATAAAAAGTCAGTGTGAAGGATTGAAAACAATCCTGTACTTAACATTTTCAGCATTACTATATTATTTTTCTGTTACAATTGTAAATGTTATTTTACCTCACAGGTAATGACAGTAGTGAATTATATGTACATGTATCACAGTTAAACCATCCTTACCAAAATCACTTTACTGATACGTCAGGTATGAAAATGAAAAAATGTAAATAAATTGAAATCAATTACCTGTTTAAAAACAGCATTTTATCTTTTTTATAGAAAGGAAAAAAGTGGAAAAATTATGAATCTGTCCTGATGCATGTGGCTATATCATGTATATAACAGAGCTGTGTGATTATAGGGTGAGCTTTGTTCTCCTGCAAATGATATATCATTGTATTGCCTAAGTTTATGTATAAAATGTTTTTAGAATTTTATTTCAGGCCTTTGTAAGCTAGTTTAATTGTCATGGAGTGAAAAGTGAAATGTTACATTAGTTTGGAATTATACATTGGGTGCATTAAGTTACAAAGTTAATGACTTGTGATTAACTGGAGGTTGGTCTCAATAAAAATGTCATTTTGATGATAAAAAGAAGAGCTTTGTTAGTGAGATACAGTATTATTACTGTAATGCATAGTATACAGTATCAGAGTTAAGTGGTTTTTCTTTTTGATACCATCAAGTATTTATTTGAAAGTCATTGATATTAGATCATGTTAACATGTTGATATTTTCTTGATTTTTTTTATTGACATAAAGGAGCCAAAAAGAGAGAGAGAAAAAAAAAGAAAAGATGAAAAAAAAAATGGAATTCCAGTTAATGCAAAATCTAGAATGTACATGCTTTTACAAGTTGACATTTCATCATTCACATGATGGACTAACAGATTCCTAATAAAATACAAATCAAGATAATTGAACCTTTTTATAAAAGCCACCTGCTTAAAAAGGGCACCTGTATATAAAGGTCACCTGCATAAGAAGGTCATTTTTCACTTGAGTTGTCTGTAGAAAAAGAACAAGAAAAGTAGTAGAAAAGACAGGAAGCTGAAAATTTGGCAGTTAAATGCACATTTATTTACATTAAGAAAATCAACATGTACATATATTATGCAAGTACGGAAGGATTGTTTTTCTCTTGAATTTTACATAAATCCATAGTGATATGGATAATATTTTTGTATGTAGATTTAAAACAACAAAATCAATTAATATGTTTTATAATTGATAAAACTGGAAACATTTGCTACCAAAAACTTTTGAGGTAAATTACAGGCATTTGTAAGTTGGAAATGCGGTACATTTACTATTGCATGGCACACTGTGGTATTAGGGCAACTGAAGAATGTCTAACATTATGTCATTGTAGGACAGGGTCTTGTGGAAACCACATAAGATTTAATATACTTTAAACATACTTGATAGCCTGTGTTCACCAACAGCTAGGTTGGAGTGGGAGGAATTAATTTGTCAATAGTTTGAAGGAGGTGGATATTCTCGTACCTATCACTGTGTATATATATAACATCAACAAAGTGGCTTGTCGCGTGTGCATTAGTCAGAAAGCGCTCACACTTCCACAAATAAATTATCTCTTTACCACCAATGAGAGAAAATCAGTTGTCAGATCTTAAGGAAGGCCAATGGCCTGATACCATGCCAGGGGTCAATGTAAGGCGTAGTCGTGTAACTAATTACACGTAGTACCTTGTAGATACAGTGCCCTGTTTAGTAACCCTGGTTGTAGAAATATTTTTGAGATGTATTTGTTTTGAAATCTGAAGTATAACATCACGTTATATCATAATTTAATATATTTTATTCATTTTTCTTTTCTGAAATATTTTAACAAATATTTTAAATTGTTGTTGACACAAATATATTAGGATCAATATTTGTTTACTTTGGTTGATGTTGTCAAAGATATGTAAAGTTATTATTGTTAAAAACAAATGTGTTAAATATTAGTTGTATGTATTAATTTTATTAATTTCTGTTTTATGTAACAACTATTGTTTTCTTTTAAAGTAATGACAGCTCCTTATTTTTCAGAAGTCTTTTTATATAATCTCTGGATTTGCAGTTCAAAGATTTTTGAACAAATTTTGGTGAACTACAACGAACTAATTTCAAAACTGTCGGCTGTAGATTCCAGCAGTCATACAATGTATGTGCCAGGAAAATATAAATGTGAACCAAGTTTTGTTTTGCTGACCTTTTTATGAGATTTAATATTCACTGGTAATAATTAATCTTACATGTATTTTTCTATATTTTGGTTTCATTGTTTTTTGCTTTGATTAGATTACAGCTTGGTAGTCATGATATCTCACAAAGGTTTCCCTTTTTCTGGTTTTGTATTTTAGACTTTTTCCGTTTGATAACTTTTTATATTAATGATGAAATTTGTTTGTACATGTGACATTTAAGTTTTTCAGACTTTGAAGAAGCCTTTATTTGATTTTACCCGCCCTTACGCATTCCATAAGTCAGGTATTTATTACTGATTTAAAGGTCACCTGAGTCTCAGGGTGACCTATCGCAATCCCCTTTTGTCTGGCGTCGTGTGTCGTTGTGAGTCAAAAACTTTTTAACATTTTTGACTTCTGCTGGAATACTCCCGAACTGGTTTCAATGAAATATAAAAAAATCTTTCATGGATAAAGGCACACCAAAAACTGTGAATTATATGGTTCCTTACCCCGAAGGGCCTGAGGAGTGGGGCCAAGAATGGTCAAATTGATTAAAACTTTAAAAATCTTCCCAAATCTAAGGTATGATAGAATCAAGTACCCTTCATTGATAGAAAGGCCTTCAAAGGCTTTACTAAAATTGTAAATTTCATGACCTCAGAATCTCACATTTCCACTTGGGGAGGGGATAAAATTTACTTTTGTTTATATAGGAAAATAACATTTGGAACATTATTTGTTTATTTTATATTTAAAATAGTTCAAACCTGCTTAGAATTATTAGTTTAAGATGACAGGGCCAAAAATGGGTCAAATTGACTGAAATTTCAAAGTTGTTCTACTCTTCCTGGATGAAAGATGTTAAAAAGGAAAATTAAAATCTTTAATGTTTAAACTTGGTTAGAAGCCTTAGTATGGGACAGCAGTTAATGTATACACAATTTACATTTGCAGTATGTGTACAATACAGTTTAAGTTAGGTTACTTTTTTGAACAGGAAGCATTATGACTCGGGTGACCGTTAAGGCCTGTGGGCTTCTTGTTCTTTTTGAAATTATTTTTTGTTATGTATGTAACTTCAATAAAGAATCTATTTAAATGATATGTCATGTTTCTTATAACTTTCATAATTGAAGCGTTCAAATATTATCATAGTTCCCATTTTTTCTGATATATTTCATCTTTTCAGGTTAACCAATCCTTATCGGCATCCTTCTGGTCACATTATACCGACTACAGGTTAACCAGTTCTTATCGGCATCCTTCTGGTCACATTATACCGACTACAGGTTAACCAGTTCTTATCGTCATCCTTCTGGTCACATTATACAGACAACAGGTTAACCAGTTCTTATCGGCATCCTTCTGGTCACATTATACAGACAACAGGTTAACCAGTTCTTATCGGCATCCTTCTGGTCACTTTATACCAACAACAGGTTAACCAGTTCTTATCGTCATCCTTCTGGTCACATTATACTGACAACAGGTTAACCAGTTCTTATCGTCATCCTTCTGGTCACATTATACCGACATCAGGTTAACCAGTTCTTATCGTCATCCTTCTGGTCACATTATACCGACTACAGGTCAACCAGTTCTTATCGTCATCCTTCTGGTCACATTATACCGACTACAGGTTAACCAGTTCTTATCGTCATCCTTCTGGTCACATTATACCGACTACAGGTTAACCAGTTCTCATCGTCATCCTTCTGGTCACATTATACCGACTACAGGTTAACCAGTTCTCATCGTCATCCTTCTGGTCACATTATACCGACTACAGGTTAACCAGTTCTTATCGTCATCCTTCTGGTCACATTATACCGACTACAGGTTAACCAGTTCTCATCGTCACCCTTCTGGTCACAGTATACAGACAACAGGTTAACCAGTTCTTATCGTCATCCTTCTGGTAACATTATACCAACAACAGGTTAACCAGTTCTTATCGGCATCTTTCTGGTCACATTATACCACCAACAGGTTAACCAGTTCTTATCGTCATCCTTCTGGTCACATTATACAGACAACAGGTTAACCAGTTCTTATCGGCATCTTTCTGGTCACATTATACCACCAACAGGTTAACGCGTTCTTATCGTCATCCTTCTGGTCACTTTATACCAACAACAGGTTAACCAGTTCTTATCGTCATCCTTCTGGTCACATTATACCGACAACAGGTTAACCAGGTCTTATCGTCATCCTTCTGGTCGCATTATATAGACAATAGGTTAACCAGTTCTTATCGTCACCCTTCTGGTCATATTATGCAGACAACAGGTAAACCAGTTCTTATCGTCATCCTTCTGGTCACATTATGCAGACAACAGGTTAACCAGTTCTTATCGGCATCCTTCTGGTCACATTATACCGACTACAGGTTAACCAGTTCTTACCGTCATTCTTCTGGTCATATTACATCGACAACAGGTTAACTAGTTCTTATCGTCACCCTTCTGGTCACATTTTACAGACAACAGGTTAACCAGTTCTTATCGTCATTCTTCTGGTCACATTACATCGACAACAGGTTAACCAGTTCTTATCGTCATCCTTCTGGTCACATTACACCGACAACAGGTTAATCAATCCTTCTCGTCATCCTTCTGGTCACATTATACTGACAACAGGTTAACCAGTTCTTATCGTCATTCTTCTGGTCATATTACATCGACAACAGGTTAACCAGTTCTTATCGTCATTCTTCTGGTCACATTACATCGACAACAGGTTAACTAGTTCTTATCGTCACCCTTCTGGTCACATTTTACAGACATCGGTTCAGCCAGTTCTCTTGCATTCATCAAGTGATGATCGTCAAGTAGGGCACATAAAGTTATATTTTAGCCCACTATCACCAGATGACAAAAGACAACAGAAAAGAAGGGAAAAGATCCAACCTTCAAAGAGCAAATAAAGATTAAATAATGGCGGCGCTCAGATCTCTTGTATGACTTAAGTATGCTGATATTTCATGTCTTGGGTATCGAAACAACTGCCTTCCGCACTTGGTCGGAAGATTAACACTGATAAACCTGAAGGAGACAGTCACGATGAATAAAGGAAGAAGAAAAGGAAGAATATATCTATATTCATGTTTAGTTACTTGTTAGGGTCATGTGATAGTGACAGAGAATGATACTAGTTTGTAAACAATAACAAACTGTGTTACAAGTTCACATTACGGATTCATTGGACATTCATACATTAAATATCTTTTTCAATTGCTTATATCTCTCGGCCTGGTATATTTCTGTTTAGAAAAAATCTATTTTAGAGAAAAGATACCCAATGACGTCATTGCTTTACTGATTTAATGTCCTACTTATTTATTTTGATGTAAACAATTCGCACATTCCACAAAATCGTCATCTATTACCCAATCGTATAATAAGCATTGGTGCAACTCTTAATGAAATAACAGCGCTTAATGTAATAATTATTACATTAAGCGTTGCTACTGTTGCGCTTAGTATAATAAACTTCTTTTTAATTACATAAAGCGCTGTAACTAATATGCTTAATGTGATAAGTTTGTTTTTATTACATAATTATTTATTAACTATAATTATTATTGCATTAAGCGTTGTTAGTTATTACATTAAGCGTTGTTAGTTATTACATTAAGCGTTGTTAGTTATTACATTAAGCGTTGTTAGTTATTACATTAAGCGTTGTTAGTAATTACATTAAGAGTTGTATCCTGATCTAAATCCTGTTAATATCAGTACGATTTGGGTGACATCTTTAGGGCATGTCAGGTGAAATAAAGTAATTTATATGGAAATAGTGTTTATTGCACAAATATAAATTACAATAAACAATGTATTTACTTGATTTATTGAGAGAAAAAATCCATTTCTGCGCTAAAAACACAATCCGACCAATCTTCGTACAATCAGTACTGTGTTAAGCGCGAGGACTATGCATTCTATTTATCTCGTTCGTTGTGGAATTTCTCGACGTTTATTATCAATCACTACTTACGAACATTCCTCCTGTGAGAAGGATATATGCTCTCTGTATTGCCTGGTGAACCCGGAAGATCTCGCAAGGTCATGTGCATGTCTCCACAATAATTTGGGAATGTCACCGAATTCCCCTTTCAATGTATTGATAGAAATGGTTGTGTCTTTAATGATAGCCAAAATGAAGAGATAGGTGTTAAAAATAAGTGACAATGGATGGTATACTGGTTCCGTTTTTAGTTATCTCACGTCATTTAAGAATCTGCCATTATTTACTTAGATTAAATAAAATTTAAATGGCGGTTGTCGTCGATAAAGCGGGACACGCTTACTCTTACGTAACACCCGGTTTTAGTCTTCCTGTCAAAGACTCATCGTGTAAATCTTTCATTTGGTTTTATTTTGTCCTAGTTTGATTGTATTAACTCTTTTGACATGTTTGATGGTCTTACAGTTTAACAGAAGCGTTGTTCCGTCTGTAACATAGACGGTGGGATTAGAATTTCTGGAATGACGGGTTGTTACATATGCCAGTAAGAACATCTTATATACCAGTAGATAAGACCTAATCCTAAACAGTTTGTACTAAATTTAAACTCTATCACATCTCCGCAAAAAAACTTATCATATGTCTTCATGTGTTATTTCCGTCTCCATGTTAATGAAAAATGAAATCTTCAAAACAATTCCATTTTATCGTGTTGGAAACTGAAATTGATAATTATTGATAGTTGCTCTAACAAAGCGGGTCGAACGAAACCTAGTCGTTTTCCTTTCTCACTTCACATTTTACGTTTTATTTTATTTTTTACGTAATCAGAATGTTGCAGATAATATAAAAAGCATTACACCGACAAATTGTCCGTGATGACATCAACTAAGTTCATTCATACCTAACCTTGAACGAATGTGACCTTGCACGAATGTTTATATAAGTCAGTAACTGTACTATTACAAAAACAAATATTTTTGTTACTCACTTGGACGGTCATGAACTTACATAAATTAAGATAAAAGGTTCCAGATTCCGTCATCTCTACTCAATATTGCCTGTTTACATCCACATTGACCGGAACATGCAGAAGCTAGGCACGTAGGTTTGCGTGCCGTCCGAACAGCTTGACCAGGGATAAAATTCCAACAGGAAAGTCGTGAAGAAACAGACATTTGACATTTATGTAAGTATAAAGCGTATACTCTCTTTACGTAAACAATGAAACAAAAATTATAATGATCACGTCATTTCGATGTTACCTAATGGTCGTATTTAATGGGAATCATTCAGACGTTTTTAACATGATATCACACTGATACAGGTGTATAGTAATTCTTATCATCTTTCTGGTATAGATAGCACTATAACAATCAGATAAAACAGAACAGCTACGTTGTGCATGCATGTTAAAGCATATCTTTCGTAAGACAAATATCATAACATGTGATTTTTTAAATTTTAATGTCTCTGTAACTTTTTTCTTCATAGCATTCCTCTTTATTGATAAAAAAGTCTAAAGTTTACATTTTGGAACTCCACAAGTAAGCTTTTACTGAAAACAAACGTGCCCAACTACGAATATGAACATGTAAAGGCAAATTTTAAATGAAAAACAGAAGATAAATACCTTGTACAAAGTAAACATCTTGAATGAAAATAGGAAAACGCTTTCCTTGAAGAATGATTCAAACTGAACATTGATATTACGGAAACATTTCTTTTTTGCAGAAAACAATGTCGGCGACAAGTGCATACCTAGAGGGCCTCATTGACGAATGCGGAGGGTTTTCAAAATTCCAGGTTATCATTTTCACCATTGTTATGACGAGCAAATTCAGTGCAACATGGAGTACGCTGATGATGACATTTGCTGGAGCCATTCCTGACTGGGATTGTATTTATGATGAATCTTTAGGAACTTTGTCAAATCAGTCAGTTGTGACGAACACTTCAATGTACGATGAAAATTTCTCGAACAGTTCTTATCAACAATGTCAGCCTCCGGAAAATGCTACTGCCGACAGGTGTATGGAATATCGTTTTAAGGACGACATGAATACCGTCGTGAACGAGGCTAGTACAAACAAATAACGTAATGCATAGAGTGCACTGTTTAATATCTGATGAGCCTGTCAAGGCCTGTATCTGTATATTCGTTATAAATAGCATTTGGTTGTATGTAAACCGTTTGAAGTTCCTGTACATTTGTTATTTTCTAAATATCATATTTATATATATATATATATACACACACACATATATATACACACATATATATATTCGTGAAAGTAACATTAGGGGGATACCACGTGAATACATCATTTAGGTAAACATTAATAATTCTTCATTGATTTGACACCAAATCGATTTCAATTAAGGCAAAATGTCAAAGCTAATTAAAAATAAAGCTTTTTATTTATTTTTCATTCTAAGATATTTATATACTAGTTACCGTTCATAAAAGATTGCAGGCACGGATATCTGTTATATTGGAACGTTGCCATGGTTTGGCCGTGGGTTAATATTTTTTTTATTTCAAACCATTTCCTCAGGGGAAAAACGTTATAAAAAGACAGAAAAATTCACCTTGCCAATAGAAAGTTATAGCGAAGCACATGTGCTACATAAGGTGTCGCAAAAGTGGTAATTTATCAGAAAATATTTAGAAAATAAACGTCTTTGTGGTAAATAAATCCGTTTTGTCTATATGTGTGTGTACATGTAATTAAAAGTAAAAATAATAGTAACAGTAAATCTGGCAAAGCTCAAACGTTTATTCTCAAATCTCATAACACTTACCTATTGATGACAAGCTAAATTAAAAAGTTAGAATATCTTCAAACAAAATTACCGTGTATAGATTGCAGCCATTCTTCTTCTGATACACGATATCTTTAAGGTGAATACAAATATAACGCTTTCTTCATATCTAAACGGGGTAAAACAGTACGAGTTATTTCCCTGTAATAAATTTTGTTGTGTAAAAATATTACGATAGATGAAATCTCTTGTTCAGACTGTTGATAATCGTTATAAAGTAATATCTGATGATGTTTTTTCAACTTGTCTACTTCACTCTTAAGAATAATGAAAACTATAAAGAAAAAAAATCATCTTTAAAACGACTTTTTTTTATGTTGGCAAAATGATCATTGTTAAATCGGCGAAGGTTTTATTTTCTGGTGATATCAAAATGTTTTGTTTTGAAGGCAGTAAAACTGAAGGTTAAATACTCTGGAACTATCGTTCGATGTTAGTTATATTTGCACTCCCAAACAAGCAAATATCGGAGAAATCTGTCTTCAATAACGAGCCTGACTGTTTGTGTTCCTTACTGACATCTGTAGATCAATCAAACGTATTTCTGAGTAATGTTGAGAACCAGGCACCAGGTTCCCAGAACTTGGTTAGGGTAATCAATGGTTAGTGATTTGATTAAAATAAGGAATTTTCTCTTTTCTAGACCGTAGATTTGATGAGACAGGTCAGATTGGTAATTTCGAGTATTGATTCTGTGGTTAAAGCCCCCCCCCCTTTAAAAAAAAAAAAAAAAACAATTTGATATTTTTTGCCGACCTTTGTTTAACTACATGTATAACCAAGCTTTGTGTAACTGGGCCATGTGGTCTGGATCCCTCACATATATATTGTATTTTCATTTTCTGTTTCCTCTGTAGACTGGAATGTGTTACTTGTAAACAAGTTGATGGTTTTTTTGGACTATCACGTTCACGTCTTTTCCTCAATTTTCACCAGAATGCAACACTAACATTTAAAGCTATTCTTGTAATGTTAACCACGACACGTACAGCAGGCAACTTACCCTGGAACTCGTGCAATTCAACTCTATTTAATCCATTAAATTAGCGATCATGTGATTAATTATCATAAAATGTTAGCGTATTGTTCATCAATGGAGATACGAATTATTTACTATATTTCAACAATTACGGATAGTATAAATATAACATACTCTGTTTTTCAACTTTTAACTTTCAGATAAACATAGATTTTGTGTAATCGCCTAAAACAAGAAACTAGAATACTTTTCACATTATCATTATCAAGGAATATCTATTTCGTTGTTTTTGGTACAATTGTGAAAACAAATGAATATCTCTGCCAATGTACATATTCTATCTGTAATCTGATTTAAGCATTTTTCGTGCTGAAAGTATTGCGTTTTCTATATAATTGTAAATGCGTAAATTTATCGATCAATACTCAAATTTATCAATATATAATATTGCGCTAAAATTACATTGTGAAAAATGAAGAACGTTTACATTGACTGTGCGACAAACACAGTTCTTTAGCACATTTTTCGTAAACACTACATACCAATTCGCTTCCCTTTCTTTTTAAACTTGTTACAAAAATGTGAATATATTGAACAATGAAAACTGCTTTTACATCAGAACATTTCAAAATAGACGTATGTGAGGTAACGTTTCAACAACTTTCAACTATATGTTTTTTGCAGTGGACATTGGTGTGTGACAAAGAAGGGATAGCATCAACTATCACCATGATACAGATGGCTGGACTACTGATCAGTGGAGTGACCGCTGGTCACTTGGCAGACATCATTGGCCGAAAACCTACCTACTTCTTATCGTTAGCTATAATGGCCATTTTCAACGTTTGTGCTGGTTTTTCGGTGTCCTGGGAAATGTTTGCAGCTCTGAGGTTTTGTCTTGGTTTTGGGATAGGTTGTTATCTGACAGTGTTTTACAATTTTCTGATTGAGTTTACGCCAGCCAAGTACCGCGCAGCCGTAACAGCCCTCCCGTCCTGGCCTGTCTGGGCATGCGTGTTTGGATTTTTGTCAATGTGGCTGCATGACTGGAAGTACCTCCACTTCGCCACAGCTATACTTATCCTACCATATCTACTATGCTGGTGGTATTTATCTCTCTGTCAATGATCTTTTGATTGTGTTTCTCCTAAAGCATGAATCTAATGTGTTGCTCTCTGGAGGAATGACTATCCATCGGAAACATTCCAACAGGTTGATAGGATTGGTGTCAGAGATGAAAATGTTCTATATTTTAAATCATAGATAATCACTAGCGAAACTCGCCCAAAAAAGGTCAAATTGACTGAAATTTCAAAAATCGTCTTAATATACATTTAAGTTAGAACCAAATCTACTTTTTGGATGAAATTGTCTTAAGATGCTTTACACAAATTGTAGATTTTATTATCTAAGGATCTCACATTTACCCCTGGGGAGGAGTAAAATACTATGTAATTCAAACGTGGCTATAAGCCTTGGGATGACAGTTAAGGTTATGCACGGTTTACATTTGAATTACATGTACAATGTACATGTAGTGTTAGGTATCTTACATTTTTAATGAAACTATTTCTATAACATGTTACACGAACAATTGTAACTCAGGTGACCGTTATGGTCCTTCGGCCTCTTGCTTACACTTTAACACTCCTTTCACTACAAACTATAACACTTACCTTTGAATTTTTAAAGGATAACTCCAGAGAGCTTCCGATACCTCGTTTCCCACAACAAGATAGATGAGGCCGAGGAAATAATTCGCCGAATGGCACGTACAAACGGGCGCCCTGTTCCCGATCTGAAGAGATTACGCTTTTTGGCAGAGGAGGATATAAAGACAAAAGAAAAGAAACACACAATAAAAGACTTGCTGATGGACCGTACCTTGTTTAAACGTACATGTCTCCTTGGAGTAGGATGGTTCGTATGATCGAGTTTGAAAATTAATGTGAAATACATATTATCTGGCTTAAAATTAAATATTTTCTTGAAAAAACAATTTCCAGTTTGACTTTCCTACAATTATATATAAAACAAACATTTGTCAATATTATTATTATTAGTAGTATAAACAATATATTACAATGTTAAAATTACTATAGAAAATTTATTACAATGTTATAATTACTATAGAAAATTACTATACCACCACCGCATCATTCAGAGACAATTTAAAATATAGTATCAACATATGCTGATAATTTGTATAATAGTCAACACATATCGGTAATTTATATCATATTGTCAACACATATCGGTAATTTATATCATATTGTCAACACATATCGGTAATTTATATCATAGCGTCAACACATATCGGTAATTTATATCATAGCGTCAACACATATCGGTAATTTATATTATAGCGTCAATACATACCGGTAATTTATATCATAGCGTCAACACATATCGGTAATTTATATTATAGCGTCAACACATATCGGTAATTTATATCATAGCGTCAACACATATCGGTAATTTTTATCATAGCGTCAACACATATCGGTAATTTATATCATAGCGTCAACACATATCGGTAATTTATATCATAGCGTCAACACATATCGGTAATTTATATCATAGCGTCAACACATATCGGTAATTTATATCATAGCGTCAACACATACCGGTAATTTATATCATATTGTCAACACATACCGGTAGTTTATATTATAGCGTCAACACATACCGGTAATTTATATCATAGCGTCAACACATATCGGTAATTTATATCATAGCGTCAACACATATCGGTAATTTTTATCATATTGTCAACACATATCGGTAATTTATATCATAGCGTCAACACATACCGGTAATTTATATCATAGCGTCAACACATATCGGTAATTTATATCATAGCGTCAACACATATCGGTAATTTATATCATAGCGTCAACACATATCGGTAATTTATATCATAGCGTCAACACATACCGGTAATTTATATCATAGCGTCAACACATACCGGTAATTTATATCATAGCGTCAACACATACCGGTAATTTATATCATAGCGTCAACACATACCGGTAATTTATATCATAGCGTCAACACATACCGGTAATTTATATCATAGCGTCAACACATATCGGTAATTTTTATCATAGCGTCAACACATACCGGTAATTTATATCATAGCGTCAACACATACCGGTAATTTATATCATAGCGTCAACACATACCGGTAATTTATATCATAGCGTCAACACATATCGGTAATTTTTATCATAGCGTCAACACATATCGGTAATTTATATCATAGCGTCAACACATATCGGTAATTTATATCATAGCGTCAACACATATCGGTAATTTATATCATAGCGTCAACACATATCGGTAATTTATATCATAGCGTCAACACATATCGGTAATTTATATCATAGCGTCAACACATATCGGTAATTTTTATCATAGCGTCAACACATACCGGTAATTTATATCATAGCGTCAACACATACCGATAATTTATATCATAGCGTCAACACATACCGGTAATTTATATCATAGCGTCAACACATATCGGTAATTTATATTATAGCGTCAACACATACCGGTAATTTTTATCATAGCGTCAACACATACCGATAATTTTTATCATAGCGTCAACACATATCGGTAATTTATATCATAGCGTCAACACATACCGATAATTTATATCATAGCGTCAACACATATCGGTAGTTTATATTATAGCGTCAACACATACCGGTAATTTTTATCATAGCGTCAACACATACCGATAATTTATATATCATAGCGTCAACACATATCGGTAATTTTTATCATAGCGTCAACACATATCGGTAATTTATATCATAGCGTCAACACATATCGGTAATTTATATCATAGCGTCAACACATATCGGTAGTTTATATTATAGCGTCAACACATATCGGTAATTTATATTATTGTGTCAACACAAACTGACATTTCTGTTATAGTTTGGATTTGATTTATATTGTTTAACATCATGTCAACTGCTTTTGTCATTAATGGCGGCTTCACGATGTAAGCGACGTGAACGTTTGAATAAACTTTCCGACATTATATAGCAACCATATTGAAGTATACTGACGAAGGCACCCAGCAGGGTACTCCTCCGGTCACATTATACTGACGAAGGCACACAACAGGGTACTCCACCGGTCACATTATACTGACGGAGGCACACTACAGGGTACTCGACCTGTCACATTATACATTACGGGTAAGGCACCCTACGGATACTCGGAGGCACCCAACAGGGTACTCCACCGGTCACATTATACTGTACCCTACAGGGTACTCGACCGGTCACATTATACTGACGGAGGCTCCACCGGTCACATTATACTGACGAAGTACTGACGGACCCAACAGGGTACAACAGGGTACTCCACCGGTCACATTATACTGACGGGTACCCTACAGGGTACTCGACCGGTACCCAACACGGAGGTCACATTATACTGACGGAGGTACCCAACAGGGTACCCCACCGGTCACATTATACTGACGGAGGTACCCAACAGGGTACTCCACCGGTCACATTATACTGACGGAGGAACCCAACAGGGTACTCCACCGGTCACATTATACTGACGAAGGTACCCAACATCAGACTACTGCGGCACAGTAAACTGTCGGACTGTCCCTACAGGGTACTCCACCGGTCACATTATACTGACGGAGGTACCCAACAGGGTACTTCACCGGTCATTATACTGACGAAGGCACCCAGCAGGGTACTCCACCGGTCAAATTATACTGACGAAGGCACACTAAAGGGTACTCGACCGGTCACATTATACTGACTAGGCACACTACAGGGTACTCGACCTGTCACATTATACGGACGGAAGTACCCTACAGGGTAGTCGACCGGTCACATTATACTGAAGGAGGCACCCAACAGGGTACTCCACCGGTCACATTATATTGACGGAGGTACCCGACAGGGTACCCACTCGGTCACATTATACTGACGGAGGCACCTAACAGGGTACTCAGGGTACTCCACCGGTCAAATTTGTCTGACGGTGGTACCCTTCATGGTACTCAGGCACCCTACAGGGTACTCCTCCGGTCACATTATACTGACGAAGGCACCCAACAGGGTACTTCACCGGTCACGTTATACTGACGGAGGTACCCTACATGATACTCGACGGTCACATTATACTGACGGAAGTACCCTACAGGGTACTCGACCGGTCACATTATACTGACGGAGGTACGCAACAGGGTACTGGTCACATTATACTGACGGAAGGCACCCAACAGGGTACTCCACCGGTCACATTATACTGACGAAGGGTACTCCACCGGTCACATTATACTGACCGGTGGAGAACCCAACAGGGTACTCCACCGGTCACATTATACTGACGGAGGTACCCAACATGGTACTAAGGCACCCTACAGGGTACTCCACCGGTCACATTATACTGACGAAGGTACCCTACATGATACTCGACGGTCACATTATACTGACGGAAGTACCCTACAGGGTACTCGACCGGTCACATTATACTGACGGAGGTACGTAACAGCGTACTCCACCGGTCACATTATACTGACAAAGGCACCCAACAGGGTACTCCACCGGTCACATTATACTGACGGAGGTACCCAACAGGGTACTCCACCGGTCACATTATACTGACGAAGGTACCCAACAGGGTACTCCACCGGTCACATTATACTGACGAAGGCACCCTACAGGGTACTCCACCGGTCACATTATACTGACGAAGGTACCCTACATGATACTCGATGGTCACATTATACTGACGGAAGTACCCTACAGGGTACTCGACCGGTCACATTATACTGACGGAGATACGTAACAGCGTACTCCACCGGTCACATTATACTGACAAAGACGGCACCCACAGGGTACTCGACCGGTCACATTATACTGACCCAACAGGGTACTTCACCGTACTGGAAGGCACCCAGCAGTACTCCACCGGTCACCCTATACTGACGAAGGCACACTACAGGGTACTCCACCGGTCACATTATACTGACGGCACACTACAGGTACTCCACATTATACGGAGGGAAGTACCCTACAGGGTAGTCGATCGGTCACATTATATTGACGGAGGAACCCAACAGGGTACTCCACCGGTCACATTATACTGACGGAGGTACCCAACATGGTACTAAGGCACCCTACAGGGTACTCCACCGGTCACATTATACTGACGAAGGTACCCTACATGATACTCGACGGTCACATTATACTGACGGAGGTACCCAACATGGTACTAAGGCACCCTACAGGGTACTCCACCGGTCACATTATACTGACGGAGGTACCCAACAGGGTACTCCACCGGTCACATTATACTGACGGAGGTACGTAACAGCGTACTCCACCGGTCACATTATACTGACTACCCAACATGGCACACTACAGGTACATTATACGACCTGTCACATTATACTGACGGGTACTCCACCGGTCACATTATACACCCTCACCGGTCACATTATACTGACGGAGGCACCCAACAGGGTACTCCACCGGTCACATTATACTGACGGAGGTACCCAACAGGGTACTCCACCGGTCAAATTATACTGACGAAGGCACACTACAAGGTACTCGACCGGTCACATTATACTGACTAGGCACACTACAAGGTACACGACCTGTCACATTATACGGACGGAAGTACCCTACAGGGTAGTCGACCGGTCACATTATACTGACGGAGGTACCCAACAGGGTACTTCACCGGTCATTATACTGACGAAGGCACCCAGCAGGGTACTCCACCGGTCAAATTATACTGACGAAGGCACACTAAAGGGTACTCGACCGGTCACATTATACTGACTAGGCACACTACAGGGTACTCGACCTGTCACATTATACGGACGGAAGTACCCTACAGGGTAGTCGATCGGTCACATTATATTGACGGAGGTACCCAACAGGGTACCCCACCGGTCACATTATACTGACGGAGGTACCCAACAGGGTACCCCACCGGTCACATTATACTGACGGAGGTACCCAACAGAGTACTCCACTGGCCATATTATACCGACGAAGGTACCCTACAGGTTATTCCACCGGTCACATTATTCTGACGAAGGTACCCAATAGGGTACTCCACCGGTCACATTATACTGACGAAGGCACCCTACAGGGTACTCCACCGGTCAAATTATACTGACGAAGGTACCCAACAGGGTACTCCACCGGTCACATTATACTAACGGAGGTACACAACAGGGTACTAGATCGGTCACATTATACTGACGAAGGCACCCTACAGGGTACTCCACCGGTCACATTATACTGACGAAGGTACCCAACAGGGTACTCCACCGGTCACATTATACTGACGGAGGCACCCAACAGGGTACTCCACCGGTCACATTATACTGACGGAGGCAATCAACAGGGTACTCCACCGGTCACATTGTACTGACGAATGTACCCTATAGGGTACTCGACCGGCCACATTATACTGACGGAGGCACCCTACATGGTACCCCACCGGTCACATTATACTGAAAAATAAAACATGTTCTACACTTAAACATCAGTTAACTTAAAGATTCAAAACTGCATGATCACAAAATAAGATACCAAGTATATCTATATGGATATAATTTTATATTTCCAGTACACATTTTAACAAATTCAGTCATTTTTTTCTTCCGTAGGTTGTCCTGTGGCTATGGTTACTACGCCATCTCCTTCGGAGTACAGCATTTGTCCGGGAATCTTTACCTCAATATGTTCCTGCTTAGCGCTGTGGAAATTCCTACCCAAATATTGAATTATTTCTTTACGAACAAGTAATTTTCCTTCTCCATTAAGTGAGAATATATGTTAATATAGCACATTTTTCAGTAGACAGACAGACAGACAGACAGACAATCAAATTATGTTTACTTACTTTTCGACACCGACTTCTCACTTACCGTATAATAGTAAGGGACCAGATTATACCTATGTGTCGGGACATGTATTAGTGTCGCATGTGTTTATCATGATATGTTTATCGTGCGGAATATCACAATGTGTCAGAACATCTATGCTAATTATCTTAAAAAAAATTAGTCTATCCTATACTATCATGTGTCGAGTTTCGTTCTGACAGACAAGGTAAGATAAAGTACACAGCAGACTCGACTGATCAGTGCTCGAACAAATATATATATATGTATGTATAATATGAATACTTGTCGACGACTTAAGATTAATGTTTTCTGATACTGGAAGTGCCATATAATGAACGTTCTCTCCTATATTAAAAACACACGCAGTAATTGTTACATTTTCGGCAGTAAATTAAACGCCATCAAAGTAATTCTCATTTCAAAAGTTAAATAGATCATATATAAAGGGAGGTAACTCGTACAAAAATACACTCACTATCACACAAAACACAAATATTTTTACATATGATTATTATTAGATTATTTGAATATATTACATAAACTATAATCATATTTCAACACAGTTATTGGTAGACATTGACCAAAAGTCCATCAGATTAATGGAGGGTATTGAGAGAAGCCATCCAGTATTTACTATGTTGTTATGTTGTCGTTCTATATCAAGATATTAGTATCTCTTTTGTTAAAAAAAAAAAAAAAACACACACACACACACACATATACACAGAAGAATAATTTATAGGTCAATACTGTGGTAAAAATGTACGAGATCAATGAATTCATGTTTTTAATTGATGGGCCCCGAGAACACTGGTCAGCATTCGTTTTCTAAGTTTGTATCGTAGTCTCTGAATTAAGCAAATCCACATTCGATGCAGATATTTGTTTATTTCAGATTTTTTGCTTTAGAAACCAGTTTTATTTTTTGATAATTGTCATGCACAGCAATGTCGGCTGCGCAGTCGTCTGCTTGAATTCAGATAAACATGGCGTTGTTGGAAAGCTTGTTTTTACTAGAAGTAGAACATTGCCTACATCCTGAGTAGCCGTATCGGTCGTTTTGTGGAATGAGAACCGAAAATAAAATAAGTGTTCAGAGCACTGATCAGGTTAGTCTAAAAAAAAGCACAAACTTGGTGTAGGTGTCTACTTTTTCAAATCTAAATTTCAACATTGAGTATTTACTAAAAGAAGAATCAGACTCAAGATATGCTTTTGATAGAAATGGACAACTTTACGAATATTAAGTTTTTTCAAACCAACTATAATAACAAAATTTGATTAACGTCCAAGTTAATTAAGATAGTCTGGCGACCGTCAGCGTCCCAGAAATGTGACGGGAGAATGTTTGACATCAATCTATACAAGGATATATGTCAAGGGTCTAAGTGAATTTGCTTAAGGGAAATGGTATTTAGGGTTGTCGGCATGAAGACATGAGCAAAATCAACACGGAGGTTTATGCCCCCATTTTGCCAAAATGTAGAAAAAAGTAGGGAGAGTCGGGGAATCGAAATTATCAGTTACCTTGGAAAATGAAGAATAAAACACGGAGTTCTGCTTCATTAGTAATAGACTTAACGTTGAAATACATTAAAGTTTAAATCGGGATATTGATATAGGTGTTATCTGGGACAATAAAACATATCTGTCTTTGTTAAACTTCATAATCACACGAGAAAATGTGTTTGTATTGTTAGTATAATAATCACTGAAAGGACAGCTAAGTCCGAATCATGATAACTTTATGTACATTATAGGATAAGGGAAGTAAACAAGGCATGTCGAATGGTTATTTGGTGCATGACGCAGGGAAACTATTTTGTGACAAACTCATTTGAATGTGATATTAATTTCATTTGCGCTTATTAATTTTTAGTTTTTAACAGACTTTTCGTTTTAACATTTAGATTAATCAACGAGAGTGATTTAATTAATGTGTCAGATAAACACGAGACATTTGGCCCGTATCTACCACAATACATGTGTTGTATAATTTAGACACGGACGTGACTAGGATTTTTCATTCGCGAAATTTCTATTAGGGGCAATGTTATGTCAAAATATATTTAAATTTTAATTCTATCAAAACAAAATCAACACAACAACTAGACAGTTTTTTCTTGTGCTTTAAACGTAATCGTGATCTCATATGCTGATTTGAGTGACTTACGGGCGCTTTGCAGTAAAACATCATTTTTGCGTACAGTATGTTATGTATGCTTGGATTGACTGTAAAAAAGACAAGTTAAACAATAAGTATTATACTCAGATTGCAGTGTCGAATCTCAATTGAAATAAAACTAAGTTAAAAGCATCTAATCATTTAGATAGAACAGTACTGCATACAGCTACAAAGAGGGTCACATAATGCAATGAGTTTCATTTAAATTCCTTAAGATTCTTTTCTTGTGTTACGAGTTTGTAATTTTTACTGAACTGTATATATATTGATTTAGATGTATAGTGAGTCATTCAAAAGTGGCTTTGAATTCTTAGCATAGCGTATTGTGGTAGAAATTGTTTTTTCTATACATAATATCAGATTTAAGGATTACATATGAACACGACAGCCGGTAAGCAATATATATATATATATTGTATTGAAATTAATTTATACTCACAGGGTTGGTCGACAAAAGTCAGCATTCGTATTATTACTGATGGGAGGTCTGTCTGGGATCGTGGTAGCAGCAGCAGAAATAAGTGGTAACTACGCTTCATAAATGAAATAATTTATTGATTTGTTAAATAATCTCGCTGTATATATTGTGAATATATTCCACAGTGTTTCACTTTATCTTAACAAATGCCTACGTTTCTCATCTAGTATTTCCAAATTTGTTTATCACCATGAACTCAGAATTTGAGTTTCAGATATAAGGTAAAACATATATTATCTAACGTCAAATGAGGAACAAGGTTATGAAAAAGTAAGAAATATTATCAGTTAAAATTCAAGTTTTAGCAGACCTACGAACAATATTATTATATGTTTTGCTCTGATAATCAATATGACACTAGTATATATTGCGTTATATCTTAAAACAATGATGTAGATATTATACGTAAAAAATACGTTAAAGTGCAACATACAAGTACAGAAAAGTCGATATGATAATCAGATAACGTCACACTCTTTCTACAAGGATATATAAAAAAAAAAAAAAAAAATGAATAAATTTTTAAGTCTGAGGGATCTTCTTTGAAGAATTTTTTTTTCAATATTTTGTAGACTTGAATATAAAACATCAGCTGATTAATGGATTCGCGTTGACGGCGAAGTTATGTGTGGCAACGGGCTGGGCCTCCCTCATGTTACTGACAACAGAGACCTACCCAACTGTTGTAAGGTAAAGAGCATCATCTCAATCATTCATTTCCTTTGGGGTTTTTGGTAACAGGGGTGTTGTTTATTTACAGTTTCCATTACCTGGTCTTATTAAATAGGTTTTAGTCCAAAATCGAAATTATTTACCTTATCACATTTTTATTGTCAATCAATAAAAGCAAAAATATTTAATTATGCTTAAGTATGGTAGATGTTTAAATAGTTCTGGTGCCAATGGACTAGATAGTTCTGTAGTTCAATAAAGATAATTAAACCTACTCGTGTTTTCATTAGCAAATAAAACATATGTCTGAGATCATTTGCAATGATCTGACACATTGTAGCTATTGGCAATCATTTGAAATCAAATATTTTCACTTTAAATATCATACAAATCCTGAACTACCTGATGAAATGTATTAACGGATAATGAAATGCAGATATTTAGCTATGATTCACCCACATATCAATTTCATCAGCCATGAATTTGTATTGTAGAAACATCGGATTTGGACTCCATAATTCTATATCACGTGTGGGAGCGATGGTTGCACCAAAAATTGTTTACCTGGTAAGTCATAAAGTTGTCCTGTTTAATATGCTTTTTTGTTAAACTTTCCGTCGGCAATGACATAAATGTCATAAAAAGTGTTCGCCTGATTTATTCGAGAATGATGTATCAATAAAGTATGTTAAAAATCCCTGCAGGTAAACATATTGAGTATCCGTAACCAAACGCTTTGTCAACTCTGCTTGATTATAGAAAGAAAGTAAATGAATATTTGATAAGAAACTACATTAATGAGTGTATTGACAAATTGGACATACATGTACCTTCGAGTAGTTTACAGACGTTAACAAAAACTCATTTTAATAAGCGATTGGATTGACCTAATTGGTATGATGCAAAAAACGACATTGTTGTGTATGCAGTCTTGCGAATATTCAATACTGTTAAAGACGTTTAACTACAGTTTGAACCAAAGCATATGATGTTTTTAAAGTGTGTACTTTAACTCTGTCAATAATATTTGATAGGCCAAATTTTATCTACAGATAGCTTTACTCTACTCTCGTTAATGCTTGGATTAGAAGACATTGTGTTACTCTTTCATTTTCAGAACAAATATACACCTGGACTGATGTATTTTCTGTTTGGAGGACTTATGCTGTGTTCTGCAATCTGCACATTGTTGGTGGTAGACACAAACGGCAAACATATGCAAGATCTTATCAAAAGTGATACAAAAAAGGGAAACGTAATTTCCGAGATTCCATCGATCGAAAAAGTGGTTTCGGATAATAGAAAATCACAAACAAATGATGAAATACTATGATGAATATGTAATTTTACGGAACGACTGTATTTAAAAAAATCTGTAAGAATCTATGGTTACCCTATATGCGGAGGTACAGTGTGTACGAATGTTTGACTGTCGATGGCGCAGCAGGTCTCTGACAACCTGAGATTCTTAAAATGGCATTTCCTTAAAAAAAACCCGATGAATTAATACAGATATTTATTAATTTCAAATACTTTAAAAATAAAATATAAAAATTGTCACATGTAATGTGACGTAATGTGTATAATGTGCTCGATATTTTCTTAGGTGACCCGATTCAAGTCTAGATATTTGAAAAGATAGTCAAGGCTGTTAAAAAAATGCTATCAAAAGCCATTTTTCGGCAAGGCCCATTTAACTCTATCATTCGTCGTAAAGGGAAGATTTGAAATATGTGGAAAATATACGCTATATAAAAACTGACTTCCGGTTATTAAATCCTATAACTATCAATATCGATACAGCTTGAAAAAATTAACGATATCTGATTTGGATTATCTTATAAATCATTTCGAAAAAAAACTTATCATCTTAAAACCACTAAAACGGTTCATCATTTCCTATTATCTATAGAAATAGTATTAACGTCTTTTCCACTGTCTTGAATATGGTGTGTCTAATGTAGGAATATTTAAGCTGTTTGATATATGTTTATGACATTCAGTTCCCATACAATTTCAATCATTCATTTATTCAATTCCTGGTCACAGTAATACCATTGCGCAGTGTCTAATTATATTTCCTCTGTTTTTCTCTGTGTTTTGAATGAAAACCTTTCGGAATTCGATCTCATATCACCCTTATCAATGCTCGTTATTGTGGAACTCGGACTATCGGTTACAATACTAAACTGATTATCACGATTATTACAGCATGAGAAACCATGAAAAATAAAAATAACAATGAGAATCTAACACGTTATCTTAATAAAAAATACTCGGCAAATGACCAACACATACGAGTGGTATTAGCAGCAGGAGAACACGGTATTTCAGCAACATGCAATTACGCGCAATTTAATTGGTCAACCGTTATCAGTAGGCTGAATTTCACATCACGGCGTCTCATGTGGTTGGCCTGCTCTCGGACAACAGTTACAGTGTTAAACCAATGTCATTTTCTTGATATTTGATGATGTGCTATATAACAAAGTATATCCATTCATTCAGTGGGTGGATCTGTTGTTTAACATGATTAGTACACCACAGAAGGAAATATCTAGCTATCAAAGTGTTGACCAAATCAAAGTTCGCTACAAAAGAACAATATGCAATTTGAGATTTGGACTATAAAACATGAAAAACGGTCCTGAACAGTAATTTATGGACAAATTTGCAAATTTCAAAGAGCTCAGCCTGCTTGCGAATTGTGTATACTTAGTTTCAATTTTCATAAGTTAAAAATATCTTTCGTCTGAGATTTCAGGAATTGTCGCATTGGTTTTACCTAGAAGCTATAATTCTATCTTTTTCAGTCTTGCTCAAGCTTCTTAATTAAATCCTACTTAATTATTTAAATTTTATTCAAGAATAAAAACCAAGCTTACAGTCGATGAAACCCTAATAACATTTTCAACATTTATCTAATTATTTGTTCAAATTCACACAATGTAAAAGAGGAGACTTAAGAAAATACGTCTATACATACGATTTGTATAGAAAATAGATTAAAAATTAAGTACGTGAAATCAGATGAGTCAACTTTGCGAGTTATTGAATGATAAAATGACCGTAGTAGTACATTGTCACGTCTGTTTCAAACGTATAGATATATAGCTCACGCCTGGAATTAATTACGTAGTTCATCATCATAGTTAATTATATGGCTATTGTCAAACATGATGTTGTTTAAACGGGCTATAATCAGAATGAACACGTGCAACGCACTAAACACAAAAAAACATGTCAAGATCCAGGAGAGCAGTATAACTCACTACCTGATACCGTGAATATCGACTAATAACTAACACCAATGAAACATTCAAGTGTGATAGGTACAATGTATTACATTTTCCTCAATAAAAGATAGGAATTGATTAATTTGACAAAAACTGATAATTTCGACTAACCAGGGCGGTGTTTTCTAGTCATTTGTCTATTTTCGGGTTAGACGCAAATGAAGTGAAAGTTGAACTTTATAGATATATTGTTTACTCAGAAGATTAATTATATTGTCAACAGTAAAATTAAGACTCCTGTCATTAATCAACCCAAATAGAAAGGATTGTTGATTGAAAAGGGTATATAAAGAACATCTAGCAGTGTTTCTAGACTTTTCAGATTTTGTACTTCCTGGCATTCCTACATTAAATGATTTATAGTTTCTCTTTCTGATTTGCAAATAAAACTCAGTGGACTAGCAACTACACTTACTTTAAAAAGTTTTAGATTTGTGGCAAAAAATAGTGTGATATTCGAAATTGAAGCCATTGAAATTTAGTGGGATTTTTGGTGACTTTATACGGACTTTTATAAATTTCATTTTTTTTCTTTCATCAAAACAGGAATTTTTCTTGCCATATTGTTCTACTACAAGTAACTATGATATTATTTTGATTAAGAACGTTGTAGAAAAATTTGGACCCACAAGTATTTTTATAAAACACCAACAAACAAGCGTTGAAGTCGTCTAATTTGGAAATCAAGGATTTTCTTACAACAAAACCAACATGTATGATAGGAAGATTTCGATTACCCTATTGTAAATTTTCTTTTTCTTGATAACAACACCCTGCTTCCCCAACCTCTGGTGTTTACATGTCGCAGTAGATTTTATGTTCATGGACTTGTTCCCGTTATCATGATTTCGTGCAAGAAGTCGGCACTTGACGAACATACACGTAACACAGGGTTTCAAGAGATGTAGATTGACGAAAATTATGGACAAGTTTTTCTATCATCATAGTGATCCCATACAGAAGTATTTAATTTCTTTATGCGATATGTCGGTTTCGCGACATTACTTACTTTGATTGACCAATATTTGCATGGTAGTCTCCGTGTAAATCTTTCTTTTGTTTACATTTTGCCAGAGTTGTAATAAATTCGAGGTTGAATTATATTAACAAGTTGGTATTTTGTTGTTTTCATATCGTACATGGAAAAAAAGAATATTTGCAGATGACGGAAAAACGAAGTCTCCATCAACTAATATCTCTGGAAATCTTGTTAATTTTTCTACTGTCGACATATCTATATGAAGAAAATATTGATATAGTTACTAGACTTGAAACGTTAAACCAACGTGACATACAAACAAAAAATAGTCGAAGTGATGTGCTTGGAAATGGCCAAGTGTTACATGCTGAAGGTAGATAAAAAGCGTTGGTGCTCCGACAAAATAATGTCATATGATTTCAGACTATACGCCAAAAGATGGACTTCAAAATGAAAGGGTGAAAGTCAGAAAAGGCGTTCCGAAATGCGTTTAATTGCGATCGAAGGAACTCAAAACTAGCCTACTATGAAATGACAGTTTGTTTCTAACATTCGGTACAAACAGCCGGTCATATATACAGAAAACAGACAATGCCGTTGTTACGATTGTATTATGACTGTACTTTTATGTTGCTCCATGAAACATTATTCATATATTCATACATATTCATATAAAATATACACTATAACACATTCCTTAATTGATGACGTCATGACGTTTACGGTAAGGCAATTTTTAGGAACAGGTTGAGTCCTATAATCAAGATAACAAGCTTTATTGTCGTTATAGTGGTATGAAAAGCAGTTAAATATATACAAATATGAAAATATGTATATATACAGTTGAGTGCAGACTAATCTTTACCGCTAGTGCGCGTGAAGTGCACACGTTAAAGACTATGTTTAGACTACAGGTAATCTATTTGTGCACTGGTACAGGTAATGAAGCTATCTCCCCCAATGTAGGTAATTGACAGTACCTATAACTATCTGTGATTTTTACCTGTGTGATGTGTTCAGTCATTAACCTTATACTTATCCTACAGTTGTGTCAATGACCTTGTTTTTCATTCTTATGTTAATTCTTACCCATTTTATAATTCAAAATGAAAATAAATTGAATAGGTACAAACTGGCAATGATAACTGATACTTGGTTAAAAATGACGGGGACAAAAGATCAGCGATGATTGAAGCCATCCTATTTTGAGGAGAGATTATATAATTAACTTAATTCATTGAAAGAATTATCTACTGGAAATTCTCAAATGTGTCATAAAAATATATGATATATATATCGATATAAGAAAGTGAAATTTATACTTCAATGATTTGATTCAAAACATAAATTGATAAAACTTCTTTAAATAACTTATTATTATAAAAGTTTATGTTTAGAAATAGCTACTTGATTATTGTACCCAAGGTTGATAATTGATATAGAAGCCATTTATTTCATTACATTGGGAGTATAATACATATATATGTATGTTATACTGATGTAGACCTCTAAATTTTACTTGCCGGGGTTCTGCTAAAGGTAAAATTGGTAATAGCCTTTTTCAGTCATTACAATAAATACAGCTCAATAGATTTTAATGATGCATTGATGACATCAATATATAATATATCTGAAATATATTATTTAAAACAGACTTTAATAAGTGAAACAATATGTTTCCTCATGGGAGATGGATCCAGGTAAAGGAAGTAATTAGCCAATAATTCATTGATAGAGGAAAGAAACTGACAAGGTGTTGAAAGACACACGAAAATTATCGATGTGGGTGAGGTGACTGAAATGGAAGGTCTTTGGTCTAGAAACCACAGGAAGGTTATAACACACTTGCACAATGTTCAATTCAATGTAAAAACGTACACCTGCGTGGTATAACAATAGTACCTGTGAGGCTGGCCCTCATCATATTTATGGCACAGTCGGGCTACAAGTAAATAATCTATGTGAAGAGCGTGACAGGATTGCAAGAATACATAGTTATTTAGTATTAAGCTAAAATATCTCTTAAATCAATCTAAAGTTAAAATAATTGTCTGTATTGCCATTGTCATTGAAATATTAATTGTGAATATAAATGCAAGACAGCATAGGACAGCACGTTACATGCATATATAAGTCTCATTTTGTGTAATCAATTATAACATTTTTATTTCATTTCAGGATGACAATGCATACACTTTCAGCTATTAAAGGAAATTACCCCAGGTTTTAAATAAGATATTTAGAATTTTGAAGTTTAAATGCTCCATTTTGATACTTGTATCGCTACGCATTGTACAGCTCACAGAACCCTTAACCTTCCTCACAGGTGCAATACTGAGGGCAACTAAAGGCCTTAAGTGAAGCAAAATAAAACAGGATCCCAAATTTAGTTGCCTCAGACTCAAAGCTTGTTCCCAACATGATGTTTTCCTTGCATGATGACGTCAACTGACGGACCAACTCATAACACGGTGTCCCCAAAGATGCAGACTGATTGAAATTATAGGGACGCTTTACGTTCTCTGCAGTGACCTCATAGAGACATGTACTATTTCGTCCTGCGATATAAAAATGGACGTGTTTGATACTGTTGTAAACGTTGCCCAAATCAAAGAAGAATATATGGAGGACAAAATCTTAAAAGTGATAGAGTTTCGGATTGACAACATCTTGGCGAGTTTGGTGGAAAGATCTCCCAACAGACGATTGGCATACCTATTGGAAATAACTGCGCCCCTCTGTTGGCTGACTTGGTTTTTGTTTTTTACGAGACAAAACTTGATGAGCTTATCTAAACCGATCTCACAAAGACCCTGCAAAGTCATTTAATTTCACTTTAAGACATATTTATAACTTCTTGACTTTAGAAAGGAATCTATTGACAACATCCATCGTATATACCCACAAGAATTTGAAATCAAAGACTCGTCAGACTCTTCTACCTCAGCTGCTTATCTCGATCTTTTCCTACAACGAAACCAACATGGACAGCTTTCCATCAATCTGTATGATAAACGTGATCATATCATTTTCCCTAATGCGAATTTTCCCTCTCTGGATTGCAACCTCCCCGACTCTCAACATATGGTGTTTATATACAGCAGCTGATTCGATATTCTACACTCCTGTACGTTAAATAGACAATGTAGATCGTTGTCATACATGGTCATGTAACAAATGTTATTTGTTTCTGTGCCAGCCGCTAGGGATCAAACCCGTGACCTCGTGCTAACTAATGTTACGCTCCCTAAGATAAAAGGAAGATCTTTAGTGGAGCAGTATATTGCAGCATTTATTAACATGCACAAAGGTTACAATAAAACTCTGCTAAGTGCTCGTTTCATAATTACAATGGCAAAAATACTGCGACATTAATGAAGATAAATAACAGATTAGAGACATAAATAAGGCTATTTGCATATTTGACGCTAAACCATAAGGGAATTATAAAGCTAAAATAGAGTCTTATATATTTTCTACTTCTGCTTTCCCCATCATCAAAATTCAGCTATGCAGGCAATGTATAAAACGGCGCTCGTTGTCAAATGCTGTGACAGATCAACGCAAGCACAGGTGTATACACAGGTAAGATAGCAACGGTGATTACGAAGCGAAAGTGGGCACTTTTATTACTTGGTGGTTTTAGGTAAAAAATCTACTTTCTGATTTTACACAATGACGATTTTACTCCTCGTTAACGTCTTGTTTTGTTGTGTTTACAGCCGGATGACATAGATTTGCGGTAAATCATCATTATATAACCCTGGCAACTTCAGTAGTAAACTAAGAACGTGAAGATGTCGGCCACAAGCGCGTATTTAGAAGGCCTAATAGAACAATGTGGTGGATTTTCACGATTCCAATGGATTATGTTTTCCTTCATGATATATAGTAAAATCGCTGTGACTTGGACGATGATGATGATGACATTTGCAGGTGCAGTTCCAAACTGGCAGTGTGGCTTCACAAACCAGTCTATTCCTGGAACAAACCAATCGATGGATGTAAACAATATTTATTATATAGATAAACAGTGCTTTCCACCAGAAAACATGTCTGTACAAAATTGTCAGGAATTTAAGTTTTCTGATGGTATGAGTACTGTAGTGAATGAGGTATTTATTATATAGATGAACAGTGCTTTCCACCAGAAAACATGTCTGTACAAAATTGTCAGGAATTTAAGTTTTCTGATGGTATGAGTACTGTAGTGAATGAGGTAAGTGATTGGTCTTAATATATTTCAGTAGCGTATGAGTAATAGTATTGGTAATCTTTAAGTACATTTTTTCTTGATTTTGTTTTCTTTATGAAAAAAGATCAGAATAATGCTTATATTCTTATGATTTTTTTCTGGTTTGTTTTTCTTTACCATTTTTTCCTTATTAACATAACCATGCTTTTATGAACAAGTCCAAACATATGCTTCAATTGATAGCTTTTCCACTGAAGATTGATTGTGAATGAAATATTCACACTTACTGAACCATTTCCAATCTTTCTACAAATATAAACAGAGAAAAACGCATTCAAATGTCTTTAAAACAACACGGACTGTTTAATTCTGACATTCCGCCTTAACGTGCAAATAACATGACACCATTGTTGCAACCAGGTTACAGTAAAATATCGCTAGCACTGATATATACGATTATTACATTTAAAGGTATTGCAGATGTTTTGAGTAATATTGAATCCACATTAATATTGTTAAATCTTAACCGATGTATTCCTGATTGTAGTGGAGGCTAATATGTGACAAAGATTGGATCGCCTCTACAGTTACAACAATTCAGATGGCTGGATTACTGATCAGCTGTGTGACATCTGGTCACCTTGCGGACCTTATTGGCCGGAAACCGACATTTTTTCTGTCTTTATTCGTGCTGACCATTCTCAATGTTGCAGCTGGACTTTCGACCTCATGGCAAATGTTTGCAGTCTTTCGTTTTCTGCTCGGCTTTGGAATTGGTGCATACCTAACTGTTTTCTATAACTACTTGATCGAATTTATTCCTGCAAAACGAAGATCTGTCACAATAGCGTTCCCGTCTTGGGCAATCTGGGCATGCGTGTTTGGGTTTGCGGCGATGTGGCTTCATGATTGGCAATATCTTCACTTCTCTATTTCTGTACTTACTCTGCCGTGTTTATTAATGTGGTGGTAAGTTTGTTTATCTTTTTATTACACTTTTGTAAGTGTTTTCACCACAATATTGATAGTTTCGATTTTACAGTCTTAAGATCATAAAAAAATATTTTATTGACGTACATGAATACACGGGCTAAACCGAGACATTACCGTGTAAGCCGGAAGTCGGCTCTCGCCAATTTCATCTATTAACATGAGACTCATCAACCTTTTGACATTATGCACTTTGAAGTCCGTGATAGCCTCTCCGCAGAGGAACACCGTTCAGACTGACGTACATAGAGTAATCGAATATTGAGTTAAGAATAACGTAATATGTTAAACGTTATTCTATTATCGAAAGAGCTGTTCTCCTATCGTGTTTTCTGGCGAGGTATGACACCTGTAGGTTCCCTATTTTGAATGCCATACATGACAAATTCACACTTCAATTATCATTATTTGTCGAATACTTTCTGCAGCTAAGTTGATTGTTCTGTTTTAGAGCTGGTTGGGCCTCAACATGAATTTCATTTTCTTCCCGCACCAAATCACTATCCTATCACTCTTACGTGCGCTTTCACGTGAGATTATAACTGGTATTGTTCCCGTCGTTCGGCACAACCTCCAATAAAATCTTATCAGCTTTCTAGTGATTATTATGTACTAAATTAATACGTTGAAGATTGAAAAGGTTCAGTCACACCGCTTTGTGTAACCACCGTGACAGGCATTTGGATGACGCGAGAAAGTTTTCATGTTAGCTCCTGGTCACCATAGCTGCCTGGGAGTTGTTGTAAGGAGCGAGGGCGTATATCAACGATTTCCCTCACAGGGGCGAACGCCCATATAAGGGACAAAAGTGAGTCTGTGTCAGGGCGGACATTAAGTAGAAAAATATTTAGAAAAGAGGGAAAATCTTAAGATCAGGGAATATGGGTAGTGCTCAGGTACAGTTCTCACATCCTAACTTCAGGGCCATTGTTACAGTATCATTTTGAAGTACATTCTTACTACAAACATTTTAGTCATCGTCTTGTAAAACATTTCCTATATGCTTTTGACTCTTCTTCTACACAATATCTTAATTGTTAGCTTCGGGACTTATAATATGTATTATTTGCCAGTTTCCCCTAATCCCAGCTTCCTTTTGTAGTTCTATTCCCAGTTTCTATTTGATATTTCAACATGGTTTTCCATTGGTAAACAGGATTCTTCCGGAGAGTTTTCGGTATCTCGTAACACACAACCGTGTAGACGAAGCGAAGGGAGTTATCCGAAGAGTAGCACAAATTAATGGGAAGCCGGAACCGGATATGAGTAAAATGAAAAACCTTGTTGAGGAAGACTTGAAAGTTGACACTGACCACAAATACACTCTCCGAGACGTAGCACAGGCTCCACAGCTAAGGAAATGTACATGTTTGCTAGGCCTTGCATGGTACATATAAAGTTATTTTTGTTAGGAATACGATCACTGTTATTTATAATTGATTCAATATATTTTTCTTTATTTTCAAGGTTGAATTAAAGTCGCGAATATAAATACCTCGAAAATAAGATTGACTAAAGAATGAATATTTAGTTCATGACAAGATTAATATGAAAGTAAAATCGTATTGTATCGAAGTTCTTGGTACATGTAATACCACAACATATTTACCATGATATACCATTACAGAGCAAGCAACTGAAAGGTTTGCATAAGATTTGATTGTTTGAAATATTACGACCTTGGAATGGCAAGTGCCATTTGTATACGGGTTCAAGAGGTGATTTGACTACTGAGAGACACATATACAGTTCTCAAAAAAAAAAAAAAAAAAATCAACATGACACCTAGCATTTAAATTAAACTAACAACAGTCATATAATGATATTAATACTGTACGACAAGCAGAGGAAGGACATATGTTTTAATGACTTCGGGACAAGAGCCAAAGTATACCTATCTAAGGCGGGCACACAAGGGAATAGCAAAACTATGAGATAAAATAAAGAGAGGCAATTGATTAAAACCTAGAGTAAAAGATGGAAAAAGACAGCAAACATGAAGATCCCAAATGTTTTTGTCTCCTAATTCAGACCAATTTTGCGTGAGACTGTAATGCGTTATGTTTAAATGATTTTGGTTTCATATGTTTGTATAACTCATACCTATGATACCTTATATATATTTCGTCCGAACTTGTGTAACCCTTGTCAACTGAAAAATATAAGACGTACCTATAAATACACAATGCTTGTTTACCGTAGATAAGATATCAATAAAGTATTTTGATCTACCTCCGTAGGATGTCATGTGGGTATGGCTATTATGCTATTTCCTTTGGTGTTCAGAGTTTGTCCGGTAGTCTGTACCTCAACATGTTTCTGCTGAGCGTAGTAGAAATACCAACGCAGGTCTCGTCATATTACCTCACAAATAGGTAAGAATTTCAGGAATGTCTACGCAAAAAATGAACTTTGTTAGTGTGGAGATATTGTTAAACGCCAATTTATATATTTCAACAATACGTTCCATCTGCATATAAGTCTCCGATGATACCTGAAATAAAAGTTCCACCTTCTCTAAGGTGATTTGCACGCCTGAGAACAGGCATGCACGTAGTAAATACATGAATATGACCGAGCCTCTGTATTGGTCAACTGGAGGCTTAAGGGAGTGATTAGTAATAAAGTTATTGTTTTTCATATTTAGATTCGTTGTCATTATTAATTTTACTGATAAATTTTTTAAAATTTTTTTTGCAGGTTTGGAAGAAAATGGGTCACGATAGTTTTGCTTTTATCAGCAGGCGTTACAGGCTTTGTTGTGGCTGTGCTACAAATATCTGGTAGTATTTTGATAAATATATATACAATCAAGGTCTGTTATATATTTCGTTGTTTTGTCAGTTTGGTGGTCGAGACGTAACATTAATTCCATAGGGACGGAGGGGTGGGGTCCAATAGGAAAAATAAAAATGTTTTGTATTGTGTGTTTGAATAACTATAAATCGTTTTCCTTTAGTTTTAATGAAGCGATTTCAGCAAAGCAAAGCCATATGAGAGATACAGGCCCCATAGACATCCTGTTTATTTCCTTTCACGATTAGTTATTTCAAATTAACTGAATTTTTCATTTTGGACTTTCGAGGTGATTGACTTGAACAACTGGTTTTTATTTAACACTTTAAACTGTGCTGGTTCCTACAAATGGATGGAATTAATGCCATGTATTAAGATACCCAAAGAACCATTTCAATTTAGACAGCTTAAGCTTAAGTTAATCATCATATAGTTAATTGTGTTATCACTAGAGTTCGTTGATACACGTTTCAAATGACAAACATATTAATATATTTACATTTGCTGACTATGTCTATAGATTTGGAAATGAAAGACGCACTGATTAACTGGTTCGCCCTTGCTTCAAAGATGAGTGTGGGAGTTGGCTGGGGAACACTTATCATCCTATCCACGGAGACGTATCCTACTGTAGTCAGGTAGGCTATAATTATAATCAAGAATCGAAAGATGACTTCAATATTGTTATGGTGTAAAGCGCTGTATTTGTAGAACATTCTTTATCATCTTCTTTTGTCTTCATCAAAAAGAACACCAAATAAACAGTAACAAAGATTACCGTGGTTTGTTTGATATAAATTGTAGGAATATTGGTTACGGGATGCTGAATTCCTTCGCTAGAATTGGAGCTATGGCAGCGCCACAAATAGTATATTTGGTAAGTATCTTTAATTATTAAAACGAAACGGAGGATAAAAAGACACAAGTGAATAGTAACTTCCTATATAAATTTAGGATTTTATAAAGTAGAGCCAAAATTATTATTTTAACTGAATCATACAGCTTCTTCGTCCTTCTACGACCAGTTGGTGATCCTAAGAACCTAAATTTTAAAACCAAACAGGCGACTGAGGGAAAAAAAAAAAAAACAACAAAAAACAAAAAAACAAAAAAGTTACCCCATAATTTGATAAATTTTGCATTTTCTATGTCTAACAATTTCAATAGAACGTACATGTCTGCAATCTAAATCATGTCATTTTAAAAATTAATTAAAATGTGACGTGCATGTTGTGGCAAACGTCGGGGACTAAAAGTCTACAAGCGGTGTCTACCACCTGTAATATCACGAATTGTATGAAAGACAATTTAGTATATAGAAGAGATAAAAAACGAAATCCCAGCTTGACTTCTCCAATAAAAGGCTCATAAGTTATCAATAAGCCCTCCAAACCTGTTTACAGGCTGTGCTGTCTTTTAAAACTGACTTTTAAAAAAACGGTTTGTGATATATTAGATCATATGGATTACGTTCAATGCCGGTATATATCATAACATACTACAAGAAATAATTTCTATTTTTATTATTTGATTTTAAACATATTCTCTTACAGAACAGTCACCTGCCAGGGGCCATGTACTTTATATTCAGTGCCGTCATGGTCATATCAGCATTTGGTTTATTCTTTGTGCAAGAAACAAACAAAAAACCTATCGAAGATGGAATAGTGTCCGATAAAAGAGGGGACACGGAAATACAGGTTTTTCATGGACAGACCAACGAAGCATTTGACACTAAGCTTTAATTTAGGAAAATTTGAACAAGTGACGGCATGAATATTTTTGTTTGTTACTTGTTTGATGTTAGTTATGTAAAATACCAGTAGGTGTGTTCTTGTTGTTTAAATAGACAATTGTCAATAAAAAATAAGCATGTATGTTACTGTGAATTAAGGACATTGCGTAGGTGTGTTTTAGAAATGTTACTCATCCTGCAGACTAATAAGTCCCTATTATTTGCGTTCAGGTGGAACTGAATACATTTTTAAGCTTATGTATTTATGCTGTAGGTTATACATGAATCCAATGTCAATTTTGGACGAATATGCTTTCAATATTTTACAATTCTACAATATATATAGTATACAGTTTGTAAGAATTGATATAATAGAAGTAATAACCGTTATCCCGATTTTTTCCAAATTATGTATTAGTATAGTGTGTGGTGTCACAATTGAGTGGATCATACATGTTATATAACGCGGCTAGTATTAAGGTGGAATGCGTAATCATCTTATATGCTTAACAATGAAATATATGTATATTAGGAAATCTTAATAATCTTAGCTCGGAACTCATATATGATGGTGAAACTTATGTGTTAGGCATCTAAGGTCCTTTGTGGACAACCTCTGTATATTCTAGGTTAACCAAGTGACCTTATATTCTTTATAAGCATTACGTACCATGGGCAGTATTGCAGTATTACTGTTTGGTATCTGTCTGTATAAACGTATGTGCATGCCTCATTGTATTTTATATGCAGTATGTTCCTGACTTTGTACTGGGTGAACACTTTATGAGCATTTTTGTGTCCTGTGGTATCCATTGGTATATATTTTGCGATTCGGTACCAGTCTCATATTGGAGGACGGTAGGACGGATGATATTCTTGGAGGGTTGATCGGAGATATCAAACCACAATAAAGACCAGGCTTCTTCAGTGCTATATTTTATACAGGCAGTGTCTATCCCACTAAGTGTATTTGTGTAATTAGTGTATATTATGTTAATGAATGAGTGGACGATAGATGTGTGCATTTTAAATTGCTGCAAAATACCAAAAAGACGTGTATATTTTGTAGAATAAACATGGTATGTATTGTTTCGTTCACTTTGTGTCATTCTATACTTGTTCAGCTCGTCCATGGTTACAAATACCACAATAGTCCTCACGAGATTTCAACTTCCGATTGGTAGCTTGAGTTTCAATTATATCCAAACTGATAGACACTACAAGCACGTTTTCACACTACTGTCTCATAGATATTGATCTTGTAGGCAAATGATTTACGTAATTATTCAATATGAATGTTGTCGGTCTTTTAATTGCAATATTCCACGTAATGGATTCATTATCCATTTTTCAAAGATGGAATTTACGATAGACAAATGAATTATTTCTCAGTAATTCGATTCTCGAGATGAAACTTAAAAATAATATATATATTTTTTGAAATCTTAAATATGTATAAGCTTTGCATAATAACGTGATATTTGTTCTTTTGTATCACAGTTTACCTCTTCATGACAACCATCAACCTTACTTTCATATTTAACGTTGTTATCAATATATCACGGACATAAGATGCCGTATTTTGACATGTTTTGAAGTTACGTCCCCTTTTTGTTTAGCTATTCAATGTCACAATTTACCTCTTTATGACAACCTTCAATTTGACTTTCATATTAAACGTTGTTATCGATAAATCACGGACATAAAATCTATTCAATGTCATTGTTATTTATCTCGCTAGCTCGTTGCGACAGTGATTTTATCAAACATTATAGACTTTGGACTTTTTACAGATTATGAGAAATAACCGAAGGCAAAAAAGCGAAGAGGATTTATAGGCTTCTTCATCATAGTTTTACAACGATTTTACGGTTTTGACTGGATGTTTTATCACCGAGTCAAGGTACAATGTTTAAAGATATAGGCCCCCGACTCACTGATAACATAACTGTTCACACCGATGTCTATTATCGTAAGGTCATTTCACCAAACATAGGTTAAGAAGGAGATGAGTTGAAACAAGAAAGAGCTGCACATTAGTGTAGTTTGACCGTCGACACATTGTAAGACGGCATAATGGAGGCAGGATCTATAAATGAATTGCTGGATGATTTAATTGAGAAACATGGAGGGTTTGGACGGTTTCAGCTGTTTATCATGGTTGTAGTTCTGGGAGGGATGTCATCAGTAGCTTTCAGTATGATGATGATGACATTCGCTGGATTCACACCGGATTGGAGTTGTGTCATAGAAAACGATTTTGTTCAGAATGTTGTCCCGACGAGTACAGTGAAACAATGCTACCCTGCCATCGACAATATTACTACTACAACATGTGAGATGTTCAATTTTAGCTCAAGTATGAAGACAGTTGTACGTCAGGTTAGTATTTCAGAATGAAGTTTTACTCAAGTCATTGTTAAACGTTCGTATTGTTTCATTAAAGACCATCATTATCTTCTTTGTAAGTCTGGAACTTTTCATTACAAAACTACAAAAATACATTTCAAAATTATCGTTATCTTATCTTATGCATTCGCAAACACTTAATGTTAATTCCACACGTTTTTCTCACTTCTAGATCTTTTTTCAAAATATAAAGATTTCAAATCTACTATTGATTCAGCCCATGATGTATGAATTTATTTGTATCATATATTTTATTTTCCAATGTAAATAAATGGCCAATACTGATGTAATTAGATAACCATCGATACAAACATAAGGTGAAAGTTGTATCATAATATCATTCCGAGTAAACAACATTCAGAGAAATGGAAAATTGAAGGGAATAATCTGTATAATGTTTGTCAGGTACCGGAAGACTATTCACATTATTTTATAGAATGTAAGTTCCTAAATGCTTTTTGGGGTACAATTGAAAAAGCATTCAAACCATATGGATATACCATCAATGTAAAAAACTTAAGATATGTTGTAATGGGATATCAAATATATCAATCAACCCACATTGAATTGAATATAATCTTTACAATAATAGGCTACAGTATATATAGAGCCTATCATACAACTGAGCAAAACCGAAAAACTGTAGACATAAAAAAGATTTTTGGAGAAGAATTTTTTATTTTAGAACAAACTTATATTGCAAGACCTAGGGGTCTAATAAATCATTTCACAAAAAAAATAATGTAACTATCATACTGTGTTTTCGAAAACAAACAGCAGTATCAGAGCCTGGCCAGTCATACCAATAGTTCAGTAGAAGTAGGAAGTGTTGATACGACCAACATGGAAACTGGACTCTTGTAATGATTGATCAGGCTGAGGTAAAATAATCCAAATACTGATGTCGGATTTATTCAAAATATGTTGAACATTGCAGAAAGAGTTACAATGATGACAAAAATAAAAATAATAAAAAAAAAAAAAAAAAAAAACTGTGACGAGAACAAAAAAGAGTGTAAACAACAAAGACGAGAAAAGATATGGAAAAGCAAACATTCAAAATTAGTAAATGTAATGAAACGTACTTGATATATCCTTAATTGATATCATCCGACTCCTTTACGTCTATTCCTGAACAATCTCTTATCATCTAAAGTATTATACAATGTACTTTTTGTAGTGAAGTGATGTCATCAATATCTCTTATGTCTTAACGCCAAAACAACAACTGTACAATTTCTATTTGTCTTCAAAGGATATTGTTTACAACCATAATTACCTTTTCTGTCTGACGTCCCTTCCTTTTGTTCCTTTTCTTTTGTTTCCTTCTTTTTGTTTTTAACTACTTAGACATCAGTTTGTTTTTTTTCTCTTCCTCTCTCTTCGTTACGAGTTTTACGGTAGTTTACACACACACTGTCGTCTTTTCGCTTTCTGTACCAGTCTACGACTACTCTTTGGTGACTTATAAAAGTTGATACATTTTTAAAATTTGTTTTTATTCTTTTATATTTGTTTATCTACATGTATATAAGTAAAATTACTCACAATCTCAAAAAGCCATTGCTAAAAAACAAATTTTGTATTTTGGTGGTTCACACATTTTGCTTCTGAGTGTAAAAAAAAGATAACCATCGATATGGAGACTTAACATTTGGACCTTGATATCTTTAACATATATAAAACTTATCAGTGATCAACACGTAATGCAGATTACATAGTTCAAGATTGAAAACAAATAAAAAAAACTAGTGTCAAGATAATCCAGCATGATCTCTTTGCAAAGTTATAACCTGGACGTGTTTGATGACCATTAGTATGTCTTATTGTTCCGATGTCGGTCTCATTTGGGAACAAGATATTCCTTACTTTGATTGGTTAAGACTTACATACCGGGTATCGTCGATGAAGCAGAAAACGCTTACCCTTCCGGTTTAATTCTCCTTGTACTTATGCAGTTGTCGCCGTATACATTTTCCTTTTGTTCTTATGTTGTCATTGTTTCATCGAATTTGTGTTTTAACTATCAAGTTCTGATACCAGGTCGATATTTGCTTTGATGTTTTTATTATTTATTGTTTGACAGTGGGACTTGGTCTGTGACAGAGCATGGATACCGTCTACGATAACTACTATACAAATGTCGGGTGTACTACTTGGAGGACTATTCACTGGACATTTGGCGGATAAAATTGGACGTAAACCGACTTTCTTCCTTTCCTTGCTGATATTATTGGTGTTTAATTTATTGTGTGGATTTTCGGTAACCTGGGTGATGTTCGCCGTTTGTAGGTGTTTTCTTGGTATAGGAATGGGTGGTTATTTAACAATATTCTACCCATACATACTTGAATTCTTCCCAAAGGGGCGTCGGGCGGTTTTGACTGCCACTCCAATGTGGGGAATATGGTCCACCGTGTTCGCATTCATTGCTATGGGTCTACCCGACTGGAAATATCTACACTTTGTGACCGCCGTTTGCGTGGTTCCATCACTTCTTTGCTGGTGGTTTGTATTATGATATTGCTTTATGAAGTAGCATATTTTCTTGGTTCTGATTAAACCGAAAATTATGAATAATTTTATCTTCTACCGTTGAATTCACTACACATCGCTGGATATTTAGAATAGACATTCAGAAGTAAGTCTACGAATTATCATCAAGGATTTATACTAATCATATGATATTTTAGTATCTCAAACACTTTTAACATTTGTCCCTACAAAATGAATATATCTGTCAACATGATTTTAACAGCAAAGCATACAGTCGATATATGAACATCAAAAGTCATTTATAATTGATGTGAATTCAAACAGGTCAATGCCGGAGAGTTTTCGCTGGCTTGTTATAAACCACAAAAAGGAAGCAGCATTAAATGTTATACAACAAATGGCGAATTTCAATAGGAAACCTATACAAAATACTAAAGAGCTGGAAGTCATGATGGAGGCGAGCGTTCAGGAGCTGGCCACTCAAAAGACGTACACCATACGTGATTTGTTTATGTCAGCTAAACTTACAAAAATGACATGTCTACAAATATGGTCATGGTGTGTTATCGAATTCCATTGTTTTCGTAGTACAATTGAAAATAGTCCTTGTAGATGCTGGTTCCTACCTCAATGAACCTAAATCCTAACTAATGGTGGCGGTTGCTTTCAACAGTATTCACATTTTTTTTTTCTTTCCTGTTTCTACGCTCAATTTTTCTACCTTTGCTTTCAGATCTCTTTTGTCAGACTACTTCTGCATTTGCCTCAATATAACCGATGTTTCATTGTAACACACGATTGTATTGTTATTCAGGGAATATATTCATTTCATATTTTCGCATATTACACATTCGTAATAATCGATTGCTACAGTGGAAACTATTCGTGTTATGAATTCACATATCCTTGGAAACTTCTATATTAACATTGTTCTATTTAATATTAGTTATTTTCCTTAACCGTTGCACCAAAAATGCATTTTGTTCGTTTATATTTAATGTCTGTCACATCATTCCAAAACATGGTGTTAAATTATATAAATTTCAAACAGTTGCGAAACCACGTTCCTAAAGATCAAATCTATCAAATGAAAATATTGAAAACAAGACAATTTTACATAACAGTATCGTGACAAGCTTTCACATCCTGATCGTGTATTATATATCATCTTTTTAAAATTTATCAAATAAAAAAACCCCGTTCTTATTCAAACGCTGCCTTCTATTCATAGACGTTTCATAAAAAACAACGTTTCGTAATTTTCCCTCCTGATTTCGCCTTTAGGTTGGCGTGTGGTTACGGTTATTATGGTGTATCGTTTGAGGTCAAGGGTTTGACCGGAAACGTTTACCTTAATATGGCTCTTCTGAGCATAGTGGAGATACCTGCCGTTATGACGTTATACTTTTTCACCAACAGGTAAATTGAGATAATAGGGCCCAAACGTTTGTGTGTTAATTAAAAGTAATATTCTAATTCAAATATCTACAGCACAATTGGGGTGTTCCAATCTTAATTTGATATGTGAAGTTTACCCCGAGAAACAGTTGTATATGTTGGTAAGCACCTAGACATAGGGAAATATACCATTGATTTTTTTTAAAAGCACTTGCTAAGTTATGTAATATCTTATCTGTCTGAATATCTTGTAACATTTGGTGTGTAATTTCAAGTTGAAATAACACTATTTTGTCTACATATTTTATTCATTTGCTTTCATTCTATCTAATTCCTTAAGACTTGGAAGGAAGTGGACATCGTTGCTGTTTTGTGGCATAGGGACATTTAGTGCAGTCATTATGGCTGCCATTGAGTTAACTGGTAGGTTCTGATGTTCACCACATTAGCTTATTAACGTTAAAGTCACCTTAGCTAAACGATTAAATACATCAAATTTAACATTTTCGAATTCCTACGTCAAGTATATTTAATTAGAAGCTTTGTTCTTATCTTCTTACCGTCTGAACAAACAAATATCCTTTTTAAAAGTCAATTAACGCCTCCTCTCTCTCATCCCCCCTCCCCCACCATTCTCTTACTTGTTAGACCCACTAATATTGTTACAAATGTATCCACTTCTGGTAAGATTAAAAATTAGTTGGCTATGAGCATAGTAACGGTACAAGTGCAATGTTGGATTAAGACGACTTCGTTATATGTAAACATAATCTGCATAAGACCCTAGGTTTTTGAGGGCAAATAACCCTAACCAAATCAACAAAAATCCAAGCAATCTGTTCATGTAATTAAATTAATTAGATATGTGCTTTCAATAACGTCAGTAATTGTAGGTCATGCTTAAGGTCAACGTTTTTTCCCTCAAAATTTGGTTTATTTGACAATAACTGACAAGCTTACAAAATTGCTTAATAACAGTGTTATCCATTTTTGAACTTTCAGATTTACAAAGCAAAGTATATAGGACAGTTTTTCCTCTTATTTCTAAAATTGGAGTCTCACTTACATGGCTTGCCGTCAAACTGTTATCGATAGAGCTGTTTCCAACAGCGATAAGGTAAGATATGTCATATATCTAATATGAAAATAAGCTTTGTCCTGTAGCTTCTAGTATGATGTTTGTTAAACCGGTGAAAGTAATTGGTGTCTTTAAACGATTCTCGATACCTCGAAATCAAATGAACAGCAAAAGCATAAATTCATCATTAGATGTCAACCTACTTCCTAAGAATTTTGTTTTATTCGATAGTGGCAAAATGAGCTACTGGTGACTGTTGGGCTTGGAGGTATAGCTGCAATAATTCACTGTAATTCAAAGGAGGATACCAATGAGAATATCAAATAACATCGAGGAACATGAAATCGACCGTTAACATTACATACAATATAGAAAAGACGAAATTATTTTAACCAATTTAGCGGAAAAAATTCAAAAATAATATCAATTCGGTAAGTGTGAACGGGACGGATTGTCTAACAATTTCTCTCAATTTCATTTAGTTTTATATTATACTTTCTGGTTTTTGGCGGTGTTCTGTCTTTTACTTCTGCTCATATACCTATGGATCTGGACCAAATAAAAACCGAACTACCACTTTTAATCCTCTGTAAATAAATACAAAATGTTATTGGAGATTGAATGGTGATTAATTAATACCAAAAATGAAACGCTTTCCCATTTGCAGCACTTCGTCGATCTGCTCTTTCCTTTCGTACATTATTGTTCTCTCTTTGTTTCTCTTGATATCCGACCTCATGTACTGTAAGCCGGCAAATTTTCGCCATTGTTCCATTAGACACTAATTCGCCACATATTTATTTTGCTCTCTGGGAATTTTATTTAAAGACGTTATATATGTAACAAATGTTTGCCGTCATCTTCACTTCGCCTTCCTTGTTCATGGATGAAAAAGGCGAAATATTTCGGTATATAGTTATCCTTGCTACTATGAGGACGTTAAACCTACAAAACAAATACTTTCCGGTTACAGTTGAATATTTGTATGTTGAAAAGAAATACACAAGCTTAGTTTGGTCTTTGTTTCTAACTTTAGATCGGTTAGCAGTGGACTATTCAATGGTATGGCAAGGGTGGGCTCTATGGTTGCTCCTCAGTTTGTGTACCTGGTAAGTTACTATTTCATTCTTTTTCGGCCAAAGAAACGTAGATTCATTTTACAGTAAAACCATGTATAGAAATGATATGTATAATTTTAAGTTCGACCACACATCAATTATGAAATAAAGTGATTTGATTTGATGCACTATTAACTGTTACGGGACAGCTGAAAAAACGAAAACTGTTGAATCATTGTATACATTTGATATTTTCGGAAAAGAAATAATCTCATATAGGATACAAATATAATAGACACTTATCCTTTTTTTCAGAATGACGACACACCTGGTATTCTGTATCTGATATGCAGTGGGGTACTTTCCTTAACTTTCGTCTGTGTTTGTTTTATGCCGGAAACGAAAAATAGGTTACTACCAGATGAAATGTCCGACTTCGGTACTAAACGTCTGAAAACAAAATCTCATCGGCTTGAAATTCAACATATGACTACTATTGTAAAACACGATGACGACAACATCATCCTCATCACACATATGTAAAATGGTAGCTACAAACATTGACGTTTTATGGGTTTTTTTCGCTATGTGACTTTGAAAAGGTAAACTTTCGTACGGGTTTCATTTTCATTGATAATGTAGGTACCCGCAATCTACTAATTCACATATGCACCAAATGAATCATATGACAAAGACTTCAGAACAAAACAGTGAATTGCATGAGTTAATAAGAACACTGTCTATAACGTCACTTGTTTATTGACGAAGTGGAACAATGCCTGCGGTTATTTGAAAAAAATAGAAGTCCTGATATAAGGAACTACAGAAAAAAATCTAAATATCGTGCATCTCTTTGGTATATATGTATCTTATTACTAGGAACTATTGATGACCAGAAACTTGTTGAATAACAAAGACTGAGAAATGGTCAACACCAACGAAAAACTTTCAAATTGACCATGTAAACTGATAGAAAATATATTTAATAGATCATATGCCTCACTGGTGTACGGGTAGAACAATTCGAACGTCTCGGTCTCACAAATGAAATATCGGACGTATTTGGCGGAGATGGTGCACTTTCTTCGGGATCATGTTGGATTGTTTGTTGGTACTTATTTGATAGAGTGTTCGGATGGTAGTCTTTGTTGTGAAAAATCCGCCAAATCCGACAACGGGTCGCCATGGTGATGTGGTCGGAGTGAGAGGATCATCCGGATTTATAAATGGATTTCGGTGCTGTAATGTGTGAACTGGATGTAGCATCGAGTAATCGCGACACTGCTGGTATGGTTAGGATCAATGTCAGATCCGGAGGAACGTTAAGTTCAGCTGGTGTTACCCTAGTAGCTTGCTTTACAGGCGAACATCCTGTCTCGTGAGGGGAGGCTATGGAACCGATGGAAAGAGCTTTGTAGTCTTCAGGAAGAATGCTAACTATGGATTTTTTGATACGTTGGCCTGAATGAAGTGACCGTGCATATAGCTGGTCGAACACTTCTCCTCCTCAGTCATTCACGGTAGCGAAAGGCGGGTTTCATTGTTTGTCATTTGGTTTGTCACTTTCAAAGTGGTGGTATCGGTCAAAGTTTGTGCATGAATTGCCATATGCTGGACACGCGGTGGAGCACTCTTCCCATCAATGTCATGGGAGTCCAGTAGACGAGAAGCAGTCCTTTTACTAGCCTTTCTGACTTCAATTAACTGCAATACATCCTCCAGGCTCATGTCCTGGTTTTTGTCGCCTAGACGTCATCAAAATAGATTTCTGGGTCACTAATGCCATGAGTGAGCACGTCTCGAAGTATGGCTTCTGTGCATTGGAAAACTTGCCGTCAATAGGTTGCCCGCGGAGGCGTCCTCCAAAACTACACACAGGTTCGTCGCAGCATTCGAGTTGTTGCACAACTTTATCACGGCCAGTCTTTTGCAGCATCCATAAAACGACAGTAATGAGTCCTTGAGAATGCACGACGGTGTGGGCGGTTATGACACCAGCCGCATCAAGGTCCCCAGTATCGTATACACATCCAAGTAGTAAGCATTTTCAGAGTTTAACCATGGTCATAAACAAGAGCATTGTCTATTTGGTCACGTGTTTGTTGGTGAGGTGGAATAATGACTATGGTTATCTGGAAAGATAGTAGTCGTACTATAAGGAACAAATCTAAATATCTTCGAATGAGTATTGTCAATGAAATAGATCGCCAATGGAAATGTTCCACCGAAACGAAATTTACAGCGCATTTTTACTGCGTAGTATGATATCTTCTTCTGTTCATGCTATATGGGCGAAAATTTTGTACATGGAAGCTTTAAACAACAGCAACAATGTGAAAGATCTGAAGGTTGGTGCAGGAAAGTGCCAAAACTGCGAAATAAGAGATATCTTATGATTAAACATATGACGATCGCAAGTAACAAATTAAGTGAATACAATAAACTATTGATATTGTTCAAAGATTTTCTCAAATAATTTAAGCATGCATGTCTGTTTAACATGTTTATTTCGGCGTATGTTCATAGCTTCTACCACATCTTGTATAAACTTGTCTTTTACTTTGATGTTTTTATCTTTTTGAATCGCTGTGTGTTTCAGCGGTTGATAGCACTGATGACCTTTTATGTGTTGAAAGGCCGTTAAAATTGTAGTAATGATAATAATTATCTTGCAATAACTGGTCTGTATATATACACACACAAGCTAACAAATTATCAATGAAGAAATATCCATAACAGATTTATTCTTTGACTGCATAGGTTGTGCATGTGAACTAATGAGAAGGTTTGTTCAATTGACCATGGACAAACATACAGGTATCATTTAACAAAAACTGCACAAGTAATCATTTAAAGTGAAATGCTATATATTTTTTTATGCCGATTTAAAAATTATAAAAAATAGTTCTTAAATTTTGTCCGTTTTCTCGTTTGACCAAATTAAGCTAATGCATTAACGATAAGGAAACGGCTTTCTCTGATAACATTAGATTCCGAAAGTATTTCTTTTATCCTGGCTTTAATACTCTTTACAAGTTTCTATAGTAATTTTGTGAAGGATATAAAGTAAATCACACGGGACTTTGATGTTTTGTGCATTTTCACAACAGTAACAATATGAAGTGATGGTTTTAGGATGGTTTTATAGCATCAACGTCCTATTAACAGCTTGAAGAAGTCCTGAATATACATGCGAGAGGAGAGTGTGTGTTGAATGCGTGTGTGCAAGTGCTATCACACTGAAATATACTGGAAAAGGACATTCCATCCTGTAGTCAGCGGTCAAAGCAATCGTTGCCTTTATAATATCAATGATAATAAGAGTTAAGCAAAATAAAGACGAATAAAGGCAAAGTGAAGAATCACTTAAAATGTTTTTTTTTTAATTAATTAAATACTTGTGAAAAGAATAATCGTGTTTTTGTTTTGCCCAGTGTGTTGGTAGTTTAAATCATCGAAGCGTTTACCTGGAATGTTTTATGTGCTTAGAGAAGTGTTTTAGTTTCATTTTCAGATATCCATGGATGTGAAATCATTGCATGTTCTTCTTAAATTGTGTAATTGAAGAAGCAATTTTGATTTGCCATTTTTAATGTTTCTATCTTAAGATGATGATATAATTCTTCCAACCCTAGATGTCTGCATGCTGCAGCCATGTTGATGAACAATATCGTGTTCCTGTAGCTCAAATGTAACGTACTGGCCTTTTACATAGACGTCCAGGGTTCGATAACTGGCATATGCATGTGCTATATGACAAGGAATGGGGTTATCTGCCCGACCACGTAGGTTTCCCTTGGGTATTGTTGTGAAAGGAAGTTTGTACAAAGATCTGGAGTTTCACAAATATATTTTCATAGTCAAGGTTTAGGTTTAGGATAAACGGTTTAGCCAAAGGTAACCGTCATGAAAAAAACAATCACAAACTGCAGACTGTAGTGAATAATACATATGAAATATTTTTTAATCGGTCAAACCATGTACATATCTACATTTTTTCCAGTCTGTGATATATATTACTTGTTTACCTATATGATAATGAACCTTACCTTACCTGTGCATTGTAGCGATTGTTTATTGTTTACATACGTTCACACGAAATTTAAAATGTTTCATTTGCAATATTAGTTCACGGGATCCATTTAAACATCAAACTGGGAAACGCAGGTGATATGTCTGTTACCAGAAGGGATACAAAGTTGATATGTCTGTTACCAGAAGGGATACACAGTTGATATGTCTGTTACCAGAAGGGATACACAGTTGATATGTCTGTTACCAGAAGGAATACACAGTTGCTGTTACCAGCACAGTTGATATGTCTGTTACCAGAAGGGATACACAGTTGATATGTCTGTTACCAGAAGGGATACACAGTTGATATGTCTGTTACCAGAAGGGGCGCACAGTTGATATGTCTGTTACCAGAAGGGATACACAGTTGATATGTCTGTTACCAGAAGGGATACACAGTTGATATGTCTGTTACCAGAAGGAATACACAGTTGATATGTCTGTTACCAGAAGGGATACACAGTTGATATGTCTGTTACCAGAAGGGATACACAGTTGATATGTCTGTTACCAGAAGGAATACACAGTTGATATGTCTGTTACCAGAAGGGATACACAGTTGATATGTCTGTTACCAGAAGGGATACACAGTTGATATGTCTGTTACCAGAAGGGATACACAGTTGATATGTCTGTTACCAGAAGGAATACACAGTTGATATGTCTGTTACCAGAAGGAATACACAGTTGATATGTCTGTTACCAGAAGGGGCGCACAGTTGATTTGTATGTAACCAGTAGGGATACATAGTTGATATGCCTGTTACCAGTAGGGATACACAGTTGATATATCTGTTACCAGTTATCCGGGTGGAAGATAAATATAAAATTTTATCTATTGATATTTTCTTTCTCAAATATCTTTACAAATATAGAAAATAAACGAAAGCCTGGAATACGCCGTTTAGATTTCCTTCTTAACCAAATACTGACGTCAGCAGGTCCTAATCCACGAACATCCGTAACGATATAGTTTCTCGGTTAATCACATATAGCCATGATATGAAATAGTACAGACACAAAAACTTGATTTTTTATATAAAACTCTCAGTATTTACTCTATTTATATTTTCTTTATTTCATAATGCGTTTTTTCGTTCGTTTGAAATAAAATGGCGCTTGGAAATCTCACTAGAAAGTAATGCAGCTCTCAGATTTCACGAGACAACGTTTTTAGTGTTTCTTCTGGATTTATTTACGTTTTCGTGTAATGGAGTGGATTGATGATGTTGTCATAATAGAAAACAACGGAAGTATAAATGGAAATCGATCCTATCAGTAAATGACGACATTTTCTTTGTAACGGATTATACATTTATATTTTGGACTGCCAGGTCGACGTCTACTGTAGCAGACGAAGTTGACAAACCTTGGTAATCAAGTATGTTACAACGATAATAATAATTGTTTTTGTCAAAATTACACATTTAACAATAAATTTGCTATGTTATACGTAGATAGCTCTGTACAATTACTTATTTTCGTGAAGGCCCATCAACTGTAGATATGTCAGTACACAGTACATGTATATTGATTGTCCTATTTGTTTACCTACGAGACATTTAAATTTATCATTTCCAACATCGACCAAATCGCTGTAAATTATAGTCTAGTCTAGTATACTATAATTTGACGTGTTAATGATATGTAAAATGCAACATAGAGTGTTAATATTACATTTATATCCATCAGGATTACATTTTGAAGGACATCTCACATCGACCATAGTGTGTTCATATGCTTGATGGGCGTTCATAGCCTGCTATACTCCCATTTTATTTATATATAACTAGACTGGAGACTGGTGGTAGAATGGAAATATAAGCCAATTAACATAACTGTTGAATGTAGTAGTTAATATGTCTACATCAAGATAAATAAATATAAAGTGATATAGTAATAATCAATATTCCGTTTATTATATTACAATGTATTTGTATAATGTATGGTGTCACAGTTGAGTGGATCGCACGTGCTGAAATGCGGTAAGTATTAAGGCGAAATGCACCATCATTTGATATGCTTAACAAATGTAATGTATGTATTTTAGAAATATAGTAATTTCTTGATATAGACAGTACGTCTAACGTACGTATCTTTTAACTCAAAATTCAAATATGATGGTAGATATGAGGTTGGTTATATAACCTGGTCTAATTGATATATGAGGTAGTGAGACGGCCATCTAATGTCCTGTGTTGGCAACCTCTGTAGGTTCTAGGTGAACCGAGTATCTAAATATTCTTTATGAATATCACGTCCATGATTACAGTATAATATACCTTGATTTCTCAAGCGAGATGTCAACTTCTGGTTGGCAGTAGGGAGGTCTCGATTAGATCCAATTTTATAGACACTATAAATATGTGTTCTCATCAATACATTATGGTTTCGCTTTCTAGATTTAAAGTTGGAATTCATAGTAGAAGAATGAAACATTTATGGGTGATCCGATTCTCGAAATGAGACTCAAAAAGGGATACATGTGAATAATGCACATTGCTTCATTCTTCAACCTTTGCATAATCCCATAATAATTATGTCATATCTTTTGTATCACAGTCTACCTCTTCATGAGAAAATATTGACCTGACTTACATTTAACATTATATCAGTAAACATTCCATGCGGATACATCACGGACATAAGATACTGTTTATAAACCGTAAGTTATGTCCCTTTTAACTGATCTATTCATTGTCATTTTTCATTTATCTATTTCAAATGCATTATCTTGTTACGATAGTGGTGCTATCAAATGTTTGAACTGTTTAAAGATAATGAGAAATAGACAAAGGCAAGATGGGTCTTCGATATATATATCAACATAGTTCTAAAACGATTTTACTATATGATAAAATATCCAGTCAAGGGGCAATGTTCTAAAATATAGACCCCCGACTCGCAGATAACATAACTGTACACACCGATGTCTATTATCGTAAGGTCATTTGACCAAAATTTGGGTTAAGAAGGATGATGAGTTGAAACAAATAAGAGCTGCATGTTAGTGTAGTTATGTTTATGACATATAACAAGTTCTAAATAATGACCGTCGACACATTCTAAGACGGCATGATGGAGACAGGATCCTTAAATGAATTGCTGGATGATTTGATTGAGAAACATGGAGGGTTTGGACGGTTTCAGCTGTTCATCATGGTTGTAGTTCTGGGAGGGATGTCAGCAGTTACTTTCAGTATGATGATGATGACATTCGCTGGATTCACTCCGGATTGGAGTTGTGTCATAGAAAACGATTTTGTTCAGAATGTTGTCCCTACGAGTACAGTGAAACAATGCTACCCTGCCGTCGACAATATTACAACAACAACATGTGAGATGTTCAATTTTAGCTCAAGTATGAAGACAGTTGTAAGCCAGGTTAGTACTTCAGCATGAAGTTTTATTCAAGTCATCGGTAAACTTTCGTATTTTATCAAAAACCATCTTTGTCTTCTTTGTAAGTCTAGAAACCTTCATTACAAAAAGTACAAAAACCATTTCAACATTATCGTTATCTCATGCATTCGCATACACTTTATATTAATCACACAGGTTTTTTCTCACTTCGAGATTTTTTTCAAAATATATAGATTCTTTTTAATCTACAGGTGATACAGCTCATGATGCATAAATTCCATTTGTATCATACTTTTTATGTTCAAATGTAAATAGATGAAAAATGGTGATGCAATTAAATATAAATTGATATGATGACGTAACATTTGGAACATTTGTCAAAATAAACAGCGATCATCATGTAATGCAGATTATATGATTCAAGATTGAAAACAAAACGAAATTAGTGTATGTATACCCCAGAATGATCTCATTGCAATATATATTTCATATTGCATACAGAAAAGAAAGATGTTTATGTGTATATTTTCTCATAGAAATGTGCAATATGAAACTGGATGTGTTTAAGGTTTGTTAGTATGTCTTATTGTTCCGATGTCATTCATTTGGGAACAAGATATTCCTTACTTTGATTGGTTAAGACTTACATACCGGGTATCGTCGATGAAGCAGAAAACGCTTACCCTTCCGGTTTTATTCTCTTTGTACTTATGTAGTAGTCGCCGTATACATTTTCCATTGGTTTTTATGTTGCCATGGTTTCATCGAATTTATGATTCAACAATTAAGATTCTGATACCAGGGCGATCTTTGCTTTGATGTTTTTCTTATTTATTGCTTGACAGTGGGACTTGGTCTGTGACAGAGCATGGATACCGTCTACCATAACTACTATACAAATGTCGGGTGTACTACTTGGAGGACTATTCACTGGACATTTGGCGGATAAGATTGGACGTAAACCGACTTTCTTCCTTTCCTTGTTGTTATTATCGGTGTTTAATTTATTATGTGGACTTTCGGTAACCTGGGTGATGTTCGCCATTTGTCGGTGTTTTCTTGGTATAGGAATGGGTGGTTATTTAACAATATTCTACCCATACATACTTGAATTCTTCCCAAAGGGGCGTCGGGCGATTTTGACTGCCACTCCAATGTGGGGTATATGGGCTACCGTATTCGCATTCATTACTATGAGTCTACCCGACTGGAAATATCTACACTTTGTGACCGCCGTTTGCGTGGTTCCCTCACTTCTTTGCTGGTGGTTTGTATTATGATATTGTATTATTAAGTAGAATATTTTTTTGTCATATAAATTACTGATTTAAACGAAAATTGTTAATATTTTTTTCTTCTACCATCGAATTCACTACACATCTCAACATATTTAGAATAGACATTCCGTAGCAAGTTAGAGCTTTGCATTATCATCAATCATTTATGCTAATCATGTGATATTCTTTTTACCTCAAACACACGTTTAGCATCAGTCCTTGCAAAATGAATATATAAATTCAAAATAATTCAACAACAAAGCATACAGTCGATATATGAACATCAAATGTCATTTATAATTGATATGAATTCAAACAGGTCAATGCCGGAGAGTTTTCGCTGGCTTGTTATAAACCACAAAAAGGAAGCAGCATTAAAAGTTATACAGCAAATGGCGAATTTCAATAGGAAACCTATACAAAATACTAAAGAGCTGGAAGTCTTGATGGAGGCGAGCGTTCAGGAGCTGACCACTCAAAAGACGTACAGCATACGTGATTTGTTTGTTTCAGCTAAACTTACAAAAATGACATGTCTACAAGTATGGGCATGGTATGTTATCGAATTCCATTGTTTTCGTAGTACAATTGAAAATTGTCCTTGTAGATGCTGTTACTACCTCAATGAACATAAGTCCTTACCAATGGTGGCGATTCACTTTCAACAGTAATCATATATTTTCTTTTTCTGCGTACAATTTTTCTACCTTTCTTTCCGATCTCTGTATTTTCCAACCAAAGTCGTTTTTATAGGTGTTATTCACGCACTGGTATAAACACCTGATGTTAGTCATTCCTATCTAATATTGAAAAATTGGATTTGATCACGTAACTATGCTGTGGAACAGATCTGAAAATAGATTTTGAGTTTTTAAATTAGATATCTTCCTCTATTTCAAATACCTCTACATTTGTCTCAGTAAAACCGAACTTTCATTTTATCACACGGTTGTATTGTTATTCAGTGAAAACATTTGTCATATTTTTTCATGTTACACATTTGTACTAATCAATTATTGTGGCTTCACTGACGTCAAACATCTACGTTGTGACATTTGGCGTAAAAATGCCGTATTCTACCATATTTGTTTCGCCTCCAGTTTTCATGTAATTTTTGAAATTCATGATTTTTAAAATTTCTGTTCGCTCGCTATATTGAAACTTCTTAAACTAGTTTCAGAATTCACATATCCCTGCAGACTCGTGTTAGATCCTGCATTTATATTATTTATTTCACTCTTTGCAATTTTGCTGTCCGTCATAATTTTATGTAATAAAGATTTTAACAAGGCAATGATTTAAACCGATAGTATTGTGTCAAGCTTTTAACGTTTTCTATTATTTTTTTATTATATGCCATACTTTTTAATGCTTTCATATAGAAAATCCGTTATTATTCACCCGCTGCCCTATATTAACAGAAAATCGTTTCATAATTGTCCCCCTGGTTTTTGCTTCAGGCTGGCGTGTGGTTATGGTTATTATGGTGTATCGTTTGAGGTCAAGGGTTTGACCGGAAACGTTTACCTTAATATGGCTCTTCTGAGCATAGCGGAGATTCCTGCCGTGATGACGTTATACTTTTTCACCAACAGGTAAATTGAGATAATAGGGCCCTAAATAGGACACGTGTGTGTGTTCATTAAGATTAGAATTTTAATTCAAATGTCTACAACATGATTGAGGTGTTCCATTGAATATAAGTCATTGGGAATTGGGAAAAAGTTATCGTCGAGAAACAGTTGGCTAGATTCGTAACGGTAAGAAGAGTGTGAGAGCACTGCTTGCAAAATAAATCACAACATGGGTTAATACAAATGCGAACTTTTTTATTTGTATCTAAGGAACAAAAACAAAAGGACATGCCTGTTATGCCATTGATATTTTGAAAAACATTTGTTTGCTAATATCATATTTGTCTGAGTATCTTGTTACATTTGTCGTATGATTTCAAGCTGAAATAACACTATTTTGTCTACATATTTTATTCATTTGCTTTTATTCTATCTAATTCCTTAAGACTTGGAAGGAAGTGGACGTCATTGCTGTTTTGTGGCATAGGGACATTTAGTGCAGTCATTATGGCTGCCATTGAGTTAACTGGTAGGTTCTGATGGTGTTCACCATATTTGATTATGAACGCTATCATCACCTTAGCTAAAAAGATTAAATAAAATTTAAAAGTTTTGAATTACTTCATTAGTATTTCATGATTATTATTTCCTGATTGCCTGATAAATATCTGAGTATAACTTATATTGTTGTAAAAAAAAAAAAAAAAAAAAAAAAACTATTCTTTTTGAAATTGTAACTTTTGTAGTTTCCTCTTTACAATCGAACAGTTTATCCAGCAGTCTGTTTTATTTCGTTCCGACTATTTCTTTTAACAAAACAATGGTTCACTTTCAAGTTTAGTGTTCGGCGTTTGCCCATTCAAGCAATCAACCACAATTTATACCTGTCAGACAAGCTAGTTTCTTATCTATGTACCCACTTCAGCTAAGATTAGTTGGTTAAAGGCCAGGAATATGTACAAGTGCAATGTTGTTGTAAAGTGTCTCGGTTATCAGTGAGCATACTCTTCATAATACCCTAGGTATGTACAGGGCACATAACCCTTACCAAATCAACAAAACTATCACTTAATGAAATTGATCAGATATCTGATTTCAATAACATCAGTAATTGTATGTCACGATTTAGGTCAACGTCTTTATGTTTGCTATTTTTCCCTTCATATCTCAAACTTCATATTTTTTACAATTACTGACAAGTTTACTAGCATGCTTAATTCAGTGTTATACATTTTTTAATATTTCAGATTTACAAAGCAAAGTCTATCGAACAGTTTTTCCGATTATTTCTAAAGTTGCAGTCTCACTTACATGGCTTGCCATCAAACTTTTAGCGATAGAACTGTTTCCAACAGTGATAAGGTGAGATATCTCACATATTTTCAATATAGAAATAAGCTTTGAAATGTTTTAAGCTTCTAGTATGATGTTTGTAAAACCGGTGAAAGTAACTGGTGTCTATAAACGATTCTCGATACCTCGAAATGAAATGAACAGCAAAAGCATAAATTCATCATTAGATGTCAACCTACTTAATTAGAATATGGTTTTACTTGATAATGTCAAATTGAGCTACTGATGACTGTTAGGCTTCAATAATTTGTTGTAATTCGAAATGGGAAACTAGTGGGAACATAATATAAAATCGGGGAAATCGAAATCGATCGAGGTAGATTTGCTAACATTACATACATTATAGAAAAAAAACGAAATAGTTAAATTCAACCCAGAGTAAAAACTACAAATATATGAAATTGGTGTTGGTATGAACAGGGCAGATTGTCTCAATGTTATACAACTTTATATATTCCTTATGGTTACTTCTACTCATAAACCAATTGCTCTAGAACCGATAAACACTAAACTATCAATGCAAACCTGACCTCATATACCGTATACCGAGATATTTCGCCCTAGTACCCATTATACACGAATTCACCTCATATTCATTTAGCTTTCTGGGAATTGTATCAAAGGTTATGTTAGAGCGCAAAAATATTTCGGTATACAGTAACCACCCTTGCTACTGCGAGGACGTTAAACCCACAAAACAAATTTCTGGTTACAGTTAAATATTTATATGTTGCAATATCATGTACAAGCTTAGTTTTGTCTTTGTTTCTAATTTTAGATCGGTTAGCAGTGGGTTATTTAATGCTGTGGCAAGGGTGGGCTCTATGGTTGCTCCTCAGTTTGTGTACCTGGTAAGTTACTATTTCATTCCTTTTTCGGCCAAAGAAACGTAGCCGATTCATTTTATCGTAAAATCATGTATAGAAATGAGATGTATGATTTTAAGTTCGACCACACATCAATTATGAAATAAAATGATTTGATTTGACGCAATATCAACAGTTACGGGATCGCTGAAAAAGGAAAGCTTTTGAATTATAGTATATATTTGATATTTTCGGAAAAGAAATAATGTCATATAGGATACACATATGATAGACACTTTTCCTTTTTCAGAATGACGACACACCTGGTATTCTGTATCTGATATGCAGTGGGGTACTTTCCATAACTTTCGTCTGTGTTTGTTTTATGCCGGAGACAAAAAACAGGTTACTACCAGATGAAATGTCCGACTTCGGTACTAAACATCTGAAAACAAAATCTTATCCGCTAAAAATTTCAAACGTGACTTCTGATATCAAGAAAGAGAAAGACAATATGATTTTCACAACTCACATATAACAAGTGTATCTACAAACATTGAAGTTTTTATTTGGGATATTCTTTTATTTGATTCGCTCTATGTGACTGTGAATAAGGTAAATTTTTGTACGGGTTTCCTTTCATTGATAATGTAGGTACCCGCAATCTACAAATTTTCATGTGCACCAACTGAATCATATGACAAAGATTTAAAAACAGAAAATCCATGAGTATTGTCCATGAAATAATTCCGAAAGGAAAATTTTTATTTCAAACCATAACGACGTTTACATTATAAATTTACTGCATTGTATGATTTCTGCTTCCTTTGATCACTAAATTGTAATATGCAATACTGTTTGTATATGATCATAAGAAATGTAAACAATATTAAACAACTAAAATATACTAGAAATCTTAGAGTGCTACACATCATACTAAACTACTATAGTTTAAGTCATTTTCTTATATATCTATAATATATATTAAGAATCATCATGTGACTGCCTTCGGGAGATAACAATGAAATGACGTCACTTACTCGCTAAATTAATTATGGCGTATCAATGAAGACCGTTGCTGAAATGCCAAGATGACTCCAAAAGGGACATGGAAAGAAGAATGTCAATTTTGCCATTTGCAGTAGTTCAGTCATTAGCTAAAGTTAGCTGGAAGGCATTTGAAGTCAGTTACATATATCATGGTATTCAGATATCAAATTTTCCGAAGGCTCATAGAACATCTGACGGTCGATGTGTGTACGCGGCCTAGAGGGGATATGTAAAATGTAAAAAAAAGTTATAACACTCTTGATCTTTGAGTGAAAATTAGTGTTTGAATGGTTATTTGATTTGCTTAGTAAAACCATAAAAATTATTTTTAAAACCTTAAACGTCTAAATTGCAAAACAGATCATAGTAAAATAGCTTGTATATGGTATATTTTCACATCAAACAAACAAACCTTCAAACAACGATGAGTACCCAGATAAATGAATATAGTCTATATTTAGCATTTTGATGTTTTTCAAGTTCAAGATCGCATAACTTTTTTTTATCTTTCAGTATTTTGTCACATATCTAACATCACAATGTAAAGATAAACGTGCAATTACAATACAGTATCAATTGATGCAAGAGTTTTACCTATCTAATTAGTTTTTGGACCAAAACCTGACCCTTGGTGTACACATGTGGTTCACTACATTAAATGAATTATAGCACAGGCCCCTGGGGCCTTTTGGACTTTTTAAACCCGTTTCCTGGTTTGTCACTCAATGTGCTGCCAATAACACCCATTTTGGTTTAAATTGGTTTGTTGGCAAAATTCTATTGTTCCTGTAGGAGGTCCTTTCTGACTCTATATTATTCTGGTCACGGCACCATAACTGCTGTAACTAATGGGTTGGAAAACTTGTTCGCGTTGAGTAGATATTCTTAGTAATCTATAATAGCTAAGTATTCGTGTTTCAAAATTCAAACTTAATCTCATAATTTATTTCTTTATGGAATAAGAGTGAGACACCATTTTTGAAAACTATGCTGTGATGCCATTACAAAGTCCAGCTTAAAGAAATCGGCCCTTTCTGTCATGTGGAAACTGTTCATGGTTCAATGATAGAACTCTATTGTCTATGCATATATGTCTTGCAAGTTCATGTGGAGTTTCAAATCAACCGTGTCCATTCTTGCTATAAACGCTATTTAGCGGCTAAAGCCAACACTTGTAATGAATTATGCTGATGATGAATTCTTAGGTTTTATGTTTTGAAATACGATGACTTCATTGGATTGTAACTTAAGACAAACAATATGAATAGGTTGATAAACAGCTATAGTGTACTGTGCGTACTTTGCCCTCCACAATCGATGCCGACAATATCCGCTATCTTGCTTGATTGTGTATCTATGTCTAGCTTTAGATAATGAGCAATAATATTGTGCATGGGAAGCTTGCAACAACAATTACTACTTAAAATTCTGTGAGAGACCTGAAGATATATATCTGAAAGTGCAAAATGATAAAATAATAAATATCTTAAGATTAAACACGTGAATATTGCAAGCAACGACACAAGGTAATACAATTAGCTAGTTCTAAATGTTAGTAAAGTTAAGAACGTGTGTAATAAACAAACAATAACAACCTGAAATTATCTTTTTAAAAAAGTTTAAGGATGCGTGTCACTTTAACATGTTTATTTCCGCCGGAAAGTAATAATGTTTTGCTTGATTTAAATAGTTCATACCACGTATTGTTTGTCCTGATCTATATAAACATCGAAAGCTAACAAATCGTCTGTAAAGAAATATCGATAACAGATTTATCATTTGACTGAATACATTGTACATGTGATCTAATGACACGGTATGTTCTGTTTACCATGGATAACCATACAGGTATCATTCAACAATGAACTCACAAACGGATCACGAAAAATTTTGTAAGTAAACTTTTTTTGTTTGTAAGGCTGACTTATAAAATGGATGCCACAAAATATCCTTATTATTTCGAGTCTTTCTGATCGCAGTAATGACAGCATACTTATAACGGCTCAGTAAAATCAATGGTGGTCATTTTATCTTAACTATCTGAAAATATCATGATAATAGTGTGAATATTAGAGTTATTGTATGGATAGTACATGATGTACATAGAAACAAAAATATATCCGGAGGTATATTCAACATTAACATCGAATGGTATCATTACGTCTAACATCAATGATAGTGATTTTCAGTTCGATATAAATATCATCATTTCAGGAAACCGAAAATAAGTCGCTGCGTGTTTTTATACTTTTAACAAAATCTAACTGGAAAATATTCATCAGATGGAGAAGTAGATGTAATATTTGATAATCGGTTTTTGTGGAAGCACATACACAACGAATGTGTTCAATATTATGTACTTGTAATAAAAGATATTTGCTATGAAGATGAAACAGATTTATACTTGTTATCAGAGTAAATATATGAAGCTATTAAATGGAGGGTACACTATGTACATATGTACTTATCCGGAAGTGATGAGAGTATAGATACACAATGCTTATCAGAAGGTATATTAAATGATATGATAGTTAATGATATCAACACGACTGATGGTAGTGAGAATGATTTTGACTTTTTTTAGAAGAAAAAAAATACATCATTTATAGAAACCGAAAGTAAGTAAGCCACAACGTGTGTTATATTTTTTTTATAAAATAACAAAAAAGATAGCATGGGAAATATTTATCAGAAAATTCAAGAAATGTGTTCTTTCACCAATCAATAATTGATACATGCGGAAGAACATCACAAAAGATCGATTTCCAGATTAGATAATGTAATAAGAGGTATTGTCATGGCAATGGAATCGCTTATGAAATTTTATATTTATAATAACAATTAATTAAAGGCAATAATTATTATACGATGATATTTCTAACGGTGATCAATAATCAAAACGAATAATCGTCCAAGGGAACATTTCTGCGAAAAATAGTCACAATAATGTCCCCGAATACTTTCGCATCTGCACTTGTGGAATACATTTCGTTGGTGCAAAGAAACAGTCTACATGACGACCACAAGATATATAGATAACAGAAAATGTATGTCTTATGGTGTAACAAATTGCTTGAAATACTATATTATTACACAAGTGAATAACCCCAGTTAATACAACGAGTTTGATACAATAGATCTGAATCATTGATTAATCAGCAAAATACAGCTGCTTCGACCTTCTAGGACTTGTCAGTGATGCTATGAGCCTAAATGCGGAAGCCTAGTAGAAGACTGGAGGAAATCAAAAGCGACCAAAAAGGAAAGTCAAAATCCTGATAGAGAGGTGCTGTACCCCAATAATTCAATAATATCGTAATTTTTATATATCGTCTTATTATAGAACAACATCTAGTTCATGAGTATATTCTTAACGGTGCCAGAATTGGAATTTATTCAAATGTGCCATGTAGATTACGGCAAACTTCGGGGACTAACATTCCACCAGCAAAATTCAGTTTGATATTATACTAATGATTAAAATTGTATTATTTAACATAGGGTTGTGTGCGAAATCGAACAATCATATGGAACAGAGTGAAATAAGTGGTAGAAACACCTATTAGCATTAACATGACATCGGCATTAAGTTTATACATGGAGAACGTGATCGAGGAGAGTGGAGGCTTTGGGAGGTTCCAGACTCTTCTCTTTCTTGTTACCATGCCTGCCAAGTTCGGGATGGGATGGAGCATGTTGATGATGTCCATAGCAGGGGCCGTGCCGGAATGGTGGTGTATGGATGATGACTCGTCTGAGCCCGGAAACAGCACAGAATCACCGGTACAGAGATACCAGAATGACAGCAACTTGTATGAGTGTTCGTTTAGAGGTTCCGGAAATTCCACAAAAGAGTGCCAGACATTCAAGCTTAACGATAGCCTGTACACAATTGTCAACGAGGTAAGTAGTAGTACAGCTTTTCATCAAATGAAATGTAGTAATATATCGGTTATAACACCCCCAAAAGGGTAACTGTAACACCTTATAACATTTACCCTAGTTCAAAATGGTCTGATTTCCAAACTATTTGAACATGGTATAAGTTTGAGACCGGACATCATTATTCTTTAAGACAATCGCGTTACCTCCTTGAGGTTTTTATACGGCGTTATCTACATAGTTACTGTGCATTCAAGCTTGCCTAGAAAACTATTATTTATGGCATTATGTATATCTTACGATGATTGTTAAGATGATAAGATGCTCTAAATAAAACAAAAATGCAGTACCAGATTAACGTTCCTCGAAAGTTCTCACTCCTGCTTGCCTTTTCTTATAAATCTAGGGTTTGGTTTTTGTCAGAACTACATACCAAATTTTGAATATCACACATCAATCCCTAATAATAGTTTCGCTGTTAAAAAGTTATTAAGTACATACTTTTATATGGGTAAATATTTACTATCCTAAACATTTGCATGGTATTGTGTACGTTTCTGCATATATATTGCAGTGTGTACAGTATGCTAAGTCTAACTGATATATTTTCAGTGGGACTTGATATGTGATCGGGACGACATCCCGTCCACGATTACCACAATACAGATGTCTGGGATACTGGTCAGTGGGCTGATCGCTGGACAATTCGCCGATTACTACGGCCGCAAACCTACCTATTTTCTGTCAATGCTGATTCTTCTACTGGGAAATATTGGATGTGCTTTCTCTGTAGGCTGGGAAATGTTTGCTGCTTTTCGTTTCCTGATTGGCTTTGCTTTAGGATGTTACATCACTGTGTATTATACTTATATGATAGAATTCACTCCCACCAAGTATCGCGCTATTATTGTAACGATTCCACTCTGGCCTTTAGGCCTATGTGTATTGGCCTTGGTTGGTTGGTGGCTACATGATTGGAAGGCTCTACACATTGCCAACGCCATTGCCATCGCCCCGCTGTTGTTGTTCTGGGGGTGAGTTGAAATATTAAAATATAAATCATTTACTTATATTTCCGACGATTTTCCATTTCCAATGTAATTTGGAAAAGTTCTAAAAATATATTTTGAAGTCAGTACCTTGATATATTGTGTCTAATTGTTTTTAATGGTTTGTTTGAGTGATCTTAATCATATCCTCTTGTACTTTCTTTGGTACAGCCTGGTTCCGGAGAGTTTTCGATGGCTTGTGTCACACAATAGATTACCAGAAGCAGAATCAGTTATCAATAGGATAGCAAGGACTAACGGCCGCCCAACACCTGACCTTTGTGGACTAGTCGAGGTCACAAGGGCAGAGGTCAAGCCGAATCAACGACGAGTTTACAGTGTCAAGGATCTATTCAGTTCATGGATGTTGTTCAAAACCACCGTCTTGTTGGCAATAAGCTGGTAATTTGCTGTTTCTGATAGTTGTTACGAAAACATGTATGACCTCGGAAGAAAAATACCTGTTTGCATTAGATGAAATTATATACGAGTTCGAGGGTATCTTTTGTTTTTATGCATGTTTTATACACCGACGTTTTATCGAGTACTCTATTCTATTTATTTCTCCTAATGATAAAATTAAATCAAAATGGCATTTTTCGCCCTTTTTCAAAAATACATCGTAAGTTTTTTCTCGTTTTGTTTCATGACACTTTTGTGTACTTGCTGTTTTATCTCTATTTTGAATATGCTGAATATACACATGTAGTAGAACTGACTCTAGCATAATCAGATATATAAAAATTAAAATACTTACCGATTTATAGGTCTAGGTACTCCTCCCCATCTACATTTTGACATTTCTTTCAGGCATATTGAATTTCCTTTGTCGCCTCCTATTTTTACAATTCATGCCCTTAGCATCACTGACGATCTCTAGAAGGACAAAACAGCTGTATGATGCAGTTTAAGACATTTTGTTGGCTCTACTGTATCCAACTGTGAATTTGTATCAAGACATATTATTCATTTGTGTGTCTTTTGAACAATCTGCGATAACTTTAAGACTGTTCTATTCAATGTTTATGTTAACGTTGTAATGTTAATCCTAAATTTCGATCTGAAATATATATGTTAATTTTGAATGTTAATATTAAATGCTCGAAAACTTATTTGGATGTATATGTATGAAAGTCACTATTTTTCTATACATTTCCTTGTTTCTTCATTTTTGTTGAAATTAGAATGTATTCTTTCACAGGTTCTGCAGCTCCTATGTGTACTACGCCATATCATTTGGCGTTCAGAATCTCTCTGGGGACATTTACTTTAATTTCTTTCTCATCCAAGTGATAGACATTCCGGCTATGATGTTAACGTATGTCCTGGTTAACGTCGTGGGTAGAAGGCCTTTGGCCGTCGCCCTTTACGCCCTGGGAGGATTGACAGGGCTTGCTGTAGCCGCTATAGAAATATCAGGTAAGTGACCAGCTAAGGCTTTAAACGATTTTGTTTCCTCGATAGACATCTACTGTTAAAGAGCGATAAGTTTCTAGTTAATTATAAAGCTGTAAAGTGGTAAGTGAAAACAATTCAAACTCTTGCCACAGTGAATTAATCATATAACGATTCCACGGTTGTATTAAACCTTTGAGTCTCTGAGGTCAGGTATCAGTTTCAGGATTTTAACTCTAGTTTTGAAAGTTTCACGTTGTAAAAATGCTATCTCCATTTCTTACAATACCTATACATCTATAAACAAAGGAAAATGTAGGAATTAAAAACATTTTTACAGTAAATATAGGACCAAACGTGAGGACTCCTGCCTCATTGCAATGGAAATCTGTGAACCAGCGGCAATAGGGAAAGTCTAGTATACAATATATTGTTCCGTTTCTTTTCCGCTTGTGTGTTAATCATGGTTGGTCAGTTATCGTCGTAATGTCGTATTATTGTTATGGTATTTCAGATTCTTTACCAAAGTTTCCATTCTTATTTCAAATCTTTAACTTGGATTCTGCAGGCATATCTCTAATTGACCTTCTTGTTATTTACCATAGATTCTGTAGGAAAAATTCCCTATTTTATTTCGGATTTATCACATTATCACGGGGAAAGAATTTTCAGACAATTGCTATACTTGTGTTGTCAACAGGACCCGTATAAAGTTAATCTTTTCTATGATTAGAATTAGCATAGTTAAAACATTTGAAACAAAAGTAATCAGAAACTGCTCGACTTAGATAAAATACAAACTGTGGAAATAATCATCAAAATGACATATTTGTGTCGAAGGCTGAAAACTTATATACATTTCAAATGATATTTACCTAGTCTAGTAGCATTGTAATGTTATCTGGATGATATCTGTAGTTCTCTGTAGGTAACTCAGTAAATCAATGACTCGGACAGACTGAAAAAGTCATTAACATATCTATTGATAGAAAATAGCATTAACGTACACCATATTTCTCATTTGTAAATTATCTAGATTTGGCAAATCGACACTGATTGAATTGTGTTTCATTTAAGAATTGAACTGCTTTCAGTTGGCATTCACAGGCATATCGATGTCAACAAGATAAAGGGAAGATTCAATGAAGCGCGAAGTATTTCAGGTTGAATCTGAACTTATCCAGTTGACATTCATGGGTACATGACTGCCAACTGAAAGCAGTCCAATGCTAATATTTGATGCTTTCAATTTTCGTCTTTTCATATTGAAAGACAACCTCAATTTGTTTACATTACTTAATGCTGTTGACAGTTCATGAACTGTTAATACACAGCCGTTATCGGTAAGATTACATCGTAGCAATGTCATACAGTGATAAATACTTGGTAAGAAGACAAATTTAACGGTATTTTATATTTGACATTGTATTATTTTTCTTACATAATAAGAATTTCTATTGCATCATTGGATTCTTTGTTTTCTTTCCCGGGTAATTATTGAATTTAGATCATGGTGTTTTATCTCAATTAATCGTTTTCTCCAATAATGCAGAAATATCAAAAATATTGTCATAACGGCATTACTTTTTTTCAATTTTGACTCGTCTTACAACCTAACCCAGATATCGCTGATAAGGAAACCATGAGGACAGTTTTCGCCTTGATAACAAAAGTAGCTGTGGTCATGGCTTGGTCTGGTTTACAACTATTGACTTCAGAGTCCTACCCTACCGTTGTAAGGTGAGAATAGCAGCATCACTTCTACTTTAATTTTAACCTTCACATCACCAGGTGGCAATCGTGTCTGTCTGTACAAAAAGATGTTATTGCGTTAATTCCATTGAAAAAAATAAATAAAGGGTCTTTACATGACTTTTCAATCTCAGATGAGGAAAATGGAAACAAATATGATATCTTTCTTATGAAATGAACGATTGCTGTCGCAAAATTACTGAAAATTGAAAATCTTAGCAATTATCTTTATTGCGATGTCATAATGCATTCAGCGAATAACTGAAGTTATTTTTATCTTCTGAGGTTAGCAGAAGGTTATATAACATGAATTCATATGCAAAATAAGATAAAGCATGAGTGCTGCAATTATTTGATTAATGTTATGATGTAACAGGAACATTGGGTACGGATTGCAGAGTGCTGTGGCAAGAACTGGTAGCATGTTAGCTCCTAAAATTGTTTACCTTGTAAGTATCCTATCCTCAAAACGTTGTGTAATTAAAACTTTTTATTTATGTTTGTAATTCAAATCTCGATCACCAGAGTCTCTAGACAATTAATAACAATGAGGTTATACGAGACACTTAAGTGAATAACCACTCTTCAAGAACGAAAAAGTAACTGGCATATCATCAAAATCTTAATATAAACTCACATGCTATTAAATCATGGCAAAATATGAGCAATACAAACATATACACGGGACCTATGAAAACAGAATACCATGTATTCCGGAAGGGAAAACGTCTTCTGCTTCATTGACGACACTCTCCATGTAATTTTTTGTAAATTCAAGGAAGCTAGAAATTCTCAAATGAGAACATTGTATACAACAACGGAAACAACAAGCAGACTAGCGACCATCAAACACGTCCAGCTTCATATCGCACAAAGAAATAGAATATTCTTAATGAGATTACTATGACGACCGTAAAACTTCCCTTTAATTTTCATCAACCTGCATCTTTCGAAAACTTGTCTTACGAGTTTGCCCGTCATTTGACGACTTCTTGCTTGGAAATTGTGATAATGGGAACAGACCCTTGAATATCGAATCATCTGCGACATGTAAACAACACAGGTTTAGGGATGCACGTGTGTTGTTATCCAGAAATGGAAAATTTACATCACCACGCCTATCATATAGCTTGGTGGAGAGCTGTACTTGCTGGACTCATTGCAAGAATAGATCCAGATAAAAGGCTGATGTAGAAGAGACATGACATGAATAATGACATGAACTGCCTCATGATTCAGTCTAGGACTAGTCAGTAATGTTAAAAGGCCTGAAAGAGAAAATTCAACATTGGTCGAAAGAAATGCCAAAAGGAGGATGGGGAGGTACTCTTAACGCAGAGTTTGTTAAATTTCATCAATCTGATGATTTTAATTTTTGTTTGATATCAAATGAATGTCAATTTCATGCCCATATTCTGAAAGGGTACGTAATTTTGTTAATAAGGTAATAGTACATTTAAGCACACATTTTAAATGATTTTTCGATTTTCGCAGACTCCATTTGAGAAAAATATATTCAATTTCATAATAAAAAAATCTAATATCTTTTCTTCAGAATAACGACGTGCCAGGAATAATGTACTTTTTAGCGGGAGGGTGCATGTTATTGACAGCTGTTGCTTGTGTATTTCTAATGGAAACGAAAGACAGAGTCCTGGTGGATAGCCTCAAAAGTGATACAGTGCATAAAGATCCAGAGAAGGAGAGACTTATTTCAGACACAAACCCTAAAATGGAGTATACAGACAATAAGACTAATATGAATGTTGATGGTGTTGAATTTGAAAATAATGATTTAACTGCCTCTAGTCATCTCATTAGTGTTGCAGAAAAGCAAATGGAAGACAATGTATGAAGGCGGCAAAGCGACGTATACTAATACATCAATTACCATCTCCATTTCAAATATCAGGAATCGAACTTTGCGTCAGATGTCAAAAATCTTGACACAGAACACAACAAATGAGATTAATAAACTTTGTACAAATAGTGTGTCACTTGTAGTTTTAACTAAATCTGGTCACAAATCAAAGCGAGTCCTACAAACATACCTACATCGACAGAATGGTGTAATGGAAGTCGACTGTCATCATGTTTATTTTTAACATCATTAAACTTTGCCATTTGGTACCTAACTAAGATAAAGCAACAAATTATCTTAATTTCGAATATCATAAACTGAATTATATCTGTGTCCGGAAAGTTACAGTCGGATCCCTAGTGTCCTGGAAACATCCAATGAAGCTTATGTTGTTGTGCCCGAGCTGTTTTTCCCAAGGAAAAATGGACGAGCATTTTCTCAGGAAAAAAATAACTATTGTAAAATGTGATGAAAATGTTTGTCATTTTTGTTAATTTATTTTCATGCGCTATTTATTACCATAACCCATTGTATTGTTATAAATAATTTATCGATGTCATTATAGCGGCGATTGTGTTCCCAACACTCATTGGTTTTATATAGTCATTACCAGTTTATCTGGAGAAAAAAACTAATATCATATTAAATATAAGAAAAATAATTCGGTGCTAATGTTGCATGCTAGTTGTTCTAAGTGTGTATTGTTCTCATCGAATAAAAGGTTGTTTTATCAGTCCAATACATTTGACAAGCATTTTACATTTTCTCGTTAAGCCCCCTTCCACTTGCTTACCTATGTGTTCATTTTCCTATCTGGAGTACAATGGGATTGCAATATTTGTCATGTTTTCAATTTAACATTTAATATATATTTCTGTCATTGCCTACTTCGCTCTAGGATAGGTCAATGTCCGGTAAAATGCATTTTTCCACATCTCTGACTATAGATAAGATTTTTCATATGCGGAGCACACATCAATATGTTTGCATAAGGGGTCCAGCATCGTTCTAACGAAATCCGTTTGGAAGCGTAGACGCTCGTACAGAGATATATAACTTTGTATCAATGAATTAGAAAGTTCGTTAGATTTTGTAAAAAAAACATTACAACTAGTCTCTCAACTTTGTTAATTGAAAGTAAAACTCCTCTTTCGTGACATTTCCCATGTTTTTACTTAAGGGTTTTTATGATTGGTGTCGGTCTATACTGAATTCTTGTGCTTTTACATTCTGTTATATATTTTTGGTTTTAACATTGTTATCCCAATCACATGGAGGTTTCATCATTCTATATTTCAGGCAGTCTGTATAATAGCAGTGAAAAAAGTGTTAACATAACTGTTAATTATCATTCTTGTTTTGGCATATAAGCGAACTTATTTGGAAGGAAATTAGAATATTGTCGGGGATGGGGAAGAACTTTGTGTGGAAGGAAATCTGAGTATTGTGAGGGAGGGGGGAATCTCTGTGGTCAGGCATGTGACTTCATACCTTTACAATATTAGACCCTGGTAACAGTGGTGAATGCGGGCCCATTACCATTGCTGCACAAGGCTTCAGGCATATGACTCCATACCTTTACAGAATTAGACCCTAGTAACAGTGGTGAAAGGCTGGCCCACTACCATTGCTCCACAAGGCTTCAGGCATATGAATCCATACCTTTACAGAATTAGACCTTAGTAACAGTGGTGAAAGGCTGGCCCACTACCATTGCTCCACAAGGCTTCAGGCATATGACTCCATACCTTTACAGAATTAGACCCTAGTAACAGTGGTGAAAGGCGGGCCCCATTACCATTGCTACACAAGGCCACCCATAATACACAAGTGAAAACCAGTATTTTAACATTCCATATTTTACTTGTACATGATAAGCAAGCTATAAGTAATAATTACAATAGTACGATTAACAGTTGTAACAATTCTATGAGGAAAACCATTACATCAGGACTTAACAACATGGACTAAACAAACACAAAATTGGCAGTGATTCAATCACATTGTGAAGATTATAGCACATATACAGTGACACTTCACACAAATTGGAGAAAAAATATGGTTTTAGGTGATGCTCCAATCAGTAATATTTTAGCCACATTGGTATGCATATATTTAAAAAACTTTGGCAAAAAGGAAAACCAGTCATCTTGAAATTTTCCACTACATGCATATACAATTTGTACATAAATTTGCGTCTCAGCAAAACTCAAGCTGGTCCTTTAGAAATTTTTCATTTTGAAATGATTTAAGCACATGATGGGCGAAACTTTATCCTCGATATTTTCTAATCATCTTCCATCCTCTAAACCACTCCATGGCCCTACTACACTGGTGAAGTCAAAATTGCTGCCCTATTTTGACAGGAATATATGTATGACCTTTTTGTTACGGAGTCATTATGAATACTAAGTTTGATCTCCCTGCATTGTTATATTGCCATATCCAACAAGACACCAGCATGATTTCCATCACAGGGTTATAACATTAACTAACATACATGTAGTCTAAAGCATGTATAATGATATATCATCATATATATGGTGCACATAAAAACAAATTATACTCAAAGACTGAAGAAAAAATGAGGTTTTGCAGTTTTTTTAAGTTATGAAATCATTGCTTACCCATTCTTAATTACTAAAAGTTCATAATGAAATCTGATTGATGTTGATTTGAAAAAAAACCCCAAAGCTAATGATGTTTCTTGTGAAACGGCCAAGATTGTACAAAATACAAGTAATTGAAATAAAAGTAAAAAACGAAGATTGGGAGGGGCACTAGCCCCATTATTAAAAAAATTCGTAATTTCCATAAGACTTTGATGAATAATAGTATTTATATAGAGTGAGGAGTACACAGGATATCTGTAAATAATCCAAAGTATATAAAAAGTAACATAGAAGTCTACCAGTATAAACATATTATGTACCTTGTTATAAATTAAAGGGTACCAAACATTGCCACACTTCAAAAACTCTGTATCGCAGCTCAACAGATTCCTAAATTCATAGTCCTATCCATGATTATTATGTGTGGGCATCCTTAGATTTATTTTACAGCCTTTATCATCCTTCCAAAAGGGAAAATATACAGATTATATTAAATAAATACATCACTGAACTATAATTACATTTACATCAAACTTAAATAAGAAAGATTAGATGCACATTTACACTGTCTGCAAAAATATACACATACTAAAACGATAATATATATATGTAACAGAGGTTATTATATATGTCAATGCCTTCGCTAGCATTCGAATCCGGGATCTCTGGCTTACTAGTCGGACGCTCAACCGATCGAGCTAAAGAGAAGTTCTCTCTAGGCAAGAAGTATCTTGCAGTAGTATCTTACCAGGATTACATATATATATCTATAAATATAAGTAAATGTGAATTATGTAGTACACTTAATGTTATGATGTTCTATATTTTCCTTTAAATCAAGCATATCTAAATAAGAGTGATATTTCTAACACTTTTGAGTAAAAATACTAAAATGTTTACACTAAGTGCACCTATATAATTTAAGATGTTGAAAGTTTTGTAATAATCTGCAGTCATATCATTGCTAATGAAAAAAAAATGTTACCAGATTTAGTGACAGACATGTCTGCAAAACCAAAACGCATTTCCTAAAAATTTTAAAAAAGAAGTAGAAATATGTCACTTTAAGCTGTAGTTTCCTATTAAACATTGGACAGAAAAATCACAAAATTAATGTCAGAAAATTTTGTCAGTCTTTGTATTATGCCTGAAAAAAAGAACAAAAAATGACTTATAATTGAAGACTACTGACAAATTAGAATATCCTACAAACTTGTTTCTGGGTACACAGCCTTGTTGGTTGTTTAATAGGAAATCAAGGTATAATAGTAAGAATTGTACAATAAAGCACCATTGTACTAGTGACACAGCATGGTAGTTTACATCATTGTGCTATTGTTACACTACAGCAAAAATACAAGTAGTGAGTCAACAGTAATAACTTGAGTCAATGAGTCAATACCATATTTGTAACTGACAAGAGTCATTAACAAGTGACTCGAACCATCATTGAGATTTCTAACAATAAATTGGTATTGAGTTACTCAAACATTAAGTCAATCAGAGTTTAACAGTGAATCAGCATTCAGTTACTTGGCCTTTAAACAGTAAAAATCTTGAGTTACTGAGATTTATAACAATGAATCATCATGGAGTTACTCAAGCTTGTATAATGAGTGACTAGCGAGTTAATCGGAATTCTAGTGTTGCAGGAACAATTACATAAATAGCTCCAAGATTTAATAAATCTATGAGTAAACTGATAGTTACTCCTTAAAATTAATGAGTAACGCAGATATCTCAAGCATCGAATATTGAATGACACGAGTCAACAAAGTTACACAAATTCTAACAAAGAGATGAAAATTCTTCAAAACATTCTAATCTATGGTGATATTGAATTAATTACAGAAACATTTAAATAATTCTGAAGTATATAGACACAAAAATATTGACAAGTGTTGATTTTCATGCATATGTGTAATTCTTCTGAGGTATACAGAGTATTTGAATTTATTCAAACCCTATCAATCAGCTACAAATAAAATGAAGGCCTCATTTATTGACTATTGTACAATCATACCTGTATCACACATATGAAGAGGTCTATTTCTAAAACAGCAGTATCAGTAGATATTGGAACAATACAATTAAACATCACTGTCCAAAGTATTCGATCACATATAAATACAATTCATACTTTTTCAATTACTCCCAAGTATTAAAGAGAACTACAAGATCATAACAAAAGCCAATCTCTAATGTATAAGTACAAGGCATAACTATTCCTAGTTCAGTCTCACTATTTAGTTATCTTGGCCTAATTTTTAACTGCAGTAAAGGCAAATAATTTAAATTTCTATAATCTATGAAAAAAAAGTATTTTCTTTAATCTGAATAGTTTTTTCAGCAATTACGTGAATGTACTGACTTATCTCCCTTAGATTACTCTGTCAAATTCAATTTCTTGTGAGAACTGTTTAGACTACCAAATCTTTTTTTCTCTTAATTTATCTAGACTTTTTACAAAACATATGGCACTCTGTGGAAAGAAAGGCACAAACAATAATAAAATAACTGACATGATATACAAATCAATACAAATATACACACTTTTTAAATATATCATTATGTTACTCCCAAGCATTAATAAAAAAACAATTTCTTGAAGTAAAACATCTTCATTAACAATGTTAAGTCAATCTATCTTCTTCAAAACAACTTAAGGATGTATGCTATGTTGTTAAGAAATATCTTCCAAAAATTATCTGTAAACTCTGAATTCTTTTTAGTTTTGTTTATCAACTACAGTTATGATAAATTGACATTTTAATTACACATACCTGTTAATAAAAAAAGATTTGGTATGGGAGACAACTCTGATATAAATACAGGTATAACGTGATTATAGCATGCATCCTTAATTCAAATATGTAACAAATACAGGATTGTACAAAAAATAGATTTTTTTTTTCTTTTACATTTCTACCTGAATCAGAAAAAACCACATGAACTTGTCAACAAAGGCTAGTTTAACAAACCAACTGGGTATGAACAGTTCATAAAAAAACTAAAACTTTCTATCAAGTATTTCTTCTAAGAATACAGCATATCAGTAAGGCTGATAATGTAAAACTGAAAACTACATAGCTGACACGAAAAATGCTCAATCATGTTTTGAGTAGTAAACGAAATTATTCAGCTTATTCAAAATGTGGCTGTGATTTTTTTAAGTACTGAACCCAACACTGTTGGTAAAGGTGGTAAAACCAAACTTACAATTAATTTATCAATCAAATACACATACCAGTGTGAAACATCAGGATGACAGCAACATGCTGAAGACTTTCAAAAAATCACAGCATATAGATCAAATTCAAAGAAAATATGAATGAATTGATTCAATAATGAACTACTTGGAAATAACTAGAACTTTTACTTCTACAATGGAGAAGATTTTTGTGATTTCTGTTTGATAAAATTCTGATTTCAAGACAGGTTGTCATTTACAATACAAAGTATACTGATAATACTTACAACTTAAAGCGTTAACTACCTAGGTATTTTTGACAAGATATATTGCCATTAATTAGCTGCTTTCTTATTCACTTCCTCGTGATATTTCTTCAGTCTTTTCTTCAATTCAGCAGGAAATTTCTCATGGCAGACTCGACAAACTGGCTTCAAATCAAACTCAAAAAACTTAGTTCTGAAAAAACATGAGAAAAAAAACATATAGTGATCCTGTTTTTTACACCGAAAAAAGGTAACGTTAAACTTGACTAAAATTTTTGGAAGAGAATTCTTTTCAAATTATTGAGAGAGGAGATACATTTCAGAATTCCAATCAAAAGATATATAACAAGTCAGACTAAAAAAAAAGTATGTATACATGGAAAATTAACATTATCTATATCAAATCAGTATAAAAATCACTTAATCTCTGGAATCACAACGTTTCAACTATAAGGTCATTCATTGTAAAAGTATATCGCTTACTTAAAAGCGATATAAGTAACAGCTGCAATAGTATAGGACTTACTTGTGACTCATCTTTCTGTCACAAATAGAGCAAGCAAAATGTCCCACACACCATGACTTGTTAAAGGCACTGAATACTGTAAAAAATCAGAAACACAGAAATTAATGCAACTAAATTCAAAATTATCATCATCTTACGACAATTGACATGTTTATATTCAGTAAATCAAATTAAAAGTAAAATCTATGTTAATGCCTTATTACATTTTTAAACAGATATTAATTTGGAGAACCCACAGGCACTTAATCCACTCCTAAGTTATTTATATGACATTTTTGTGATGTATTCATGTGTATCCACCCACATTCTGTGTTATATATTGTCATTGCTTTACAGTACATGTAAACCTTTATTCCTAAATACTTTTTTACTTACAGTACATGTTGTCAACATGAGCTAATTAAGAAATTAACCTCCACAAATCACTGAACGATATGTGAACTAAAAATGTAAACCTGATTTTTACAAAAGATTTGAAAGTATGATCCCCAACATGTAAGAGTTAGTGCCCTTTGAAAGTTTTCAAGTCTAAATTCTTTAATTAGCAGCTGGTCCATGCTATAATTTGTAACATCATTTAAAATTAATTAATCAATTGATTCCAATTAATTTTTAGCCTTATATTTTCTAAGAGATATATTAATTCATACTTACCATCTCCTGACACCACACAATTGCATACAAAGCAGATGTTTCCAAACAGCTGGAAAAAATAGAGTTCCAAAATTATCATCACTCTCTGTGTGACTAGACATAAGGTACATCTTTTGTGCTCAATTAATAACACTTATCAAAAAAGCATGTAAGAATTTCAGCTGTAGCCAAATGCAGACAGCTGATGGACCAAAATACTCTCTCACCTTTCTTAAACTACAATTAGACCACTTAAAATGTGTAACAGGGTTCTTACATTACCACAATGTACAATATCAAATTTAAAAGTCGTAAGTCCAATCATCCTTTGTCCTTTTTCCTCATATATTTGCTTTCATGTAAAATCCTCTGTTTTTTTTCTCTTTTGAAAATACAAATACAGGCAAACAGATTACCACTAATGCCATGAACTCTTTAAGACCACTATTAACTGAAGTGCTCATCCAGTCATGGCCACATCTTTTCTCTCTATCTTAGTTATGATTCAAATACCCAGGTTCTGTCAACTTTGAGATACTGAAGTTTAATCGCATATTCAATTAAAGATATCAGAACAGATCCCATTAAACATGCCCTGAAAAGTTACCTGATGGTAGTGAGTTTCACAGTAAGCTAATCCTTTCTTTTCATAATGTCTGGTGCCCAAGAACGGCCGCTCACACTTAGCACAAACAAAATGCTGTAACAAAGCAGAATTTTTATCTTATTTACAAAATCAATGCAACAAATTAATGTTTAAGAAAAACTATAATATGTGTTAAATATTTCACAACACTACTAAGATTTGGATAATCAGTAAGGACAGAGGATATCACATTTGTATATGTGTACACATGGGAAACCAAGGGATGGTTCTCTAATTGGACAAGACAAGGTTATGGGGTCACCAGCTGACCAAATGGTTTTTCTCTGAGTACTCTAGTTCATCACATATGAAGACATTTTGCACTTCTATGCAGACCATTAACTGTTGACACAATAATTTTTTTTAAATAAATGAAGTTCAATATTACTACTCTGTTCTATCTCTACTATGTAGATGCTTAGAAACTGTGCCTGGCAATATGAGCTACACCAATACGTTACCTCTACATGCCAAGCCTTTCCCAGGGCATGTACCACTCTCTCTTCAATAGGACGCCTGTAATATACAAAATAAAACACAAAGTGATTCAGCAGTAAAGCCAGGGCTTTCACCATCTCATTAAGGTGCAACAGCTCGAAGGAGTAGTTTCTGGGTGTGGAATCAGAACTTTTCATCTTTTATATATTTTTTTCTCTAGAATTCAAAAAGTGATTTCAGGTAATTTCATCTTTAAAAAAACCTGGTCATTATTAAAAAGTCATTAATGCTAAATTTTCATGTTTCTTTCATGTTTTCTTTTTTAAAAGTTCATGTGTGCTCACTTATATATTTGCTAATGTTACCCCATCACACAACACCTGATTGTGTGCTCCTTGGTCCTTAATATCTTGTTTTGAGAATGAAGAAATCTGATGAACATACCTGCAGGCTCCACATATCGGTATTCCCATTTTGTCGTGACAGCGTAGACAGTACAAGTCACCATTCTTCTCTCTTGCATCTGCATTCAGCTCTCCCCTATAAAAATTAAGAAAAGTTACAGAAATAACACTGATTCACACTGTAACATAATTCATTCTAGTTTGCATCTCAGATTTTCTTTTACTATGAACAGGTGTGTCCATGCACAACATCATGCGGTGTGTCCCCTGTTATTTTTCACAGGAAACATATTATCGCTATTTGTGAGGCATTCACTTTATCTTGAAAATTTGATCCATGAAATGATAAGATGCATGCTGATAATACCTTTGACAGTTAAGTAAAGACATACTGGCACTGTAACAATTATCTTAACTAAAGACATATTTGTGCTGTCACAATTATCCTAACTAAGGACATATTGGTGCTGTGACAATTACCCTAACTAAGGACATATTGGTGCTGTGACAATTATCCTAACTAAGGACATACTGGTGCTGTCACAATTATCTTAACTAAAGACATATAGGTGCTGTCACAATTATCCAAGTTCAGATGTTTAGAACAAATTAATGAATCCCCAATCTCCCTTCATATATATAAAGAATTTCATTAATCTTATGAAGAAGTTTTTTTTTTTGTGTTTACATTTTTTGTATAATATTTACCCGCATGATGAACAATTGAAGTGGTATGGATGGTAAGCCTCCCCTTTGTAACGGATGTGACCCTCTTCAATGATGGAGCTACAACACAATACAAAATATGGTTATATATCCCTGTAATCAATAAATTTTATGTTTAAGCAACAAATGATAGCAGACATACATCGTAGAATGTGACGTATAATTCAGCAGTTGTCCAGCTTAGTCTTGTCTCTGTCACAGGAACATGCCAGAAAACATTGGATTTTTAACATGACTTCACAAACACCAGAATTCAGACTTTGATCTGCAGCTACTTACTGACATTTGTGACAAACATATTTCCCCAGTCCTTTGGCTTTCTCCTTCGCATTGCATTCTCTACACAGAGCTCTGAATAACACAAATATATAAGTTTTAATGATTTGTCATATATCATTCATATCTTTCTGAAGTATTCATATGATATCTGTCCAGTACTAAACTTAAATGGCTGACTGACTTAAGACTAGTTCATCACTTTTACTATCATAGCAAGACAAAACAATACAAAGGCAAATCATTCCCAAAAAGAGAGGGAACAGCAAAACAGAACCTGATGGAGTCTCGGCAGCTACCTTATCAAAGGGAAATAACTCTATCTGTAAAGTAGGTCTTGTTCCATAGGAAAAATTCACATCAGAATAAAGCTGTCAAGTGTTGATGCTTTCAGTCAAAGAAAACCCATTGACTTGAAGTGATAAAGCAAACTTTATCATTAGTATTAAATCAATATGTAATAAACTGTACATAAGTATCCTTATGTAAAACAAAAGATCACAACATAAGCGTTGTGCATCAGTATTGTTACCTTTTATATCAATGGTAGTTAAGAGGTGGAATGCTACCCAAATATTCTAAAATTGCATTCAAATAGATTTTTTTTTGTTTTCATGCGAAGTAAAACATATCATGTTATGATTTTCCATTTCCATTTGAATCAGTGTCCTACATACCGAAAGCCAAATGTGGACAGTTAGGATTAAACTTAAATAGGACAAGAGGTCACCACATATTGTTTGATTGTCTTCATTCTGCACTACCAAAGCCTCCATCTGAGGGCCAAATCATTACCTCTTCACTCAAAATCAGGAGGTGAGCTTAGCACAGTACTGTACATTGGAAATTGTGGAAATTGCTGCTTTGTTCAGTTTTCAAAAACACTCAAGTGGAACAGCAAAAGACATAGGTAGGCTTACTACTAGATTAGGACTGTGTTTACCTTCCAGCATTTTTGACAAAGCCAGCATCAGCCAGTGGTCCATTACAGATTTCACACCTAAAACAGTTGGGGTGCCAGCTTCCATTCATAGCCTTGATCACCCGCCCGATGATAAACTCCCCTACAAACATCAATCACAGAGGGTATATGTATAGCAGAATATTCTGTAGAAATGTAGATCATTAGCTCATATCTATGCTGTGGAAATGTTTTCTCTTACTTCATATTTTAAATCAAGAGGTAGGTTTATTTTGTATGTCAATTATACAGAAATTATACGTAAATATGTTCATATGAAATGACAAACTACAGCAGTATACTGCATCAATCCTGCTACAAGACCAGAAGGCTAACAAGATCAAAGGGTGGGCTTATTACCAGTCAATTGGTTTACAACACCACTTAACAGCATAGAAGTTGGGTGGGTTTATTACCTAGAATGGGCTTACTATCAGATATTATAAACTATTTTATAAAAAATCTCAAAAGCTACAATAACACAGAATTTACTAATGAAATCTAGATGCACTTTCAGTACTGAACTTTAGCTGTAATCTATTTTAGTGCTTTTCACACCAAAATAATGCTAAAATAAGATGTACAGTTTTACTCTAGAAAATCTACAGGTGTCCATGTTTTACTATAGCAAAATATACTTAAAATAGAAAAAGTAACCATCCAGATGTTACTATCTCAATATTTATATGACTGTCTGTATGTACAGTTTTACTCTATCATTACCATATAGACACACATTCTCATAAAATCTATTGTCATTTGGGAATAACAAAATAAATATGCATCAAATTTTCTGGGAAAATAAATATTACCTACCACATTTGCCACAGCAGGGAGCAAACAGCACATGGAAGTCATGCTCACAGTACTTTCTTCCTTCAAACTAAAAACACAAAACATTCAATTAATGTTGACAGATAATAAGCCAATAAATGACATCAGTGTCATCATTTCTGTTGGACTCATGGACTCTGTTTTTATGCTGACATTTACGTACTGCATGTATCCTCAAAACAGATCATACTGCAAAATTGAAGGGGGCTTATTTTTGGGCAGGGATTAAGTTGTAGATATATTCTGTACACCATTAGTGCATTTCTTACTGACTGTATTTAATTATACTTTTGACTTCTATCTAACTGCTTGAGACCTCTACAGTAGATAATTCTAATAAAATAAAATGTCAACTTGAAAGCAATGAAGACCTGGTTTTTTCTTGATAAATTGTTAATTCACATGCATGGAATTTCAGAATTTATCTCTAAGTTTTGCCAAAATGTATTTTGTTTTCCTAAAGAAAACTGAGTTTGTTGTGTTATGAAAGATCACACATGGTTTGGATGATGGTTAAAAATGAGAGTACAATATTGATTATCAAGTAAGCTCTTCAACTCTCCTACCTCATAAAAGATTCCATCTGGAAACGGCTGGAAGCACTGGGCACATCTATAAAGTGATTAAAGCATTGGTAAGAAGATTTTACAAAAGACACACAACTGAAAAGTACTTTTAAATACAGAGTTAGATACAGTACATAAATCATGTACTTTATGTTTTACATGGCAAAATTATACATTTGTATCAAATCCATTTAATAATACAATAGACATTTACTGCATCTCTTTGTCTTCATCAATATTTTCAGTTACGGATGCTGGAGAGAATTAAAACCTTTATATACAAAATGGACAAATTTGTTAAATATTGCTAAAAGGAAATACAGAAAATTAAATTTTGTCCAATTTTCAGCAAAACCAAACTTTTTGAGATAATGGCATACTTGTAGTGAAAATATTAATGTTGTTGAAGATGGGGTAAAGAAAAGTTAAAAGTTAGAAATTGGATGGGAGCATTAAGCAGCCAAATTTAACCATTAAACAATTGAGTTTTACAAAGGTTACTCTGAGTTACAAACAAAATAAAGAAAAAAAATTACAGATTTCATTTTCTAAGAAAAAATATAAAGAATCTTAATAGTGAAGTGGCTTAAGGTCATTGTACAAAGTGACTGACTCTGACAAAGACAGATTGATTTGTTTACAGATGATTTGAGACAATCCATCTTAAGGAAACTGACTGATACTGATAGATTATCAAGCATCTCAGATGCATGTCAAGACAAAAACACTATAAGCAAATAGCACAGCTGTGTATACACCTTCAATCAAATGCAGGAACTCAAATAGTTTCTAAACTGATGAATTATCAAACACACACAGAAATACCATTGAAATGAAAGCTGCAAACATAAAGCAAATCTTCTTAATTTGATGTCATGCACCTGGAAAATGCATGTATTATAAGGGTTTTATATCTTATAATTAAATATCTGTTTCATTGGCCATGCTATAGGTTACCACCAACAGAACTCCGTTTGAGACAGTATAATCAACATAATTGAAAAAGGAAGAACTGTCGCAAATTTCCAAACACAGGAGTGTACCCCTATAAATGTTTGTGTTGTCACAAAATCACACAAGCATGTTGCTTTTTAGTTTTAATTTCACATTTAACTTCTTCCAATAATCCCAAACTTATTGTTCCCAACTCTGAAAAAATAATACAAGTCCTTTTATATTCATCATTTTTCAGAGGATTGAATGCTTCCAAACTTTAGGTTAATAGCTAGAAAACTTTACAGTGATACCTTCATTAACTTGGTTGTAATAAAATTATAGAATAATGTGAACATTGTATTTGAGGTAAAAGGTTTTTTCTTCTATGCCAGGAGTTGGAAACCTTCCTATACCTCAACACACAGTTGTGAGGTTCTAATGTGTTAAATTCCGTAATCACAGAAAAAATGTGTCAATGTATTCATTATTACTCTGCCAATAAATATAACCTATTTTTATATATAAAGTACCTATTGCCAGGTGACATTTTTCTGTTTATAGATACACTGTCACATTGCTAGAGAGACATCTGATACATATCCATATTGTGTGTCTCATATTAGGCAGAATGAATAAGGTATGCTATAACTTGTAGTCTTTTTTCTCAAAATGATAAATGGTATAACAGCTTTTAAATAAACTTTAAATACCTTACAAAAGTGAAAACATGAAATTAATTAAATCTACCGTGATGACTGAGAAAATTTTATGTTCAAGCAATTTTCCAAAGTTAAAATTTACACAAACAACAAATATCTTGTTAATGTTTCACTAAAACATAAGAAACTTGTAGAAGAAAATGTAATCTCTGCCAATGATCATCCATATAATGGCACTAATTTTCACTTAAATCAGACCATTTAAACCTTTTACATAAAGTGGTTAGTATTCCATCAGAACCTGGATCTTGACATTAATTCAGAATTACATATGTAGATGTATGCGGGCTAAAAAGTGATAGTTTGTCCTTTTTTCCTTTCATTTTTCATTCACTGACCTATTTTTGACAAATTCATCATCTAAAATGTTACATTTTTTTTTACTTTTTCTTGCGGTAGAAACCAGGTGAACATTTCTGATGGTGTCATGAATCAACCTGCCCTGAATTTAACTTTTATGACAACCACGTACAGTCGCAGACATTCTGTGGCTACAATGAAGGCCTTCATGTTGTGTGGCCGTACATATGTTGCATACATATATAATTAAATGCAAAAATGTTACACACATTTTTCATTAAAGCTGAATATCAAGAGGCTCATAGTGCCTGTATTACTCACCTGGTTTAGTTAACTAAAATTGATTGACCTAAACCAATGGAAAAGTATTTAAAACACTTGTATATATTTCCTTGTAATAGGAAGGTTAGATGCACTGTCTCACAGAATAAATTCTCTTCACCAAAGGTGTCTTTACTTCCAATAGAAAAAGGATTTTAAAGAATAAGCTCTATTCCAATATTTGGCCTCACCCCTTACACTCTCTGGGGTGGAACCCACTATTCATACAAAAATAATCCCATTCACCCAAGCATGTCTGAGACCAAATTGGGACAAAATCAACGCATTCCTTCATAAGAAGAATGATTTTAAAGAATTTGCCCTATTCCTAGGGCCCCATCAATCCCATCCTAGGGCTGATATTCATTGTTGAACCAAAATAATTCCTCTTCATTTATGCATGCTTCTGGCTAGATTGGGACAACCTCTTGGTATTCCTACTGAAGAAGAAGGATTTTAAAAATTTGCTCTATTTCCCTATGGGACCAAACCTCTTCCGCTCCAAATGGCCAAAATCCAAAAAAATATACAATCTGTTTCTCTTTACAAAAGGATGCTTCAGACCAAATATGGGCAAATTCTATTCCTAAAGTAGGAGAAGGATTTTAAAGGATTTGCTCTATTTCCCATAATGGGCCCCAGCCCTGTGGCCCAACAGGGAGTTAGACCCACTGTTTTTACAAAAAAACTGATTTCTGTTCACCTATGCAAGCCTCAGACCAACTTTAGACAACATCCAGCAATTCCTAATGAACAAGATAGACTTGAAAAAAAATTGATAAATTTTCCCCATTGGGACCAACCCCTCAGGCCCCCCAGAAGGCACAGACCTACTGTTTATACAAAACTGTTTTTTCCTCCCTCAAGGATGCTTCAGACAAAATATGCTTAAAATCCACTCAATAGTTCATAAGTAGGGGTGATTTATAGGAAAAGTTAACAGATGATGGGCACCATAGTACCTCTATAGCCCACTTGGCCCTTTGGGCCTGGGGAGCAGCAAAAATAAAATAAGGAAATAAAAAAAATTTACTTAATTATCTGAGATGAGTATGAGATAAACGATATTATTCAAAGATATATGTAGATGTTTCTTTTCCAATCCTTGCCCCATTATTTACCAAACAATCAGTGATTTCCACCTAGAGATCTTTGCCTTATTACATACTTATTCCAAATACATTTCATGAGAATTCACATAAAAATCTCACTGCCAAAACTTCTGAATATCAATACTAAAAAGTTTTCAGTCTTACACTCAAATAGATAGTATTTTTTATTGTTACATTTTCCCTATAGAAGGTATACAATTGGACCATAAGAGCAGATGTTTTTATTAACAACATCACTATGTAAGTAGCTGAAGGTTACATACATATAAATGTACAAGTAACCTTTTTTCTTCATTCATCATTAATATATATTTTTCAAATTTTGTGAGATGCAGTTTTAAGTGGTAGATTGTAAATTAGAATAATCACTTTTGAATGCTTGTTGGGCTCAATTCCATGTGAACAGATAGTCATTTGGAGGCATAGTCTCCTAGCAGTAGCTGGTTGCAACCTCACTGAACAGCATATGGGAGGTCCATCGAGTGCCATTCAGAATAGTCATATGGGTAAAAGAGTCTTGTCCAATGACACAACTACATCAACACAGAGTGGTCTGTTTCATAGATGGGAATTTATTTTATAAATGTACAGTCTTGAGCAGGTACCCATGTTACAGGGAGGTACCAATACATATTGTATAAGTGTGTGATTTATACATAACCTGCTTAATCATGGTATATGACAAATGAGGGAGGGGTGTGTGTGTGGTGTGGGTGTGGTTATGTGATGTATACTTGTTGACTTAGATGCAGACATAAAGGGAGGGGTGGGGGGGAGGTGGTTGTTTACCAGCACCTTATATATTATATATAATTGTGAATAAATTTATGTGAGCTAAAAAATTGATGTCTGCAAGATAATTTGAAAGTTTAGAACGGATGTGTACCAGGTTTAAGATGCCCTATGTAGGAATCACATGTAGGACAGAAAAAGTTAAGCCAGCAAACACCAAGGATATGCAGGATATGCAAGATGTATATTAAGCTATCAAAGTCAATGGTTCATAGGCTTTACCGTCACTGTTATGTCAGAACACTTTGACATCATTTGGGCTGAACAATCAGGTGTTTTACCGCATGTGGTTCTAACAGTCCCACATGTGGTACCATGTTAGTACTTACACAAAGCATTTGGTGTGCCACACCTGCCCGTTGCAGTTTACCATTTGTTCCCACGGATTAAGATAGTCACCACACTTTGTACATGCCAAGTCATACGGCTTTTTCTGCAGTTCACTGGCGTATGAACAGCATTACCAAGATAAACAAAAAAGCATAAACAATGAGCAAAGAAAAAGTGGATAAGCATAATAAAAGTGGTTACCAAAGACCAAATCAGTAATAAAATTATAAAAATGCATGATTATGCTAATTTTGAAAAAAAACTTCAACAGAAGACGATTATAAAGCATACACATAATATAGGTCATGCTAAAGTAAATACTGTGTTCTGATGTCTGCATGCATTACATACAATTCATCCATGATACAGAAAAATCATTTTAAAGCATTTGATTTAACATAATCAAAGTTTGAATTTTTTTTTCATTTTTTTTATTTTTGTTTACCGTAATTTGAAGAGAATCATGTCACTTTGAATTGGATCATGTCATATGTATAAAATCGAACATGAAATATGTAATTCTGTTTATGAAGGAACTGATAATTATATAAATTTTGTGAATATTTCAGGAAAGAGTACAAAAGAATTTGATCAGTTCCACAGTTAGAGAAACTTCAATTACATGGGAAAATGTTTTGCTCTTTTTTATTGTTGCTTTCAAATTGTAAAATAAAATAACTACCGGTATATATTTTTCATAGATCAGTATACATTAAGAGTATAACAAGTTTCATGCATAGTAAAAGTATGTATATATATTTATATCTATTTATATATATATTAATTTATATGAATGAACTTCTAGTGCATGTGTATCTAATACAACATTTGAAACAACATTTCTACAGCTGGCTTGTTAAGACTTTAAGACAACATTTCTACAGCTGGCTTGTTAACACTACATACTTAGGAGCCATGCAATGTTCAAGAACATGTGCAAAATGCAGTGACATATATACAACAACCCATCAACAACAGCATGCATATAACATTAGATTTCAGAAATGTTCTGTGTTTGATTTCAGGAAGACACAACATGTAAATGAGTCCTCTATATAGTCTCATTTTCTGATGTTGTCAACTTCTTGAAATGTAATACTGAGTTATCTTTCTTGTTTCTCACAGTCAGTAGCATTATCGTGTAGTACTGTAGAAGTACTATGTAAAAGACATGTTTTCACATGGTTATCACCTCTCAATACCTCAGACATGACAGAGAAATAGAGGCGTTCCTATATAACGATGTACTAAATATCATTGTTCACTGTATTTATAAGCAATGTTCATGATTGCTTGAATGTCTTTTCACTCAATAAAGGTGCAATGCATGCCATTTTGGACTGTTGTACAGTATCCAGGAATCATACAATCCAAAATTTAAAAGATTTAACAGCATATTACAAGACAGATATCAAACTAATATCGGAAAGCTCTAAAAAGAAATTTTAGAGGCATTTTATTTGTAACCATGAAAATTGTCCTTAACCATTCAACTTCGTTTCATCAGCAGAGCCCCCATTTCATGAAGTCAAATTAACTAAAGTACATATGTATCTAGAGAAGTTCAAGGTCACTTTTAAATATTGTTTCAGTATTTAACACGTTTCGCCCATGCTACCAGGTCAAGGTCAATAATTTGCACAAACTTGATTATCACCCACTATTGCACTTATTACCAGTCTTTATGATATATCCTAACCCTTAGTTTCAGAGTTCCATGTTAGAATGATTTGAGTCAGTTTAAAGGGTAGAGCTGGTGCAGTGAATTACACCTAGCCTATCCAATGTACTGGGTGTTATATGTGTAAGCTCTGATCATCTGCCTTCAAAACATGATAATGACAAATAAACACAGCTACTGGGAAAATGATTTGATCCCTAGCAGGAGTCCCATTACACAAATCAGTGCCATCATATGTCGTTTATCAATTTCACATGTCTGTAAACACAGGTTATTTATGAAAAGTGAACTTGACTCTTCATTTAAAATTTTCATAAAAAGTCAGTCATTTTTGTCTCTAGCTTTAGGATATACACCAATCCTCTGAAATATGATCTACTATATTCTCACTGGCGTTCACACATTGGGTTGGTTTTTGTGTCATGATGTGAACAGGAGAGGACTTGTGTTACATAAAGTCTGGTAGTCTTAACCTGTGTACCTGTATATATAGGCTTGTTATAATCAGTTACATGTAAACTAAGTTGCCTGAATTTACACTGAATCATTACCTTATCTCTGCTTTAATTAGGTAATATTTGTACTTTTTTATGTATACAAGTAAATAATATATTCATACATCTAAAAATATTTCATTTCATTAAAATGAAGTTTGAAGGATCATTTAGAAAGTGTATACATCTCGTCAATCAAAACTTCATCATACAAGAATTGTGAATGACACCCACCAAATGGAGTCCTGCCTTACAGGCAAGTCCAGGTGGGGCTTTCATACTAGTAGGAAACTTTGTAGGCAGACTTTTTATATCATTTAAACAAACTACTTATATATTGAGCTAATGGTATGAATAGATTTAGTGTGGGGTCAAATAAAACTCCATGTGTGAAATCTCCATTTAAAATCTGAACATTATTTGATCAAACCCAATACATTGCTACTACCTAGTAACTGTGGGACACTGATTAGGTCAAGATGTTTTTTTTAATTATAATTACTACAGTGTCTTTAAACTAGACACTTTCGGGAACATACTTATCATAATTATGGCAATTTGGATAGAAATCAAGGTAACACTTGAATAATTTCTTTGAACAGAATTGAGGCAATATCAAGTTTTTTTTTTTTCTGTCCTTCATTTTCAAAAACAGCACTTTATGCCACACAACATATACTTCCCACATCACAGACTAATATTGAGAGGTCAAGATATGGCAATTAAACCACTGCTGCTTCTCTTCACCAGGGCAATACAAATCTGATAACTCCAAATATTTGCGTACCTCTACACTGTGATAAGATGAAATGGCCATAAAAAATTGCTAAGATTCCCGTAGCTATGTATACAGTATGTATACCTAGTGTCTGTAGAAACTGTCCTAACCTCAGCTTATCCAGGTCAGGTACAGCCCAATATAGACGAAATGTTGACATTGGGATATATATTACCCAGACTTTATACCCCATGTATACATATACCAAGACAAATAAACACAACCCTCACACATCTACACAACCCTCATACATCTACACAACCCTCACACATCTACACAACCCTTATACATTTACACAACCCTCACACATCTACACAACCCTCACACATCTACACAACCCTCATACATCCACACAACCCTCACACATCTACACAACCCTCACACATCTACACAATTTTGTCAATGAATTTCAAAAAGACCAACAGATTTAGCAAGCCTGAACTATTTGATGTCTTTTTTTTTCTCACATAGGAAGTAATATTTGAAATACTGTTCCACAAATCTTTTAAATAATTTATATATCCAATCAAACAAGTAACCTGTTGGACCTGCTTTTCTCATCTGGCTATTTCAGTAATTATAAGTAAATTTGTGTTTGTTCACTGCAATCTCACAAAATATTAGGTCCTACCTCTTAGAACCTAATTTTCTAAGCGACCATGAAGTATAAATGTCTTGCTTTTTCAGTTGCGATTATATCTGTGTACACCATCTTTTTATGAGATTGGATTCTATAAATAAACATATCTATAATTAAAGAGACCAAGAATCTTAACCTTAAATCACATGTTCTAGAGATCTTTAAATATTGAAGAACGGTTGATCTAGAATTTGATAACATTTTACATAGAAATCAGAAAAAAAATTTTTTTTATCTATTTAACAACAACTGTAAATCACGCGAGATCAACTTATATTAATTACAGGTAGGCTGAAGAGTGCCAAAGTATACTCCTGTAACAGGTTTTAAACACTACACATACCAGAAAAACCTGTCTGGTTTCATATCCCATTTCGAAACCAAACCAAAGTCACCTTTAGGTGAAATGCAAGTATGTTATCACTGTGCTAACCAGCTTATATTAGTGTCTATATCTGTTGGGGCATTTACTGGTAAGTATATATATATATATTGAAAATACATCATCATTTATAGCAGATCTGCATTCATTTCAATCAAGTCAATTAAAATATTACTTGCATTCAATTTAAAACAAATTAACAACAGAAATTAAAAACTCCATGAAAACACATCCAGCAAATCTAACTATACATCCACATAGAATCTGACATCTCTAACTACCTACATAGACAGTCTAATATCCAGGTGGTGACACACATACATCCACCAAATGTCTAACAGATGTATTGTATAAAGATACTCTCCAAAAATACCATAAACCATGCCAATTATCTGTGCTGGACGTATACCAGCAACGTTTACAAATCATTCATATCAAACTAATTAAATAACTAAAAGTTTATTTATGAAATTATTCAAACTTTCATGTCAAGTACTAAATGTTCCTGTAAAAAATGGGAGGTTTCATCAATGAGAAGATACCATTGTTGTACATTATGCATATCACCATGATACTGTATGACTTAAGTGTATAAATCTGTCTCATTATATCACTGGTACAGACTGTGTTGTTATCTATCAGCACAATACAGCACACAGTTAACCACTGTAGTAATTTCAGATTAATAAGTATGCACTGATATACCTTTTTATAAGTCTACTTACAAAGTATCACATGATACTAATGCGGTCTGGTTTTTGACATCAAAATCAAAATTATATATAAAATTTTCACTTCTAGAATATTTCAGTAAGATTGATAGGAAAATGTTTTCTATAATCATAAGCATACTAGTATACATGGTACCAAGGATGCACAAATAGGCTGAAGTTTTTTAATTTACCATCAAGATAGCACCAGCTAATGATTGTGTGTTTCCATAGCAATGTGTATAATTGAGGTACAAAATAAAGATGTGTCAGTGTTAACTGTAACCTGACCACTCCAAATTCTGAGATACATGTAACACTAGCATCCAATCATAGCAATTTGTTTTCTGGTCAGAATGCTTGCACCATATTGGTATTCTAATCCTTGGTTTTAAAAGAATGCAAATGAGTTGTCTACAGTATATACTTGTACCAAGCTCTATTTCTTTGAATTTTTTTCTCAATAGCCTTCTTTTCAGCAGGTGTAGAATGAAAAGAAGGAAAGTACCTCTGGGAAATCCAAAGGCAGGTGTCCGTAAATATATACATCAATTTGACCTGTTTTGTCTGACCATTATACTTACGGTTATAATTCAACTTACACAAAACACTTGGTGTGCCATATCTCCCCGTTGGAGTTCATGATCTGCTCGCTCGGACCGAAGCCTTCATTGCATCGGTGACACACAGAGCTCCCGAGGGACATGCTTTTACTGAAAATAATGAAAATATATTAATATACTGCACTATATGTATTTAATCATTCAATGTACACAAACCTACCTCACATAACAGTAGGTTTTGTTTAAGCATGAAATTCAGATTACCTTTACTTTGACCCTTGTACAAATATGATATTTCCAAATATTCCCATCCTTCACATGACATGCAGTCAACATATCATTACATATTTCATCACATGTGTAATTCATCCAGTCACTCATTCGCAACCAGAAACAATTTGAAGATAATTTTATTCATGCATCATGAAGTACATGTGACTAGGGCCTACATGACAGGAAGCAGGGAAAATGTTCCGGTATGAGTAAAAGTATAAATCTGTGATCAGATTGGACCAATCTTATACACTGATTTTAACCCACCATTTAGCAATATTTAATGATGAAACAAAGGGAAGCAACTCTGAAAATGAGAACAGACTATTGCAAAAAATGTAAGTATATTCCACATCATACCCTAGTGTTTGACCTAGCTACATAGTAAAAGTGATATTATATATGCATGTATGCACTTTCTCTGGACTAAAACCGAGCTGTTTTCTCGGAGTTATTTGATAAATGTTGTGTCATGTGGTCCGTAAAATGAGTCTATTTACAGTCTGTATAATGTCATCCTTATTTAGAATCCTGATTCTGATCGTAGTATGAATATGCTTCCTACACAGTGAACACAGTGCAGTGTTATTCCCATTAGATTATCAGTGATACATCTTGTTCTAGTTCAATATAACGCAACAGTCAACGGAATAACCAGGAAAGGAATGTGTTTTTGTGTAAATAAATGAATAAATCTATTTTGATTTGTGAGAAAACGTTTCATTTTTTTTAAAACCAGTATACAAACTGCCATTAGAAATCACATTTTGCTAAAATACCCAGGAAGAAGAAACCTCTAGATCTTCAGAATGCTCAAGATCAACTAGAATTAACATTCATTGTGCTCTCAATATATACATCTTGTTACCTGTTATTTTTTTTAAATGATCAAGAAGTTTTGTAGTAAAAGTACTCAACATTTAAAATGAAAATCTTTATTTTTTTTTTACAACTTTGACAACTTCACTCATGACGCATATCATTTCAGCTTAACTTCAAAAGTAACATCACTTACATATGTAAACTCCAGCCTAAGGTAATTGTGAGTAGTCTAAACAGTATCACAGCGAACACACATTTTAATGTTTATATGTTCCACTCTCGGATGAAAACTTTTCACCAATTGTCAAAGCTTGTTAAAGCATTTCAAGTTATATAAATATCTTTAGACTTACCTTTACCTTTACATATAATAATAATTAGTAAATTTTAATAACCTAGAGGAATTCGTGAGATTTACCTGGGAAAACAACAAAAACTAACCAAAACCTACAAATTGATATACTATAACCATTAAAACTCAAGAAACCAACTATTGAGGCTGCATCAAATTCAATATTAAAACTTAAATCAGTACTAAAAAAATCTTGCCCAGAAAGAAACCTAGGTCGTCAGAGACAGGTTATGTTCAAAGGGCAATAACTCCTCAATTAAGCAAATAAGAGTGACAGTTCTTGTGCACTGCACTTCTCCGTGTTGAGATTTGTCTACCTATGAAGTTTCATGTTGATTCCTTGTATGGTTTTAGTGTAATGCTCCAGACAAAATCATAACAGATTGACAGACGGACGGATGGAAAATGCGGCAACTATATGCTCACACTTCCGGGAGTATAAATAAACCAATTACAGGTATACCTATCCTGTAATCAGTGACGTTAGCAATATGAATTGATTTTAAAAGTTCAATCATTTGATAAGACACCAGTATTTCCTTTAACTTTGAGTTGTTCAGGACATCTTTTAGCACACAGTCATTAATGTGAAATATAATCCTAGTATTTTTACATAAAACAGCATACATTTTTCGTTGAGTCTTCCACTCAGACAATTGCCTGTGTTGTAAACATGCTTAACATAACATTCTGTAACAAGTAAACACGTAATTAACCAGATCGATTTGTCTGTCTGGCTTTATAATACACTTATCTCAATAAATTCCTTTATGCCACATTTACAGACAACAATATTAATTCGTCAGGTTTGCAGTCCTTTCAGACATATCAGGTTATCATTGAGAAACCCTACAATAATCATTTCCTTTGAAATTTGGACACGCACCTGCCTATCAAATCAAAATCCTTATGCAAATGACATGTACACCATGGTACTGATTTTTAATATGACAGTTTAAAAAAGTTGAATACATGCAATGTTACTGGTACACCAATGTATTGTTTTTTTATATTTTTGACACTAGATCAGGTGTGTTCCCTTGATCAATCCTGTGAAGACACGGGTAGGGGTACAGCTCTTAGCCCATCAATTTTTAATTTCTTAATTATAAACAGATATAAAAAATTGACAAGAATAATAGTATTAGAGGATTTTATAAGCAAGGTTTATCATCCTGATTCAAGGAAAATGCATACTATAGTAGACATTTGAACCCAACAAAAATTATGATTTTGCAGCAAATATATGTGATTACTGTATCAGTTGAAGATTTCATTAACAGAACAATCTCTGGCTATGTATCTATATATACTGTATATATGATGGGGAACCAATAAGGATGGAGATATTTTTGAGCTGTGCAATTTTTGCAAAAATCACAAAAATTCACCTTTTGTAATTCCTTCTTGTTTTATTTTTTTGCAATTTCGTTGTCTCAGAAATTTTTTTTTGAAGACTCTGAATACTTATAAATGGTCGTTAACCTAGATTCTTACATCAACTAGAGATCTAACTGACCAGTCAAACTAGATAAGAGATTTACATGTCAACAAGTATCTATTTATTATAAACGTATTCACAACTACGTCACCTTTATAGATGTATTACACATGCGTTTACAATCAAGGATTTTTAGATCTTGAAAGGGTCACTAAATTCACAAGACTTAGATACCACTGAAAAAATCTCAATATATGGTACATTGTCTGACGATGTACTTAAGTTGCCATCTGAAGAAAAGAGTGGTAGCTGTAATTTTGTAATCTGACAAAAATACAAAAAGCTCATGTAGTGTGGTCTAATGAAATTTACAAAATAGTGTCATCTTTAATACAGATGTTTACTTAACACACGCAGCTGTGAAATCTAAAATAGTTTATAATTTTGTAGGAAGATAAATTTTATTATCCTCAGGGTTTCTGATACCGGATGTAAAGATGTATACAGTAATATATATAAAAACATACAAATGCTTGATTCTCACTCCTTTTACCTTTGAATTTCTGTAAATTAAAAATTTTCTGAATAAACAATTCACGTAAAATTTTCTCCTTTTGATCCTAGTGTGTAAACTTTTAAAAAATGAAATATCATCAGACTTGATCACCACTTCCAAAGTGTCCTTCTCCAGTCATTAAAATCTTTCCAAAATACAAGATTTGTTGATAAGAATCTTGAGAACAGCCTTAGAGGGAAATTATTTGTATATACCCAAGCAATGTAAAACATCTTTTGTAGAGAACAGCCTTAGAGAGAAAACATTTGTATGTAACCGAGCAATGTCAAATATTTTTAGTAGAGAACACCCATAGAGAGAAAACATTTGTATTTAAACAAGCAATGTCAAATATTTTTAATAAAGAACACCCATAGAGAGAAAACATTTGTATATAACCAAGCAATGTAAAACATCTTTTGTAGAGAACACCCATAGAGAGAAAACATTTGTATATACCCAAGCAATGTAAAACATCTTTAGTAGAGAACACCCATAGAGAGAAAACATTTGAATATACCCAAGCAATGTAAAACATCTTTAGTAGAGAACACCCATAGAGAGAAAACATTTGTATATACCCAAGCAATGTAAAACATCTTTAGTAGAGAACACCCATAGAGAGAAAACATTTGTATATACCCAAGCAATGTAAAACATCTTTAGTAGAGAACACCCATAGAGAGAAAACATTTGTATATACCCAAGCAATGTAAAACATCTTTAGTAGAGAACACCCATAGAGAGAAAACATTTGTATGTAACCGAGCAATGTAAAACATCTTTAGTAGAGAACACCCCTTATGATTTGTCTCTATAGGAGAGATCGTTGTCCTGTTGTCATCTGAACAATGCCTCCTCTCGGGTCAGATATCTAGCTTGGCAATGGTGTACCCTAATTCAAATTTTACTAGTTACAGGTTCTTCAAACTTATAACAAAGTTACATGTCAATAGTTTTGGTTTATTTTATATCGTTTATTATCCTATCAACAGCTATGGTCAATTAAGAATACCCCCAGGTGTATGTGAGGTGGTCAAAGTGCTGAATAAGCGAGTTTTCTGAATGTTTGTATAAGCCTCCTCATGAAAGAGCGGAATTGATACCAATGTTGTAGTGCTATCACACTGTAGTATACTGCTGAAAACACCTAGCAGGACATCATTCTACTTGGTCACAACACATCGAAAATGTGTGAATCAGTCACAGTGTCCTTACATCACCATAATGACATAATGTTCAGCAGTTAAACAATATCTGGGGTGATTAAATTCTATTTCACTTTGTTCATTGTCAATTAAGTGTTGTAGCTTTATGTTGAAATACCATTCCATGATGACAAAGGGAACGAAAGTGATTTTTCATACTTAATATATACCACATTATCATTAAATAGTAATTAACTTAAAACTGTCTTATTATGTATTTGTTTGGCTGAATGTTGACCACTTTATAAAGGTTGTTACCTCAATTTGTGTATAAATGTAGTTATGGCCCCTTCTTAATATGTATTTTATTCCAGTCTATCAAACAATATCATTACATCTCAAGTGATCTAAAAGTTCCAATGTTTAAATTTAAGGTCTTCCCTAAAGAAATTTTCTAGCGTCATATAATTGGTTTCAAGACTGCCCACTTTCACACTGATATCACTCCCTTGAATTCATGAGGTATGAATAGGTGACCATATCTAAAGGCTGCAGACT